AGAAGCTGCTGCCTGAGCTGCTGGAACAGCCGCTCTCAAACCTTGGGTCTTAGGACCCTTCTACTCTCTTTTGAAGCCCCCAAAGGGCTTTTGTTTCTGTGGGTTATGTTATATTGATCATGGGTTTTTTTAACTAAAAAATTGAAAAGTTATCTATTCATTAAAAAAAAAAAAAAGAATCTCTGAGCTAGAAGATATGTCAATATACCCCTCAAAAACTAAAAAGCAGACCAATATCTCTCATGAGCATAAATGCAAAAGTCCTTAACAAATACTAGCGAATCAAATTCAACAATGTTCAACAAAAAGAATTGTACATCATGACCAAGTGGAGTCTAGCCCAGGTATGAAAGACTGCTTCAACACTGAAAATCAATTAATGTAATACATCACATCAATAGGCTAAAAAAGAAATATCACGTGATTGTATAAGTAGAGGCAGACTCATAGACCAATGGAACATAATAGAGAGCTCGGAAATAGACCCATAGTTATATGAGTAGTCAATCTTTGACAAATTTTCAAAGGTAATTCAATGAAGAAAGGATTATCTTTTCAACAAATAGTGTTGGAACAACTAACTGAACATTGTATGTTAAAAAATAAACCTTTATCCATACCTCTTACCTTATACAAAAATTACCTCAAGATGATTCATAGATATAAATGTAAAGCTGAAAATAATAAAACTTTTAGAAAACATATATAAGAAAATTCTTGTGAACTTGGATTAGGCAAAGATTTCTTAGACATAGCTCCATTAATATGCTTCATAATGGGGAAAAAATGATAAATTGGACTTCCTCTCCGAAAGACTGTGTTAAGAAAATGGCAAGTCTAGCCTCAGACTGAAATGAAAAATTTAGAACAAGATCTATCTGATAAAAGAATTGTATCCAGAATATATAAAGAATTGTGAAAATTCAGTAATAAGAAACAACCTAACTTGAAAATGAGCAATGATTTAAACAAACACTTCACCAAGAAGATATGTGAATGGCCAACATTGAAAAGTTGATCTACTTCATTAGTCACCAGAGACATACAAATTAAAACTATAATGTAATACCACTCCACACTTACTAGAATGGCTAAAATCAAACAAATAGACAATGCTAAGAGCTGATAAGGATGCGAAACGGTAAGAACTCTTTTTTTTTTTTTATCCTCACCCGAGGACATTTTTCCATTTTTTTGTTCAGATAGAGTGGGAGGGAGGGAGAGAGAGAGAGAAACATCAACGTGAAAGGGACACATCGGGTGGCTGCCACCTGCATGACCAACCAGGGCCGGGGACAAACTGCACCGAGGTACGTGCCCTCAGCAGGAACTGAACCCGGGTCTCTCTGCACCGCAGGCTGATGCTCTAACCGCTGAGCTAAACCGGCCAGGGCACAATAAGAACTCTTATACATTGCTGGTGGAATGCAAAATAGTACAAACATTTTTTTTAAATAATTTTCAGTGTTTTATCAAGTTAAATACATTTTTACCTAAGCCAGCATTCAACTCCTAGGTAATTACACAAGAGAAATAAAAATGTATGTTTATACAAAATCTGTACATGATGTTTATAGCAATGTTATTCATAGTTGACAGAAATTGACCACAATCCAAATGTCCATCAGCATGTATAATAATTGTATATCCAAAGAATGGAATATTACTTAGTAATAAAAAGAGAAAAACTAATAATTCACATAATGACATGGATGAATCTCAAATGCTAAGTCAAAGAAGCCAAATTCAAAAGACTGTCTACATATGATTCCATTATATGACATTCAGGAAAAGGCAAAACTATGAGGATAGAAAACAGTAGCTACCAGAGGCTGGAGAAGTGGGTGGAGTATAATAGAGCACAAGGGAATCTGAGGATGTTCTGGAACTGTTCTAGATCTTAAAAGTGGTGACTTGACTATATGCATTTGTCAAAACTCATAGGACATTAAAAAGGGCAAATTATACTGAATTTAAGTTATCTAATTTATATGTCATTCTGGCAAATGGCTAAAACACCAGGGTCTCCAAAACACAAGTTAGGAATCACTGGCATAGCAATAGTTCAGAAATTCTTAGATGAGTTATCATAAGTAAAATGTTGAGTCAATGAGTTATCAGACAACAAGACCTGATTTTCAGCATGAATCTATGTACTAGAGATATACCCATAAGGAAAATAATGGTAACCACAAACCAGATAATAGGGTGTGCTCTTCATCTTAATAAAGATAGTTCTTGTGTGGACATGTTTCATGAGAACCAAACCTGTCTTCTGAATCATGGCCTACAGTACAAGAGAATGCTCATCACCTGACACAGACTTTTCAGCTCTTCAGGCTAAATACCATTAAAATTCAGTAATAAACCCATCTATCGTGTGGCTTCCTGCTGTTTTTGTTGAATTATTTTTTCTTACTTCCCAGTAGGGTTCAAGCTTCACACATATTTTTAAACAACAGGTCTATTTATATTAAATAATTCACTTTGAGAACACATCTTTTTCTATGAGCAGTATTGAACTTTTCATCTCCTTGATGCTTCTGACATCCTTCCCATGTCGTTTATGAGTGAATAAAAGGCAAATAGCTTGGGTTGCCCCAGTTCTTAGACGGCTTGACACTGCCAGGGTGAGCAGGTAAATATTGCCAAACATAAGGCTAGAAGTGACTTCCCACCCAGACAGGAGGATTTTCATTTCTTCCATGAATGAGAAATCTTTTGGAATCTAAGAAGTATTTTTTATCTGTTTATTAAAGAATACTAACTAGAAAAACTAACACTTCACATATTTTTCTTTGGTTCATTGCTGTCTTTTAACAAAACTAATCTATAAATGTTAAATTGTTAGAAATAAGTTGCAGATAATTTAGTAGGGCATGTGTTAGGAAAAAAAGTGGTTTTAAACTAATAAATGTATCACCTACAGATGATATGTTCTAATATTGTCCTATTGTCTTCATATCTAAATTCTTCAAGACCTAAAATAAACCATTGTTTAACCTCACATTTGTAATGTGTTAAGTAATGAGCACAGGACAAAACAGGAGTGGGGAATGTTGGTGGCAAAACAACACCAGGTGTTAGACCAGTGTGATTAGACCAGACCTCAGTTCAGCAACCTTGGTACTTGAGTTCTGGCTAAGAAATAATTCAGATTCAAGACTCAAAACTATGAAAGAAAGTTTATTCACCAAATAAGGCAAAAGTACACTTGAAAGTAGCGGGTGGCCCAAAGAGCTGCCCCAGGGTATTATTGGCAAGGGCTCCTTTTAACCCCTGGAGGGAGTTAACTACTTTCTTTAAACTGATCTTTTGGGGCCTGTCCCATCATCTCCTGTTCCTGTATGGAAATCTTGTGGGGCTTTTCTCCAGCCTCTTATTTCTCCTCTAAGGGAGTCTACTGAATGACTAGCTACATGTCAGGAGAGAAGAGGTCAGGGGAGAGTCGGACCTGCATGACTGGTGACAAGCTAGGGGAGGAGAGGGTTCCTCAGACACTAGATCCTAACTTACCAAACATATTTTCAATACTTGCTCTCCTAGTTTTGCCCATTGCTAGGTACCCAGGACTTTCTTCCCTGGTGGCATTCGTACCTGATGTATTGTCCTGCTCTGCTCATGCCTGTCTAACTGCCTACTAAAGAGAAGAATCCAAACAAAGGGGAATTTTTTTTTAATCCTCCACTAAAATGTAAACTTTAACAGGTGGTCCTTTGAGGAAGGTAAGTTGGCAGGGAAGAAGGAAGTTGTGGTCAGCGGTTGGCTTGGGAAATGCCAGCATCATCCTAGGCCCTGCCCTCTCTCTCATCCTAACAGCAATCAATAAATACCTTGTCTCTGCCCAGCCTCACTGATATTGCCCGCCTTGGTTTCCTCTCCTTTTTCATCCTTGTATTATCCTTACCAAAACTATTGTCATAGTGTCCTGATCCAGTCTCCCTATTTCTTCTTTTCTGGTCCACTCTCTACATTGTCACCAAATTAATCTTTGTTCAGCCCAGCTCTCATCATTTAATTTTTTTTTGTCTTCCCATACCTCCTCCTCACCGACAGAATGACATAGACACTCCTCAGGCTGGCATTTCAGATTTCCCACATCCAGCTGCATATTCTACACTTCTGACCTCTCCTCACCTACTCTTTTTTACTGTTTCACCATTCTCCACCTGAGCCTTACTGTTTCCTGTATCTGGGCCTTCATGCTGGACTCCCTGCTTGAAATTCCAGCTCCATCTTTGGTTTCTTACTACTATCCATCTTTTAAAGCCCGGCTCAAGTGGTACCTCTTTCATGAAGCATTGGCTAACATCTACGGCTGGAAGTGGATTTCCATAGTTCCTAAATCTCTGATGGTTTACATTCTTCTTTATATTGTAATTATTTGTGTATGTGGTGAATAAACTCATATCTCTTTTTTTTTTTACATTGTTAATTCCTTGAAGACAGATTTTATATCTCATCCTCAATTGTATCTATACCCTCGGTGCCTTCTTCATGGTTGACCTTCAATAGGTATTTGTTTACTCATTCAACAAATATGCGTTTTGAATGGATTTGAAATTTGAAATGGAAGAAAGGAAACCAGAGTGCTTTGTTATTATAACAAAGGCAGCAGGAACAATTCAAGAACCATTATAATAAACAAGAAAAGCTGATGAAGACCTTAAGCCCACATTCAAAGGACAGGATTTGGTACTATTTCTCAGCTGCAGCCTTCCAAAAGCCAAATGCTCCATAGACAGTGACATATGCTGTTGTCATAATTGTTTACAGGGAAGTCTTATTATTCAGGAGTACCAAAGAGAAAGCTAAGAGGAAATATGGTCTTCTAGTCTTAGAAATGCAGTAGCAACCTGCAACAAATAATCATATTTATTTTAATATATAGGAATTCAATTTTTTTAATTAGTGAATTTACTGTCCAACATAAAAGCTGAATCAATGATTGTAGATAGTGGAATTATCTCACTAAATATAAAACAATTTTCTCCCTTTTGTTTGGTATGGAAGATTTCATGAATTTTAGTGTCATCTTTATGCGGGGGCCATGCTAATCTCCATATCATTCCAATTTTAGTATATGTGCTGCCAAAGTGAGCATTATTTTCTCCTTTAGTGAACTTCTCTTCTTATTGTCTCTTAGGAACTCAAGGCAAATATGTCTCAAAGATTTAGGATCCCTTGATGAACATATGATTTAAAATATATCACTATCATGTAATACTCCTGTGGTAGGAGGGTCATGAAATAGAAAGAAATACATCTACAGGGTACATTCCTTTTCACCAAACAAATACAGAAAAATCTGTGGTCACAAAGATTAATGAGGTAGTGAATAGTCATTTGACAAAAACATCCACCCTAGTCACCAAAAACTGGTCACTTTGCAGAAACTCATCAGCCACAGAAAATGGTGTACACCTGTACTCACAGTGCTCAGCAAGTAATAAAAGTCTGGTCACAAGGTGCCAGTCTGAGCTACACATAAACAGACATCTTTTCCCCCCAACCTAGTTAAAAGTCAGTACATAATTTTTAGAGGATGAATATTTTTCTGGTTGCCTCTTTTTTTTTTTTTTAATCCTTACCCGAGGACATTTTTTCCATTTTTTGTTCAGATAGAGTGGGAAGGAGAGAGAGGGAGAGGGAGAGAGAGAGAGAAACATCAACGTGAAAGGGACACATCGAGTGGCTGCCACCCGCACGACCCAACCAGGGCCAGGGACAAACTGCAACCGAGGTACGTGCCCTTAGCAGGAACCGAACCCGGGTCTCTCTGGACCACAGGCTGGCGCTCTAACTGCTGAGCCAAACCGGCCAGGGCTCTGGTTGCCTCTTAAGGAAATTTTCTTTCTGGTCTATCAAAAATTGATTAAATGTGATTCATTAAACACACCTCCAAATGGAGCAGGAAACAAGAAACACCTTTCCGGTGTCTTAGTCACTGCTTCCTCCTAAATCTGACTCTGTTCCTTAATTTTAACAAGAATTTTGTTGCTTTCTGGCTAATTTGAAACATTTAAAAGACAATTCCCTTAGTACCAGGATATGGTAGGAACTTAATATATGAATGTTGAATGAACATAAGATTTCTTTCACTTCATGTACCAAGATAAGCCTTATTAGAAATGATTTTGAATAAAGGTTACTTTTAATTTAAAAAAAAAAGAAAACAAAAGAAAAGAAAGAAAGGAGGGGGTGGGAGGGAAGGAAGGAAGGAAGGAAGGAAGGAAGGAAGGAAGGAAGGAAGGAAGGAAGGAAGGAAGGAAGGAAGGAGCCACTTCTGGAGCCACTTACCAAATGTGAGGAAGGAGAAAGAAAGAAAGAAGAAAGAAAGAAAGAAAGAAAGAAAGAAAGAAAGAAAGAAAAGAAAGAAAGAAAGAAAGGAAGGAAGGAAGGAAGGAAGGAAGGAAGGAAGGAAGGAAGGAAGGAAGGAAGGAAGGAAGGAAGGAAGGAAGGAAGGAAATTATTTTGGTCCTGGCCGGTTTGGCTCAGCAGTTAGAGTGTCCACCTGTGAACAGGAGAGTCTTGGGTTTGATTCCAGTCAAGGGCATGTACCTGGGTTGCAGGTTCAATCCCAGCCCTGGTCGGGATCTTTTGGGAGGCAACAAATTGATGTGTCTCTCTTGCATAAATGTTTTTTTCTCTCTCTCTGTCTCCCTCCCTCCTTTTCATTCTATCTAAAAATTAATGGAAAAATATCCTCGGGTGAGAATTAACAAAAAAATATATATATTTTGCAAAGCACAATAAACTATGAACCTTGCGTAATTAGAATATACACAATATATAGAATATAATCAATATATATAGAAAATAATCAATATAGAGATATTCTAGAATACCAGTTATTACAGGAACCCAACAGGAAGTAAAAACCAATCGTGCTGATTTCAATGGTGGGTTAGCATGTTTGGTTTTATGTAGTAGTTAAATAAATTGAATAATTAATCAGTCTGTGGTTGCCAGATCCTAATATAGATTTTTATCTAAAATCATCAATAAATTATACTAATACCATAATGCTGTTGACTGAAAATATCCCCACTGTTCAGATGGTTTTAGTTCTTAAAGTGCTCATTTGCCCTCAGCCTATTCTGTTTTGATATTGCCTATTTCCTTTCAGTTCAAGCTATGGACATACTTGAATCTTAATAATACTCAGGCAGTGGGAAATAAAGGTTCAAGAGTCAAGTGGAATATAGATTCTGCACTGTACAGGAAAACATTTCCTAGTTCTCCTCCTGTGTCTTTCTTTATTCTCACAATACTACCATCATACTCATAGTACTTCTGACATCAGACATAGGGTAGGAAGGAGTTTCCTACAATGTGACACCAAACAATTCTCTGTGACACTAGCCAGGTGTCTTATGTTTAACTTAATTCTGACACTATCTGCCTAGAGATCCCACAGGTTAAGGGCTCAGCCCTGTGAGATATCAGATGTGAATCATAAGTGGTAGGCACCCAGGTTACCCACAACTTCTGTCCAGTTGGGCTCCAAACTGGAGGTTCCCATGTCCCTTTCCCCATAGATTCAGTTATTTGCTAGAACAGCTCACAGAACTCAGGGAAACATTTACTTACAATTACCAGTTTATTAAAAGATACAGATGAACAGCCAGATGAAGAGATGTGTAGGGCGAGGTCTGGGAGGGTCCTAAACTCAGAAGCTTCAATCCTCATGGAGTTGGGGTGTGTCACCCTTCCAGTATGTGGACGTGTTTACCAACCTGGGAGCTCTCTGAATCCCATATATTGAGAATTTTTATGGAGGCTTCATCATGTAGGCAAGATCAATCCTTTAACTCCTGTTAGAGTCCCTCTCCCGTCTCCTGGAGCCACTTACCAAATGTGAGATCTTTGGCCTGGTTACTCAGTTTCTCCGAATTCTACTTTTCTCAACTCTAAAATAAAGATAATAAATACCTCTTAGAGTTGCTGTAGGGATTAAATAAGATAATGTATGGCCCGGCCTGTGTGGCTCAGTGGTTGAGCGCCGACCCATGCACCAAGAGGTTGCTGGTTTGATTCCCAGTCAGGGTACATGCCCAGGTTGTGACCCGATCCCCAGTGAGGGGCACGCAGAAGGCAGCCAATCGATGTTCTCTCTCATCAATGTTTCTATCTCTCTCTCCCTCTTCCTCTCTCTCTCTAAAATCAATAAAGAAAAAATATTTTAAAAATAAGATAATGTATATAAAATATCTGACACAAAATAGACTGTAGAAAATATTAGTTCCAGTCTCTCTTCTTTCTTAATAATTCTAACATTCATACAGTGCCTAGATAGAGTTGTTCCCAAATGTCAATTTAAGAACATTTGCCAAGTACCAAAAACCACCTCCCTACCATGGCCTGTGAGACCTTCTGTGATCGAGCCTCTACCTATTGCTCCAGCTGCTCTTCCAGTGCCACCCTCCCTTCACTTGGTGCACTAAAATGTATTGGCATCACTAATCCTCAAACTCACTATGCTTCTTCCACTTCAGAACCTACTCAAATATTCTTTTTCCTGTCTAGATTCTAGAACACTCTCAACTCCTCCTTTCACCTGTGTAATCTCTATTCAACCTTCATCTGTTTAAATGTCACTTTATTAGCAGGACTTTCCTTACATTCCTCCTCAAGATTATGTCTCCTCTTCTGCTCTCTCATAGTATCCAGAATTCGTTCTTCATAGTTAGTTATCACATTCTTAATTATATATTGGTACATAATTATTTGTTGTGTAAATAATTTGTTATAAATTGTGCCCCTACCAATTCAAATGCTGAAGCCCAACCCCCAGTACCTTAAAATGTGACAGTATTGGGGGGATATGGCCCTTAAAGAAGTAATTAAGTTAATATGAGGCTGTTAAGATGGGTCCTAATCCAATCTGACTGGTATCCTTGTAAGAAGAAGAAATTAGGCCACGTGAAGACCCAGCAAGAAAATAGCCATCTGCAAGCCAAGGAGAAAGGCCTCAGGAGAAACCAAACCTGCTGACACATTGATCTTGGACTTCCAGCCTCCAGAACTGTAAGAAAAGTAATTCCTGTTGTGTAAGCCACCAGAATTTTGTTATGGCAGCCCTACCAGAGCATTACATTGTTTAAGGCCTATCTTACTCCACTAGACTGTGACCTCCTTAAAGACAGAGGATATGTCTACATTTCACTGCTGAACTCTCAGCATATAGTTCAATGTCTGGCTTCAAACAGGAGCTAATATATTATTATTTAATTTATGAATTAATAAATAAGCGAATGAATGATGAAAGGCTGGGTCGATTTCATGCTGTCTTCCAGATTTTTCAATGCTCTTCTATGAGACTGACAGCAGACATGTTGAATAAGTATTTATTTGGGGCAGGCAGGAACATTCCAGAAAGCAAGAATCCAAGAGTGTCACATTCTAGGACATTGAAAGGGTTCTGAAATATGTGACTCCAAAGCAGAATATTGGGAGCTGTGGAGTGAGAACCCCAAAGGTGGTGCTCAAATTCCTCTATGCAGCTTGAGTGCTCACAATAGCAGGGTGCACCCATGCATTGGTGCTCTGCTTAAGGAATTCCATGGATCCTCTCCAGGATCTTGGAATAATGCCTCAGAACTGGGAATCCAAAGCTGACACTGGGTCCCAAGATGCTATGGCTTCAAAGAAGCTCCTGAGTGAGTTCTATGTTCAGACTTCCCACATTACCTATACCAAGAGTTTCAGGCTAATCTTTAGGTGTCCTGGAAAGCTAGATGCTCTCCAGGTATTCATAAGAATTACCTAGATCGCCCTGGCGGGTTTGGCTCAGCGGTTAGAGCGTCGACCTGCGGTCCTGAGAGACCCGGGTTCGGTTCCCGCTAAGGGCGCGGACCTCGGTTGCAGTTTGTCCCCGGCCCTGGTCGGTTGTGCGGGTGGCAGCCACTCGATGTGTTCCTTTCACATCGATGTTTCTCTCTCTCTCTCTGTTCCTCTCTCTGCCTCCCACTCTACCTGAACAAAAAATGGGAAAGTGTCCTCGGGTGAGAATAAAAAAAAAAAAAAAGAATTACCTAGATCAGTGCCAATTGACCCTCTAGGGAAGTCCAATGGTCCCATGGAACGCACCTGGAGTTACATGGCCTCTGGGAGTCCACCTGTGTATGGAGACTATAGGATTGCTGATTTGAGAGTCAAGATGATCCTTAACCCTCCCAACAGTATCTCTCTCCAATATTTACGTGGCTACATGCCTAAAATTCTGTCACTAACATGTCACTCTTTGGAGTCAGTGTTACTATATCTGGTTACCTCATTTAAAAAATGAATCCCTGCCCTGGCCGGTGTGGCTCAGCGGTTAGAGTGTTGGCCTGCACACTGAAGGGTCATGGGTTCGATTCCCAGTCAAGGGCATATACCTGGGTTGCAGGTTCATTCCCCGGCCCCAGTCAGGGCTCATGTGGGAGTCAATCAATCGATGTGTCTCTTTCACATCAATGTTTCTCTCCCCCCCTTCACCCCCACTTGGGTGAGAATTTAAAAAAAGAAAAAAGAATACCTATTTCCCCAGTTGCTCCATATTTTCAGTCATTAACATCTTATTCTAAATTATTCATCCACTGTTTCTTTCAGGTAGATTTGACCTGGCTTGGGTCAGAATGGGGAAAAGAGGTCAAAGGTCTTGAATATCCATCCTGCCAACTTCACAGTTTTACTAGGGCTCAGACAACTTGACCACAGGCCCCTACATGCCTAGCTACACCACCAATCGTGCACATTGAGGGATTTTGACTATTCCATGGCATCAAGGAAGGGGAATACCACGCTGTGGCAGTTCTCTGGCTATAGAAGATAAGAAGTAATAAAAGAAAAATTCCTTTATGCTAACCTTTGTTCCATTTTCACCATGGGCCCAGAAATGGTTACTCCTCCTAAACGAGTAGGAGATAATTTCAGCCTCCCATAAAGTTTGATTCCTGGAGGCAGATTTTTTTTTTTTTAAATCCAGCAAGTGTCAGATAATTGGAAGGGTGGAGTAACGCCTTAAACCACGACACACCTTTGTCAGGACTTGTCTGGGAGCAAAGGACTGAAAGAAACAAGAGGGAGAGAAGAAGTGAACATTTTTTAAAGATCACTCAGCTTTAACACACCTTGGCTGGGTCTGGATAAAAAAAAAAAGTGGGAACTGCAAACGTCTAGAAGAAAACATCAGGGAAAGAGAGAGGGGGGATTTATTCAAAGTTGTTACCTGTTCCTTCAAAATCTCATATTAGGTAAGTAACAGGAAAATCTTGACTTTTCTCTCTTCTTCTGAGGCTTTGATTTGAGGTTTGCCATTTAGAATTTAAACGTTGGTTGGAGAAAATAAGATTAAGTTGTTGAGTTTCGAGTGTTCTGGTTGACTTCAATTGTTCTGATTAATTGATCATAAATGATTACTTCGGTTTATGCATTCTGCTTAGAATAAATCTTTTTAAAGGAACAACAAAAAGATTCATCAGTGGTAAACAGAAGAAAAAGGCCAGTTAAGATCAACTGGGCTCTCGTGGCCAGATTTTTTTTTTTGTATTATTTTCAGTATTATAAAATAGTTTGTGTTGTTTTATTTAGAATACGATAAGAGTTTGCAATTTCTTCTCTCTCTCTGATGCCCTTAACAGCAGGGGTGAAGTGTAGGTAAGGGGGTCCTCCTAGAAGTAGCCCCTGAGCACTAAGAGCTGATGTGCTCCCAGGCCTCTGTGCTGGTCAATTAAGCTCAAGGGGCTGGGCAAACGTTGTTGTTTATCACACTCTAAAATTACTACTTGTTTAATCTAAAGTAAAGTGAAATATCTGGAATGATATAATTAATCCTGGAATTTCTGGAGTCAAATGCAGAACAAAAAAAGAAAAACATTTTTTGTGTATTCACACTTTAACTGGCTAATTTGGGCCCCCAAAATCATTTTCAGGTAAGAATTACAAGCATGGTGTCTCACTGGACCACATTAACTACTGACAAATTACCACTTCACTTTTTGAAGTATAAGCAAAGCCTCTGGCACATTACTTCTTTTGAGAATCAGTGATTAATCAGTAGCCTACTAGTTGGATTTGTTATGTCCATAAAATGTAGTGAGATTTGATAAAGAGTCTTTTTTGAAAAGCAGAATTATTCTTTTCTATCTCTGTATGCTTGTCCTTAGAGCTAAGGCACAGAGGTAAGTCAGAACTAAACTAAAGCAGGTGTTCAGCCTCTTCCGAGAATCAGAAGCACCCACAAGAATCTGAGCAGAGTTTATATGAGGAAAGCTAAAGTGAACAGTTCTGCTTTAAGCTTAGACATACACTCCTCATTTTAGTGAAACCGAACTGACCTGAGAACTGACCACATTCTTAGGTGATGCTTGACCAAAAGAAATCTGTGTCTGTGTGTTTTGGCTCATTTGGTGTTATTAACAGAAGTAGGATTTAACCAAACATGTCTGTAAACAAGCTGGTGCCCAAACTCTCCCACTCCCAAGCTATGAAAATCAAAGATGCCAAATATTGCAAGTGGGTCAACCCATTGCTGGGGTAGAGACAAAAGCTTCTGAGACAGTCGACTCCAGGGCATTGGTTTTCTTTGCACTCAAACTGTTTGGCCCTTCTGTGTTTCCAGATCAATAGTTAGTAGATGGTTTTCTTACAAGTGGGCCATTTTGTTGTTGTTGTTGTTTTAAAATTTAAAGTGTACAGAGATGGGAATAATAGGAGCTATAAAAATACTTGTAATACCTTAGCAGAACATAGTGACATTTATTTTTAAAATAGAAAAATACTTAGCTTCTCTCTTCCCTTCTTTGTATAAAAGACTGAGTATTTAATGAGTTGTCAGAGTAAGATAAAAGTCTCTGCCATGGTTTACTATCGCTGCCCTTGCTTGTGTGTGTGTTACATCACATCATCATTGGACTAGTTTTAGGTGACTGTGATATCATTTAAATGAAGTGGAAAGGGAAACTCATAAAAGTAGAAAAATAGTTTTGAATTGTATTTTCTTGCATCAGAAAATGACACGGGATTATTTTTAACATCTTCCACAGAGCATTAATTATGAAATAGCCATGAAGCAGTCCCTTAGAACTATGGAAGAAAATTATTTGGAATTGAGAACTTGAGCAATCTGCTCATCCTTAGTTCTAGTGAAGCAGCCCAAACATCCAAGAAGTTAAAAATTATTCTACTTGACTATGCATCCATTAAGTAGTGTTTTGGAGGAGAGCACACTAGTGAGCACCGTTCAGAAAGACAGGATTGGGCTTGTGCCTGGGCATGTAATTTCCTTTCCCTCATGTTAGTTATACTTTTTAAATCTATTGGCACTTAAAATGTTTAAAAAGGAAGTCTTGTGGAAATACTGTAGGTCCCACAGGATGATCCTTGTCTAGGTTTGTGCCTCAACCCCTCATTTCCCATTTGATAACTCACAGAAAGCTTCCTCTCACTTTTGGTTTAAAGGAATGCATCTCCCAATACCTTCCTGCCACTTCAGACTATCAGTCTGGGGGAGAACTCTGGCAAAGTCAACAGAGCTCCGTCTTGTACATTTTAGGCCCAAGAACTCATTCTGTTTGGCCATGGGACACACATTGGAGGGGCTTCAGGCTGGGAGAGGCAAGGGGCATCTGCCTGCACCCACCTGGGGCACATTCTATCCCAGGGTGCCTGCTGATGAGGAGCCTCCTAGACCCAGAAGGAAGGCACCTGATTTCTTAGCAAGCTCTCTGTGCCCTCTGGAGTTGGGAAACCCCTGGCTTTTTGCTGATTTCAAGGCTCCGTAATTAAGATTAAGAAAAAGATAGAGGGGCAGAGGAATGTGTGTTACTTTTCTGGGTATCAAAACAACAAGAAAACACTTGCCAGTTTTGCTACTTGGACATTTTAACTCTTTTTTTTTTTTTTTTTTTAAACGTTTTTATTGATTTTTTTAGAGAAAGAGGAAGGGAGAGGGAGACAGAAACATCAATGTGAGAGAGAAATATCAATCAACTGCCTCCTGCACACACCCTTCACTGGGGATCAAGCCCGCAACTAGGGCATGTGCCCTGACTGGGGATCGAACCAGGACCTCTCAGTTCATGGGACGATCCTCAATCTAGTGAGCCACACTGACTGGGCAAGAACACTCCAACTCTTACCAAAAGGAGCTATCATCAGCATGCCTTGGTGGCCACAAGTAAAATAAACCCATCCTGCCCTGGCCAGTTTGGCTCAGCGGTTAGAGCGTCGGCCTGTGGTCCAGAGACCCTGGTTCAGTTCCCACTAAGGGCACGTACCTCGGTTGCATTTTGTCCCCGGCCCTGGTTGGGTTGTGCAGGTGGCAGCCACTCGATGTGTCCCTTTCATGTCGATGATTCTCTCTCTCTCTCTCTCTCCCTCCCTCCCACTCCATCTGAACAAAAAATGGGAAAATGTCCTCAGGTGAGGATAAAAAAAAAAAACCCATCCAATCCCAAACTTATAGCTGCCGGCAACTACTTTCATGAAAGGATCAAAATAAGCAATAATTTGTGGGAAATAAAAGTTTCCATGGATTGTTATAAACAGTTTCTTTCAGGATAATGTTTCATATTAATTCAGGTGCCATCCTAGGCGCATCCACTGGCAACCAGGTGCACTTGATTGTTCAATCTTCAAAATGCCTCCCAGTTCACAGCTAATGACGAATTAAAAAAAACAAGTGGAGCTTCAGAGGTACCAAGGCAATTAATGCTTAAGCAAAGGATTTAAAGAGGATGTCGAGTTGTATGTAGGTTTGCACGACACAGTCCATACAGGTTATTGCTGGAATGCAGAGTCATAGGCCGGGTCTGGCCCTCCAGCGAGGCTGGTCTCCTTTGTTGAACTGTTTATGGGCCTCTCCTCTTGGCTTTGGGACACATACCTGCAAAAATACCTCCTGTGGCTTCTCAGATCCACCTAGGAATGTTTCCACGATGCTTCATTCCTTGCCTAGAGCTGCGTTTAAAAAACTTCAATGAGCAAGAAGTTGGCACATCCAACCAGGACCTGAAACTGTGCCGATCTTGGTTAACTCTGCTGGGTAGTTGACCAGCTGGTCTCATGTGGTCTTGCTTTTCAAGCTGGGAAGTTACTCAGGACTAATTATAACTTTCATGGGTCCTACACACTTTTGCCTTTGGGATCCCTTCCTCCATTTAAAAAACAATTTTTTTAATTGTATTTATTTTATAACTGCATTGGAAGAAGGTAATCCAGATTGGAGTGTGTCCATTTCTCCTCCTGATTTTAAAAAGAAATTAAGACACTTTTTTGGGATATGTAAAAGTAGGATGAGATTAGGTGCTAAAATCACCAGGTGAGCAAAAAAGCTTGAAAAAAGAAATTTTCAAGCAAGGGGTGTCCTGCGCAGAAGTGTCTTACCCCAGAATTCCAGAATCCAATTTGAACTTTATCCAAAAAGTAGCCTGGGAGGAAGGAAAGGTTGGGGAGGTGGGTAAGAGGACCAAAGGAAACCCAGATTTCAAGTCCTTTCAGAACCTGAGACTGGGACCTACAACCAAAATATCCCAGTTGGGCTATATCGTCCTGTGTGTTTAGGCTGAAGCCCCACCCCAACCCTCCCCTTGATGCTAGCCCGGCCTCATCCCATCCACACTCAAGGACACAATGGACAAGATCTCAATGATTTTCCTTTCCAGAGCAGAGTAAGCATGAAGGGAGAGCATAGCTAACATACACGATATGTATTTTCCAACGTATTTCAATAGATTTTACATGTGTTTTCTTCATATATTTTTCTATTTATCTCTACAAAACACTCGAGGGCTGGTTTGTTATAAAGAGAAAGTTTCATATTTTTAAAAGTGTAAAGTTTCATATAAACATGACTGTTATGATGGTTATTATCCTGATTTCATTTCATCAAACATCATTCTCACACCTGAACTCTAAATAATAAAGCATAAATGTCATATTCATAGAGCTCCATATAGAACACTGACCGTTAATGGATACATCAAAATGAGTTAGCTGAAAGCACTAAGTGCATTGACAAAAAATGTTTTTTTTTGTTTTTGTTTTTTTTAATCCTCATCCGAGGACATTTTTCCACTTTTTTTGTACAGATAGAGTGGGAGGGAGAGAGAGGAAGAGAGAGAGAGGGAAACATCGATGTGAAAGGGACACATCGAGTGGCTGCCACCCGCACGACCGACCAGGGCCGGGGACAAACTGCAACCGAGGTACGCGCCCTTAGCGGGAACCGAACCCGGGTCTCTCTGGACCGCAGGTGGGCGCTCCAACCGCTGAGCCAAACCGGCCAGGACGACAAAAAATGTTTTATAGTCAAACTTCAGGGTACCACATTTTCTACGTAAACCCTCTAATGCCCAGCAGGGGGCAGGCAGCCTGCTCAATTAGATTCTGAAAAATAAGATCTCAGTACAAGGAATAGAACCTAAATTGGAATTATTAAATTACTCTCTGTTATGATACAAGAAGTGGAATGACTCACAAAAAATATGTACATGAAAGAATTATGCTTTGAATTCCAGGAATTGAGTTTTAGATTCTCAGCTTGCATAGTAGGGACCTATGCTTATGAAAAGTCATGGTAAGAAGCATGGTTGTTTATGGTTTCTGGCTTTTCCACAGGCGGCTATGGTATGGATGTGACCAAGAAAAGCAAGCGGGATGGCACTGAAGTTACTGAAAGAAGTAAGAGCATGATATATATGTCACTATCAAAGTAATACAAATTTGAAAAGAGTACATAATTCCATTGTATCATTTTTTTTTTTCTTTTTAATTTAGCGTGGGTTATTTTGACATTTTAAAAAACTTTATTGTCTGGCCGGTGTGGCTCAGTGGTTGAGCATTGACCCATGCACCAAGAGGTCGCCAGTTCAATTCCCAGTCAGGACACATGCCCAGGTTGTGGGCCCAATCCCCAGTGGGGGGCATGCAGGAGGCAGCCAATTGAGGTTCTCTCTCATTGATGTTTTTATCTCTCTCTCTCTGTCTCTCTCCCTTTCTCTCTCTCTAAACTTAATTTTTAAAAATGGAAAAAAATTTTTAAAACTTCATCATTTTAAAGGTATTTCTAAAAAGACTTTATTCCTTCCCATGTGATGCCTATTGTTGATTTTATTTTAATTTACATGTAATCAAAATGTGTTCTGCTTTTTCTTCAAAGATGAAAACTGCCATTTTGATGTATAGTTTTTATAACCAGCATTTTTAATGGTTGTATAATATTTTGTTGAATGAATTTGCTATCATGTATTTAATCATTTTCTTATTTAGGAATACAGGGCAACAGAAAATCAAAATAATAATATCCCCATTATTGAAGGGACAAAGTTGGAATAACACTAGTGTCGTGGTTGCAATCTACACTGAAAATTGAAAACAGACACATTCCTTTTGTGAAACTGCCTGAATGATAACTTCAAAGACATTTAAACTGTCCCCTTAGCAGCTCTAACTCTTTCACTTATCCTGTGACTTTCATATAAACTCCAACAAAAAATCTGGCTCCTCAGACTTGGAACTTTAGGTTAAGAAATAACTTATTTTTATGTGTCAAAGAATCCCAAAGGTCCATACACTGAGAGGTTTAGTGAAAGCTCAAGACTATTATTCAAATCAAGCTGCCATTTTAGTCTGGAGAAAACCTTTCCTTTAATGTATGGAATGCTGTTTCTGCTACACTCCTAACCCCATGTTCCTGCTAGGACATGCAGTATGAAAAGGAAGGTGAGTAGTAAGACCGGTGTGGGATGGAGCAGTTGTGAGCAGCACAGCTTCAAGTGGCACAGAATGACCCTGAACCATCTTCCAACCTTTTCTCCTTTCACCCTCCACCCATAACCACATGCATGTGTACATGGCAACGTGCATACACATGTACCTGGGAAGGCATACACTGTACACACACACACACACACACACACACACACACACCATTTAAAAAACCAGTGACCTGCCCTGGCCCGTTTGGCTCAGCGGTTAGAGCGTCGACCTGCGGTCCGGAGAGACCCGGGTTCAGTTCCCGCTAAGGGCATGTACCTCGGTTGCAGTTTGTCCCCGGCCCTGGTTGGTCGTGCGGGTGGCAGCCACTCGATGTGTCCCTTTCACGTCAATGTTTCTCTCTTTCTCTTCCTCTCTCTCCCTCCCACTCTATCTGTACAAAAAATGGAAAAATGTCCTCGGGTGAGGATAAAAAACAAAACAAAAAACAAAACAAAAAAAAACCAGTGACCTTAGCAAGATTGTGCTCCTTTATGTCCAACACAGAGGGAGATAATGGTGATGGTCATGGTCAGAGTACAAAACTGGCCCCACTATAGTTTGGGGAATCTATCCATCGCCCCATGCTGCCACAGGGGAGAGGGTGACTTGGGAAGGTACAAAATCTTTCTTCTGTTATTTAAAAAAAAACTCCAGAAGCTTTTATGACTTTCATAGGCTCACCATCACTTGGAGTCTAGAGAAACTCAATTTTGAAAGGCAAAGGGACTGGTTCTTCAAGTCTGTCTGATATTCATCTATCCCCAATTTCACCAAGCACCAAATGTGGCTTACTGACCCCCCTTCCTTCCTAAACCTCCTCACACTCAGGGATGGCCTTGCAGATTTTAGAATGGATTATGATGTCCTTGAGACACCCCAAAATTCATTTTTAAAAGGGGCAAGGTAATTATCCACTTTATAGTGAAATCAGCCAGGATGATGCACTGGCCCCCGCTGGACTGGGTGACCATTTGGAAGGAGCAGTACAGAGGAAGAGTGTGACTTCAGACACTTCAGAGTAACTTGAGGTCCTAGCCCTCCTTCAAAGCCAATCCTAGCCTAGACTGGATCTAATTGTTAAGCAAGTGACACGGACACCATGATAACTCATTTTTCAAATCAATGGTTCTAAAGGGATATACACTTATTTTCCAGGTACATTAAACTCCATTGCTATTGTATATATTGTCAGGTATAGTGAGAAAGATCACATACCTTACCACACAGTATACAAAAATCTCTGTTGAACCTAATTTGATGTGCTGAGCCTATGACAGATATGAGACTTTGTCAAACTACAGGGGTTTCAGTGCATCACATAAGATCTTATCTTTCCCTTGTCTTTTCTAGTTATCACCGAAACAGTAACTACCAGACTTACATCCTTACCGCCAAGTAAGTGACTATCTCAAGAGCTTTCTTCTCAGTGGGTCCCGTGTGAAGGACCTTACGGGGGCTCTCATGCTCCAGTAGAGCAAATCCAAAGTATCTGAAATCCGTTTCTGCTTTTCAGTTATATTGGCATCAATGCATATACCATAAAATCCACCAGTTGGAAGTGTATCATTCAGTGGTTGTTAGTATATTTACAGAGTTGTGCAGCCACTGCAAAAATCTAATTGTAAAGCATTTTCATCAGGCCATAAAGCAATCTGATGGCATTAATAGTCACCCTCATTCTCCCCTCTCCCACCCCAGCCACAGTAGAAAACCACACATCTACTTTCAGTCTTTATAGATTAGCCTGATCTGGATGCTAAAATATTGAAAATCGTATCCAACCTGAGCACAGGTGGGAGCAAGGAACCGCCAGTGAGGCTTCTGTTTGAGTCCACTTCTTCCTCAGGAGGTCCTTAGTGGCTTCTATAATGAAGTTCTGAGCCCTAAAGTTACTCCTGCCCCTCCCAGGAACCCTGGCACACAGAGGAGGGGGTTGTGTGGCAATCCCACCCATCAGCAAGGAAGGTCGGAACATGATGAGCTGCCAGAGGGAACACCAGCAACTCAGCTGTTACTCGTCCCTACAACACTTCTAGGGGCTACATGCCTGGGGCACTGAGAGGCATTTGAAAAAAGCAAGCCCAGCCTAGTCCCTGGCCTCAAGGAGCTATTCATCACTTGTTACCTTTTCTAATATTGAAATTTTCCTAATAAATGACTTGCTATGCTCCACCCAGAAGACGTTCCTTTTAAATCAGGTGTAAATTTGCTTTTGACATTGGTATCAGAAACAAAACGAGAGCCTGGAAGCTTGCACCGTAGATGGGAAAGGGAGCCCAAACCCAGAGGGTCAGGGTTGAGAAGCCAGGGAAGGCTTCCAAGGGGCAAAGGATGAGGGGACCCTCTGGGCTGACTCCACCCATAAATTGTCACCTGCTCCTTGTTTCTGCAGAAGGGGGGACCAGCAATGGCTATGCTAAAACGGGCTCTCTCAGTGGAGGGAGCCGGCTGGAGAAACAGAGTCTGACCCATGGCAGCAGCGGCTACATAAACTCAAGTAAGTGCCTGCGGGTGGGAGTGGGGGAGAGCAGACAGGGAGAGACTGTCCTGCGAGGAGAGGGACCAAACTATCATACACCCAAATGACTCAAAGAGCTATGTAATTGACACAGAACCAGGAAGGTGAGACTTACACATCATCTGCATTTGATGTAGACCTACAATGAGATCAATTTTCATTATTTCCCTAATATAAATAACAATAATCAATTAAGGAGGCTTCATGGGGATGTGGCTCCTTTCTCACTCCCTTCAAGCTCTCTCTTTTTTTTATTTTTTTATCCTCACCCGAGGATATTTTTCCATTTTTTGTACAGATAGAGTGGGAGGGAGAGAGAGGAAGGGAGAGAGAGAGAGAGAAACATCGATGTGAAGAGACACATCGAGTGGCTGCCACCCGCACGACCAACCAGGGCCGGGGACAAACTGCAACCGAAGTACGTGCCCTTAGCGGAAACTGAACCCGGGTCTCTCCGGACCGCAGGCCGACGCTCTAACCGCTGAGCCAAACCGGCCAGGGCCAAGCTCTCTCTTTTAGAGAAGGGTATGCATATCTGAGGGTTTACAACTGGAATTAACAACTAAAGAAACTGAACAATTGGGTCACTGTGTAAAGGGAATCTGATCCCACACTGTGAGTTTCCACTGGGCAAACACCCAACACAGGAGTTGTTCCCCATGACCCACTCCTTCGTTGTAGCTTTCAAAGTGAAACAAAACAAAACAAGGCAGGGGGCGGGGGGAGCACACACATAACCCATGAAGCCTTTTCAAAAATCTTGGAATGACACTAAAAAAGAAGACCCAAGACAGGCAAATGGTCAAGGTGACCAAAAGAAGCACCTGCCCTCCTCTGTTGAGGAGCCTTCCATGTGGGATTATGTTCTAGTCTCTCCAGCAGTGAGCTCCAATTAATGCCAGGTCTTCAAAAACAATCCTGCCGGAGCCCCTCCATTTCCATACACTTCGGCCATGTGCACCAAGGACCCCCTACTTTCCAGTGGGCAACTTGGGCAGGAAGGGGAAGAAGGGCAGGAACAAGGACACCACCCCCATTTCTAAGCAGCCGAGGGAATGCTGGGTGGACCCTTTCAGTGCTAACATCCTCCAGCCCCTCTCTAGGGCCCTTTTCATTCTGAGCAGCCCGATGTACTTAGTTAATATAACTGGCTGTCCACCCACTGCAGTGCTGTGAGGACTGACATTCTTCCTGGCTTGCAGGTGGGAGCACCCGAGGCAATGCCTCCACCTCCAGTTACAGGAGAGCTCCTTCACCCGCCTCCACTCTGCCCCATTCGCCAGGCTCAACCTTTGAAAGGAAAACTCACATCACCCGCCATGGAACATACGAAGGTATCATTCCCGCCGACTTTAAAAGAGAACCACTCTTCTCCCAGTAACTTCACTCATCCTCTGAAGACTGCGCCTCTGAAGTACTGGCACCTACATTCACCTGTGTCTGCCCCTCACCTTTCTCTCCACTCTTCCTTAATTTCTTTTCAGGAATTTTTAGGTGATCTCTCACCCCTTCGTCGTTCATTAATCACTTTCTCATGTGGTGTTTTATCAAATATCGACCATGTGTTTGACACCATGCAGAATGCCTTGATGGATGCTTACGTGGATCGGACATGTCTTCAAGGAGCCTATGCAGCAGTTCTCAACCTTCCTAATGCCACGACCCTTTAATAGCTCCTCATGTTGTATGTGGGCGGATCTGCATGTGGCAGGACCTGCCTGGAGACAGAGCAGCGGTGTCTCGGTTCCTAAGACCACTGGAAATATGTGTTTTCCAATGGTCTTAGGCGACCCCTGTGAAAGGGTCGTTTGACCCCCAAAGGGGTTGTGACCCACAGGTTGAAAACCACAGGCCTATAGTCTAATAGACAAGTTAAGACAACAGATAAAAACTATAATGCAAAGTACAAGGGGGGGTTGTCATCTCCACTGAGTCTCCAGGGAAGAGTCTAGGCAGGAGGTGGCATCTGAACTGGGCCTTCACGACGTGTAAGGTTTTGATATCCAGAGGTGGAGCGAGGGGGCACTCCGGGCTGTGGGCGCAGCAGCACAGCTAAGACAGGAAGGAGAGTCGACGCCTAAGTAGCAAATGTCTGTGGTGATTGGGTAAGAGTGCTTGAGGGACTCAGTGTCAGTGCTAGGCTAACATGCTTGGACTTTATTCTGCATGTAGTGAAAGCCACAGAGATTTTTGAGCAGAGTCTATCATATTTGAGGTCCAGGATTAACACTCTGGAAGCCACATGCAGGAAGAATAGGGAGAGAAGAGGTTGAACATGATGACAAGTTAGACAGTGCTCTATAGCCCAGGGAAGGGAAAACTTGACGGGGACTAGGGTGTTGGCAGTGGGAGAGGAGAGGAGAAACTGGAGGTGAGAGGTATTGCAGAGGGGGAATTGACAGGTTTGACAATTGTTTAAATGTTGGGAAAAGGGGAGTGTCAAAAGTTTAGAAATTACAGAAGTAAAACCAATGAATCACTAAAGTAGTAGTAAAAATTTGTGTGCACACCAAAAAGACAGTTTGCAGACTGGGACCACTCAAACCAAACAGAATGAGGCTCCAGGGTATCTTGTTACAAAGCAGCTTATGTAGTTTATTCTTCGTAGTGACTGGTTATACTATTAGAATCTTCTTAAGTATTAGTGGTTACCTCATATTAACCTTGGAAAACAGCTTAAGTTTTGCTCATGATTTTCAGAGGCATAAGCAAGAAGTGACTCAGGTTAAGTTAGTCTTGCAAAATTAGCTAAAGTAGCTTTGCTTGAATGATTAAACTGGTTTTGTCTACTCAGGGAATTTTTAAGGCTGGTCTCCATTTGTTTTTTACTTTAACGAGAGAAAAAGGAATTAGTGATTCTGTTGAAATTTGAAACACAGGTGATGGGGTTCATGTTGGTGCCAACAATTGCAGCAGGGAGCCCACGTAGATGAGTTCAGTTATTCGGTCCTTAAATAGAGCTGCTGGCGTGGCCTTCAGCTGGGGGCACCAAGCAGGCAGTGGAACTCATAGGACTTGAGCTCATGGAAGAAATTAGGGCCAATATACCCAGTTTGGAGTCATTGACCAAGAGATGTTAGTAAAAGGTAGAAAACGGAAGGAGTTGGCTGAAGAAGAGAGTATAAACAGTCCAGAGAGACCCGGGTTCAGTTCCCGCTAAGGGCACGTACTTCGGTTGCAGTTTGTCCCCGGCCCTGGTTGGTCGTGCGGGTGGCAGCCACTCGATGTGTCCCTTCACGTCGATGTTTCTCACTCTCTCTCCCTTCCTCTCTCTCCCTCCCACTCTATCTGTACAAAAAATGGAAAAATATCCTCGGGTGAGGATAAAAAAAAAGAAAAAAAGTCAGAAGACATAGCAGAAGAAGAGACTTTGAGGGGAGCAGGAGACCAGGAACAGGCAGAGTCATTGAAGTCAGTACAAGAAAGGGCTCAGGGTCAAGAAGGAGAAGGCAGGAGGTAGGTTACTGGCGTTCTGGTGATCCGCAGAAGCAGTTTTAGTGGAAAACAAACAAGCCCGACAGCAAATGGGTCTAATGGTGACTGGAGACGCAGAATTAGGGATGGGCCCCCAGTAAATGATTTAAGACCCAGAACTGCCAGGGGGGCTTGGGGAGCCCCAAATCCAGGCGAGGAGGGTGGTGTCACCACAGTGCTTTCTGATGTGAGGCCTGCACAGGGCCTGGTACATTCATTTTAACAGGGTCCACATTCAGGACAACCTTCACAAGGTCAGAGACACCCTAGTGCTAAGAGCATATTTACTTGACCAGGGACAGGCCACCAGCACTGGCATAGGGCAAACAGTTGAGGAAATGAAAACAAAAAAGAAATAAAAAGCTCCTTCATTTCTTTGTTCAAACCTTGCTCCATTGAAGTAGACCAGGGACCAGACTGAAGGGCCACAACCAAGTCCGATAGGCAAAGCGGATTTAAATGGGGAGCCTGCTGAGGAGCACCTGTCGTCCTGCAGAACACATAGGCTGCGAGGTTCAGAAAGGAGGGACCCAGCACCACCCTCTCGGAAGCTGTTTGGGTTCAAGTGATCATTGGTACAGGCAGACCTCAGAGATATTGTGGGCTAGATCCAGACCACCACAATAAAGCGAGTTGTAATCTTTTTACTGGTGGAGGGTCTTGCCTTCAATTTGTAGAAAACACAACACCTGTGAAACGCAGTAACGTGAGGTGTGCCTGTACTGAGTGTTTTATCCTCTCTCCAGGGAGCTCCAGCGGCAATTCTTCTCCGGAGTACCCTCGGAAGGAATTTGGTATGTCCTTTCCTCAAATGAGACACTGGGAAAGGGCCTGGAATGTGAGGGGAGGGAACATGAGGTGTTAAATGTTTTCTTCCAAAAAAGTTTAACCTCTGCGGACCTGTTTTCCCTTGCTTTTTATCCTGAAACATTTAAGGGGACTGTCAACCACATTAACTTGCTGTTGTAGCTTTTTTTGCTCGTGAGGCTAATGAAATAGCCAGCTATTCGTACAAGGCTCAGGCGTAGACAGATAAGCCCTAAGTTCAAGCAACAACTGTAGAACTTTTCCTTCCACAAAGACCTCCCAGCAAAGAGGAGCAGGGGTTAGAACACACAAATGCCAAACATCCCAGCACTTCCTCCATAGCAGGCTTCAAAGGGGCACGTGTTATGCCAAGTGAAACCTAGGTATCTTCACTTGGCATTAAGTCTTTCATCCATGTTCTCAAATTCTCACTGTGCATATGAATTGATGATATGATCATTGATTGTACAGTGGTTATAATTTTATTTATTTGCTTCTAGTGGGAAAATCAAAGCAATCTCTAACAAAAAAACTAAAGGAAAGATCTGGCAATCTTTTGATACATTTGATCAGTGTGGAGTCAGCCAATCCAAATAGATCATGCTCCCAAATGGGTTACCTCAGCTAACTTAACACTCTGAGTATGAGCTAACTTAACATCCCTTTAGCTACCTTAACACCCTAAATGCACTGGGGCCTTGCAAAACTTGCTCTGCCTTTTGGCTACATGGTCATCGTTTATTAAACACCTACTGCCCATAAGGACTCCTATTTGGAAAAACATACTGTGAAAACCAGCTACTTCCCCTACCCAAATAGATCTTACCCTCCCCCCACCACCGACATCAAAAATATTTAGCATGCCACCTCTTATCCGTACCTAAGATAACTTTTCTTTGTTTCTCAGCATCTTCTTCAACCAGAGGACGGAGCCAAACACGAGGTGAGTTCTATCTCTGGGTTCAATTCAGTTCATTGAGCAAGTATTTTCTGAGCATCTAATGTGTGTCCTTGAGCAGGAAATGGGAGGAGTAAAGAAGAATAAATAAGGCATGTTCTGCCCTCAAGGAGCCTACAGCATCCTGAGAATCTTTCTGGCTCTACCAGGATGGGAAGGGTAGATTTGATGGTAATCTAACAAGTACATGGAAGCAGGAATGAAAACACATGGTAACCACCTGGGCAGTAGTTAGTTCTGCTGTGGATTGTCTGAAGATGCTGGTGCTACATCTTGTTTCACTTCTAGCCTTCTGGTTGACTTTAACAAGATGCGCTGTGATTGACTTTATGCATCAAAACTGAGCAAGAGCCCTTCTTTTTCAAATTATTCCAGGGGCCAAAGGGCTCTGTGACAGTTTTGGACTCTCCATATCTGTCCAGAGACAAGGCTAGAGGAGAGAAATGTAGTCCTGGGGAGGGCTGCCCTTGATGGATCTGGTGAGGAGCAATGTCAGGGCCACGTGGAAGGCAGAGTTCTTCACAGGCCTCCAGGGTTCTTGATGACCAGCCTAGACTTCCTATGGGCCTTGTCGCAGCAGTGGCTTGAAAAGTGAGGACCATACCAACCACCCACAACTCTAGGCTCATAGTTGAAGCTCATAATGTTAAACTCACTTTCTGCCCTTTCCATTTCTGAAGAGGCCAAAATGGCTAAGAAACACTATAGGTTTTAGAATCCTATCACTACTACCTGAGAGTCCCTGGAGGCAGGAGAGCAGCCTGGTTTGGGGCACTGGGTGACTGGAAAGGGACTGGCCATTGATGATTGTTGGCCCTGTTCAGCCTGGTGTTTCATCAGAACATCTCCAGGTGACTGGAGGTGTAAGCAGTGGGCAGGTTGGGGTGTAGAGAGAGCACGTCTCTTTTTGAGCAGCAGTCGGTCCTGAGTATACCTAGGTTTCCTGTTCCCGGGACACAGATCTCAGAGCAGCCTGAAGACTTACCCACTGTCCAGAGCTCAGTGTCACGCATGTGACCCAAGTTCCTTCATTCACAACCTTCTCCTCTTCCCTCATACAGAGAGTGAAATCCGAGTTCGACTGCAGAGTGCATCCCCATCTACCCGATGTAAGTGGTCACTGTCTTGCTGAAAAGAAACGATCCAGGAATCCAGAGCTCCATGTGCATGTGTGTGTGCAGTCACACAATCATTAAATGTCTCTAAGGGCCTTCTGTGAGAGGGACCCTGGGCTAGGTGCGGGGGGCGGGGGTAAGGAATAAGTCATAGTCCCTGCTGTTTTGTTGTTCGCAGATTAATGGGGAAACAGTCAATAACCAACCATGACAGCTCAGGGAGTAGAGGGAACAGGGGCCTGGGAAGCCTTTGTGGGTTAGTGTCACTTGAAGGGAGACTGAAAGGTGGATCAGTTAGGCTCCACGGGATGAGCCAGCAGAGACATTTGAGGAACACGTGATGAGACTTTGGAGAAATGTTCAGTGTGGCTGAAGAAAAATAGCAGGAGGGGACCTCATGGGATAGTTAAGATTAGAGAAGGTCAGAAGTAAAGTATGAGAATTTGAACATGATCTCAAATGACAGGGATTCCCCATCTCTGTCTGCTGACTGTGTTAGATTTCTGTTCTTCTTAGAGATTATTTCACTTTAAAAAAAAATTTTTTTTTTATGGTATGTGCCCCTAGCGGAAACCGAACCCGGGACTCTGGTCCGCAGGCTGACACTCGACCACTGAGCCAAACTGGCCAGAGCTAATTCACATTTTGAAATAAGCCCAACTGTTAGGATGGGAGCCAAGTATAGAGTAGGAGGAGAAAGAGCTGAGTGAGTGGCTCAGGAATCAGAGGCGGGTACTTGCCCAAAGAGCTCAGGGCCTGAGGTCAAGGGGTCTGACTTTAGGCCTGATGCTCTCTCGCCTAATCAATTCCAGGTTTAGAGGTGCTGAGTCCAGAGGGTGGGGATATCAGGGAGGGGGTCCTGGGTGGTCCTCCAGCACAGGTTGTTTGCAAATCTCTTTGCCTCCTCTTAAACATTGCCCTTGCACGATGCCTCTCTGCTCTTTCCTCCTCTCCTGTTTGCCACATTGAGAGGCACAGGGAGCCTGCTCCACTGGATCACCTTGCTACAAATAACATCAGCCAGACTTGAAATGAACTCACACAAAAGCACCATAATGTTTAGAAGTTATGGGCCACAAATTCCTTTGACACTACAGAACATACAAGGTCAGGGACCTGACCCCTGAGGCATCCTATGCAGGGGTTGAAATCACTATTGAACCACTTGTTTCAAGGGGCCTGGTTCTCTAACTGCTCTGGGTATAAATTTACCTTCATCCAGGATGAGAGTGTCTTTCAGCCACAGAATCATCCCTGTAGTGTCTAATGAGGTATAATCAGGAAATATCTACCAATGACTTTGACCTCATTATAGAGGAACTGTATTTATGGGGCCATTAATATTATAAAGTGCCAGGTTAATAAGTGCTATAAATTGACAAAATGTGAAAATTATAAGGCTAACCAAAAATGTCCCAGCATGTGAAGCAGATGCCACCCCCCCTAGTATTCAGAATGCCATGAAGGTAATTCCCACTGCAGCTGGACTCGAGAAAGAATCCTGGGCCTAGCGGAAAATGTGGGGATGCTTTTACAGGGACAGAACTGGATGAAGTTAAACGACTGGTCAAGGGGAGCCGATCAGCAAGTGTGAGCCCCACTCGGAATTCTTCCAACACACTCCCCATCCCCAAGAAAGGCACTGTGGAAACCAAAACCGTGAGCTCCCAGTCAGGTAAGCCCTGCAGCCCGGGGCTGCCACCGAGGGAAGGGAACAAGGTCGTAGACTTGGCCTGGCCGGGAATTCCCCTACCCTGGCCGGCCTTTAAGACTGTGGCAAAGCACTGCCCTCTGTGCAGAATGAAAATGTAGACTGATCCACCACCCCATGTGCACCCTGAGTTGGGCTCTACATCCTAGAAATTCTCTCCAGGAAGTTTCACATCTCCTGGGAATGTGTTGTCCAGGTTCCTCAAAGGAAGAATATTGGGGAAAGTTGTCATGTTTTTTTTCATTCATTTATTCATTCATTCAGTGAATGCTTCTTATATGCCTCTTCCATGCCAAGCAGCAGGCACTGAGGAAAGGCACTGAACAAGGTAGACACAGCCACTGCCCTCGTGGGGGTGAGGGCCTCTGGGGAGTCGGATAACCAAGAGATCATAGTCAGGTCAGATGAGTGTGCTCCACACTCATGCATCACATGCCTACCAAGTGTAAGGCAGGTTCTGTGGGAGGCAAAAAGAAGACAAATGAGAAGATCCTTGGAGGGAGATGAAGAAAGAAGCCAGTTCTGCTAGGATGGGAAGTTTTCCTGTTCTTTGCTACTGGAAAAACAAAACAAAACAAAAAAAAACCCCTGAGACTGTGGTCTTCCTTTTGTTTTTTAATACAACAGAAACCTCAGAGCACTGTATGACCTGTGTGGCTAGCTTCCTTCATTATAAGGAATAGGCAGAATTGGCTTCAGATTTGAAAAAGCACCAAAATCCCTTCCCGGGGGCAGAGTGTCCCTTGGGTCTTGTTGGCAAGGAGAGTTTAACAAGAGAAGGCTGCCATCCGCGTGGTGCCACCTCTGAAGTGAGGGCTTCCCACCTGTGCTGCTGTGTGCCTGGGATTCTGTCGGCATTCGCCGTGGAGCCTCACTCACTATGGAGCCTCACTCGCTGCTCCTTGTATCTTTGAAGTGAGAGTGAGAACATTAGTGGAGACAGCACACCAGGAGGTGCGGACAGGAGACTTAGAAGGAGAAAAGAGTGACCCCAGAGCAAAACTCACCTACTTCAAATTTCATCGAGGGCCAGCAGATGGAGCCCACTGGGTCACCTCAGCACAGGGGGCTGGTTTGTGTCTCACTGGGTGTGTCTGTCTGTCTGTGTTTCCAGTGTCTGGTACCTATGACACAACCATCCTGGATGCCAACCTTCCCTCCCACATGTGGTCCTCCACCTTGCCAGCAGGGTCCTCCATGGGGACCTATCACAACAACATGGCAACGCACAGCTCATCCCTCCTCAACACCAATGCCTACTCTGCAGGATCGGGTATGTGATGCTCAGTGTACATCCTCCCGCCCCTGAGCCCTCCACACCTTCACCTGGAGCTGAATAACCCCGCTGGCATTCATGATCCCCAAGGCTTCCTAGAGGGGTGTTCTGTGGCCATACATCCCAAGGTTTTTCCACTGGAACTTTAGTTCAATTCAATCTCTAAGGTGTTTCTTTTGGTGGGTCCCCTATAAAAAGACCTATGTTATACAGTGCATCAGAAAAAAATGCAATGGGAAAGAACATGAAAACAGATGCACGGAACCTAGTTTCACTAAATACAGATTAACTGTGTGACCTTGAGCAAGTTATTTAACTTCTCTGGGTTTTAAGTTCCGTTGCTGTAAAATGTTCACTAACAAATGGGGCTTTGACCACAGCTAATGTCCACTCGAAACCTAACCAACTTCCAGCCACCCCTTGGCTATGATCTAAGGCACACCAGAAACTAATGTATGGTTCTCTGCTGCAAGGCAAGAGCCTAAGATTTTCCCAAAAACAAATTTAACAAAATATAAAAATGCAACCCTGGTGTTTCTTCTGGAGCTTCTATGGTACCCCCTCGTTCTGGGCTGGATGTTCCTCACACCAGTCAATCCTTCCCTGCAGTCTTTGGAGTTCCAAACAACATGGCATCCTGCTCCCCTACTCTGCACCCCGGAATCAGCACCTGCTCCTCAGGTCAGTGCTTGCCAGCTTCAGTCGCCTTTTCCAGGTGGTTTGCTTTTAAAAACAATAGTAAGCAAAATGAGGAAGACCTAATAGTTTCTAGAGAAGACACCCTTTCCGCCCAGGAACATGAGGACACTCCTGCATGTATACCAATGCAGAAGCAGTAACTAAGGGGCTGTGTTAGAAGGCAGAGCCTGCCTTCAATCAGGAAGACAGCTTAGTCCCCAAGGGAGAGGTCTAAGTGCCGAGGGGCACTAAGTCTCACTTACATGCTTCTTCTGAGAGGTGGAGAAATGGAAGCAAAGAAGCTAAGTGAGGCCTGGCTTAGGACATTTCAGGTAAAAAGCACTACATTAGAAGGTTCTTAATTCAGATCTTTCTATAAATATAGTAGTTCACTGGGAGCTCAAATTTATTCACTCTATTTCCACATACATTGCAACAGCCTGTATGTAAGTTACCAGCCACGTCTTTTTTTTTTAAAGGAATGTGCCTCCTTCCTACGACATTATGACTAATAAATATAATGATGTGGGCCTCCTTATTTACTTGGCTAGCATATCCCCAAGTGCAAATTTACATTCTGATTTTCAATACCTCCAATTGACTAGCATCTTACCAAACCCAAAAGAGACCTAGTTCGTGTTTTATTTCTTCTGCCTTTGCTTTTGTACTTTGCAAAGTCCCGACTGAAGATATTGAATCCATAATCTTATACCCCAAACACTAGATAGGATGGAATAAGAGAAGCTGTTAACTGGGGAGGAGGGAGCTTCTGTACACTGTTAAATACAACCAGCCTTTGAAATCAGAATGCGGGTGAGGGGAGCTTGATGCATTTGAGTGGGAAGAAGTGTTCAAGGGAAAACGAGGGCTCTGCCAAATCCATGCCTTTTGGCCCCCAAGTGTCTGTATCCTGTGCCCACAGTTTCCATACTGTACACCAAGGCACCCTAGGGTGCCATAGGGAACAGGGAACCCTGGGATATTGTTAAATTTCAAGGGTATTTTTATTTTTTTATTTTTATATTTTTATTAGAATTAAATTACAAAGTATTATTCAAGGGCCTTAAGTGAATTGCAATTCAGAAAACACTATCAGCTAAGACCCAGAGTATTCTAAAGAAAAAGAAAAGTTGAGAGTTTTTATAGTAAGAAAGCACATTCTTGAGAAGAATCAGTTCTGCATTCTTAGCTTCTGGATTAGTCCAAGGGTATTTTTTAAAAATATGTTTTTATTTATTTTATTTTTTTAGAGAGAGAGGAAGGGAGAGAGAGATAGAAACATCAATGTGAGAGAGCAACATCAATCGGTTGCCTCCTGCACGCCCCCTACTGGGGATCAAGCCCGTGACCTGGGCATGTACCCTGACTGGGAATCGAACCAGGACCTCTCAGTCCATGGGATAACACTCAATCCACTGAGCCACACCAGCCAGGCATTCCAAGGGTATTTTTAAAAGCAGTGAAATCTGTCAGACCCTGTGTGAACTACCACTGTAAGTTGTGTGGAACTAACTACTCAATAAATGGAACTGTTAGTAACTTTTGGCCTGGGGTGGAGAGGTGGGGCATAAAAAAAAGTTGCCGTGTCACTTAGAACTGAGAAAGTATGGGAATCTCTGTCATATGCAGAGGTGTTTGTTTATCATAAAAGTGGTGTGGGGGACTGGGGTGGGGGGCTGCCTTAAGCTGAGACCCTCCTCTCTGCACCTGCGCTCACCTGTCTTCAATTTCTTTCAGTGTTTGGCATGCAGAACAATCTGGCCCCCAGCTCATCTGCCTTGTCCCATGGCATGGCCACCACCTCTACAGGTCAGTAGCTGAGGTTTAGAAGTTAGGGGCTGGGAAGTAATGCCTCTTTGCAGCTATAACTCACAATATCCCTCTTCAACAACTAAATCAGAGGGACCGAGATGTCACTAAAAATCAATCAATCTTTCCCACTAAAGAAACAGCCCCCACTTCCAACCTAGAGATACCTACCTTGATTATGTGGTGGCTCAGACATGTGAAACCCCAGGAGAGCATTGCTTTGGGTTGTCATTTGTATAGCCCTGTGACCCACTACTGTCCTTAAGAGCCTACTATCACTGCAAATCAATCATCTGGCTGTTTTTATGGTTTACTCCCTGTGCAAACCTGGGGGAGGGTGGACAGAAGAGACATGAGCCTCAGTCCTGGTCCTCAACTTACTTACTGTTTAGTTGAAGTAGAAAGTATAATAAGCATAAAACAATTGGGGGCTTCTATAAGACGACATGAATCAAATTGTGCAGAGCAGGTGTTAGGGTTGCCGGAGTTCAGAAGAGAAGATAATGTGGGGAGGTCTAGGAGGACTTCATGGAGGAGATGACCTTTAGAACTGTCCTAGAAGGATGAGAATTATACCAAAGAAAGTTCTATCTAAACTTTCATTGTTGCCCCCATGGCTTGAGAGAGTTTACTTCATTATTTATTATTCTTCATTTCATTATTCTTTCATCATTATTATTATTTTTTTTTTATCCTCACCCGAGGACATTTTTCCATTTTTTGTACAGATAGAGTGGGAGGGAGAAAGAGGAAGAGAGAGAGAGAGAAACATCCATGCGAAAGGGACACATCGAGTGGCCGCCACCCGCACGACCATCCAGGGCCGGGGACAAACTGCAACCGAGGCACGTGCCCCTAGCAGGAACAGAACCCGGGTCTCTCTGGACCGCAGGTGGACGCTCTTACCGCTGAGCCAAACCGGCCAGGGCATATAAAGACTTTTTTTTTTTATCCTCACCCGAGGACATTTTTCCATTTTTTGTTTAGGTAGAATAGGAGGGAGGGGGTGGGGGGTGGGGAGAGAGAGAGAGAGACAGAAAGAGAGAAACATCGATGTGAAAGGGACACATCGAGTGGCTGCCACCCACACGACCAACCAGGGCCGGGGACAAACTGCAACCGAGGTACGTGCCCTTAGCAGGAACAGAACCCGGGTCTCTTTGGACCGCAGGCCGACTCTCTAACCGCTGAACCAAACTGGCCAGGGCTCATCATTATTCACTATTGTTGTCTTCCTCTCACATGGGGAGGCTGCCTGTCTGCCAGGGCTGGTCAGCTGCTTCTAAGTTGCGTCAAGCTGCCTTCCCACACTGGTCCCACTCACTCACTCAGTGGTTCCTCTTTTGCAGCATATGGTATAAAGAAAAACGTACCCCAGAACCCTGCCGTTGTGAGCACTGGCGTGTCCACCTCTGCCGGTGAGTGCCATCCCCAGCTGCTGGGGCAAGCTGCAGTGCAGGGAGAATTTGCTCTTCAGTGACACATGGCATATAGGAAGAGGGGATATAACCCACTGATGGTCTAAGGTCCCAAATGGGGCCTCTTGGTTATTTCCAGAAATGAGCAGAGATGAGCATCTCCCTGACCTTACCTTGACCTTTCTGTCCAAGGGAGGCAGGAAACTTCACCCTGTATACCTGCCTAGGATCAGACACTTACACCCAAGTTCTCACCCTTGTCTGGAAGCCTCCGTCCTGCTCCTGTTACATGTCACCAGGGAGCTGGTCAAAGCTGCCACACCCTCCCTACTTTCTGTAGAATCTTTGTTGATCTGGGCTCATGGCCCAGGGTCGGCTATTTCCACCTTTGCTCTGATCCTAGTGCATTTCCTTCCAGTCACTGTTCTAAGTGCCTAGACCACGGGATAAATAAGACAGGCTAGGTTCCTAACCTCACCAGGCTGACAAGTGCAGTAGAGGCAGATAAATAAGTAGAAAAAGTATACAAGATAATTTGAAGGAAAGAAATGGGTGAGGTAGTAGAAAAAGGAATGTGTGTATATTAGAGTGGTCAGGAAAAAACCCCAGACCTCTAACACTTGAGACCCGAAGGATAGAAATGAACCCACCCAGTTAAGGAAGGGCCTGTCTCAGAAGGGGACTTTTGTCCATTCACTAAATATCCCATAACATCCAGGTGGGAGGCAGCCCATAAGCCAGCCTCTCAGTACTTCTGACATGGACCCAACCTCCTCATGTCCAGGCCCAGCCAAGTAGGGGAGGTTGTCTTTGGTCCCCAGATGCTTCCCAGCAGGCACTCTCAGGGAGACCAGAGATCCCTGGACACACCCACTAATCTCTCTTTTCCTCCCGCTCCTTCCTTCTCCTTCCTCTTCTGGTCATTTCTTCCCTCTGCCTTCTCCTGGCACCTTTTCCTTCCTCCTCACCCACTTCTTTCCTCTCTAGCCTGTACCACAAGTGTCCAGAATGACGACTTCTTGCACAAGGACTGTAAATTCCTGATCCTGGAGAAAGACAACGTGCCTGCCAAGAAGGAGATGGAGCTGCTGATCATGAACAAGGACAGCGGGAAGGTCTTTACTGCCTCCCCTGCCAGCATCGCTGCAAGTAGGTGGGAGCCCAGGTGACTCAGACAGTGTAGGAGACCACGTGTCCCTAGCAAGGTGATCTGAGATGGTTATTATTTATTCATTTGTTTATTTATTTATTTATTTTTATTCCTCTCCTGAGGATATTTTTATGCTTATTATCAGATAGAGTGAGAGGGAGGGAGAGAAAGACAGAGAGAAACATCAGCATGATAGAGCCACATTGCCTCCCGCACGACCTGACCAGGGCCAGCGATGAATGCAACTGAGGTTCATGCCCTTGACCGGAGTTGAACTGTGACTCATTGGTCCACAGGCTAATGCTCTAACCGCTGAGCCAAACTGGCCAGGGCTGTTTGAGATGTTTTAATAGTGAAAGCACAGTCATCCTTTCAAATGAAAGTAATGCCTGCCTACACAGGGTGTTCCCAGGGTCTGCCTTGAAATGCAGACAAGGCAGAGGGGTTTGGGGGCAACAACAGCAAGAGTCTCAACCACAAACGCAGATGGGAAAATTAACCCCAGGAAAGCTGGGTCCTCCTCCTACCAAGCTAACCGCTATGTCCCCATGTGGGACAGGATATAGAGTGGGGTTGGAGAGTGGGGAGCGAATATCCCAGATTGTCACGGGTTGTGTGCACAGCTTCTTTTTCAGATGACACCCTAAAAAAGGAAAAGCAAGCTGCCTACACCACTGACACCAACCTAATCTTGGAAACAAATGGTAAGACCAAATTTGATTGCTCTCTACCTTGCCTTCAGCCAATCTACATTTCATTTATTTATTTGTCTCCTGAGACCTCACTACTCTAAGTCCCTGGACCAGCAGCAGTTGGCAGTACCTGGGAGCATGTTACAGATTCCCAGGCCTCCTGAATCAGAGGCTACATTTTAACAAGCTTCCAGCTGATTTGTGTGTACACAGTATTGAAACAAAAGCTTTCCCGTGGCGTTTAAGGTCTATAGTGGGGTGTTTTTTTTTTTGGTTTGTTTTTTTTCACCTTACTCATCCTTTCTTAATTTTCAGAAGTAAAAGAAAATTACTTTGCAAAGCACTTGGCTAGCTTTATGTTTTTCTTCCCAAATATCTGAATTCTCTTATAAACGCATTGCTTCACTACTCTGGGTCCTGAACCATCTCTCCAAATCATTTCTGGGGAAGAGGGGAGGGGGCGGGTGAGTAAAGGAAGGAAAAAGTACATCATAGAACATTTTTAGATAAATACAAATGAAATCAGTTTCAATCCTGACGATACTTAACCCTCAGTTCCTTACATTTTAGGGGTGGAAATGGGGCAGTGGAGCCAAACACCCTTTCAGAATCTGATGAAAGCTGTAAACAATTTTCTCAGAAAACTGTGCACATGCCCACAAACACTCAATAATCAAATAGCATCAGGAACTCATGAACAGCCCTCCTCCTAGCCCATCCTTGCTGTTGGGTTCCCTCCACCGCAGGTCAGGAACTTTCATTCAAAGTCCCTTAACCAAAAAAATCAAGAGTCCTTTCTCACAAGCACATTTATGGTTTGAAAGCAAAGGTCCCTCCTAACATGGTCCTCTGAAAACGTCTAGGGCTTTCAAAGTTTCAGGTCACAAGAGGATTATAAAACTGCACTTTTCCACCATTAATTGTTTGCCAAGCCATGTCTGCATTGATTTAATTACTCGAGGTGCCTGGGTGGGGGGGGGGTGGGGGGGCATATCTACCTGAAGCCCTGCCCAAAATCTGCACAGAGGCTGTCTTGTGGGCTCCTTGCATTTAAAAGCTCAGGTCAGCCCAGCCAATGTGGCTCAGTGGTTGGGCGTCAACCCATGAACCGAGAGGATGCCAGTTTGATTCCTGGCCAGGGCACATGCCCAGATTGCCTGCTCGATCCCCATTGGGGGTGTGCAGGAGGCAGCCAATTAATGTGTCTCTCTCATTGATGTTTCTCTCTCTCTCCCTCTCCCTTCTTCTCTCTAAAAATCAATGAAAACATATTTAAAAAAAAAAAAAAAAAAAAAAGCTCAGGTCAAAAGCTGTGTTGTTGGTGTTTGTCTTTCAGGAGACGTGAAGACCGTGTCCACAAAGGGCAAGGCGGCCTCCGCAGGTAGGCGAGACCAGGGTCCCCAGTGACAGAAGCCCACGGAACTGGTTGTGGGAATGGAACAGATAAAGCCCGCTGGCCTGAAGCCAGTGCACACCTGAGCCGCCCAGCTCTGAAGAATGTCCCTGAAGGCCTGAGGGGAGCAGGGAGGAGGGGGCAGGCCGGTGCTAGAGGGGCTGCAGAAGGACTTTAGCTTAGTGGCTGTTGCTCACAGCTCCTCCCCTGCATTTCTAGTACCTGTTCTCTGCCGGCAGGTCCAGGTCTCCCCACATGGCAGGAGCAACACAGCAAGGCTGCAGTTGTCTCCCCCCCCCCCCCCCAGGCTTCAAGGTGACACTGATTCACATGCGTCTCCAGCCCTTTACACTTCCCTCCCTTCCTTCTACAGCCTTATAAGAGAGGCAGAGCAAGGGTTGGCACCCTATTTTAGACACTAAAAAACCTTTTTACAAAAAAAGATTTACTGGGCACACCTTAAGTGCTGAGTGTAATGCTGGGCACTTGGGGATTACAAAGAAAGGATTGTGAATACTGAGACACGGAGATGGGTATGCCTTTGGTTTGGGCCTAATAAAATGTAGGAGGTTGTGGCAAATCAAAGTTCATAATGAAGATTTTGTAACCCAGCACTCTGTGCTACATCCTTTGCTCATTACCTTTCATGCCTCTGGTTTCGCTCAACAACCATCCTATGAAGTAAATAATCTTTTACCCTCATTTTATGTTTTAAAAAATGGTGGTGGTGGTGGGGGGGGGAACAGAGTAGTTAAGTGGCCATCCCAGGGTCACACAGCTCAAGTCTAGGATTGTCAGACTTCTGCTTTTCACCAGCCACGGGCCTATGTCCGTTCTAGGAGCCAGCCTCAACCCTCACTGAGCTGCAGAGGAACCTGGAAGACCCACCTACATTCTTTCAGGCCCACAAGAAGTCACCAAAAGCCATAGAATTTAGAGGAAAGAAAACAGAAGCACCTGCATTCACCTTACTCTTACCCTTCCTTCCACAGAAATCCACAGCTACGACCGACATAACGGAGTTGGTGGCGTTAAAGTTGGCGGTGGCGGCAGTGGTGCTGGCGGGGGTCCGTTGGGGGCAGCACCCGCCTGGTGTCCCTGCAGCTCCTGCTGCAGCTGGTGGAAATGGCTGCTGGGGCTGCTGCTCACCTGGCTGCTGCTCCTGGGGCTGCTCTTCGGCCTCATTGCTCTGGGTATGTGGCGGTGGTGGCGGGGCAGCAGGTCTCACCGCCCACTCAAAAGGCAGGAATCAGCCAAAGTCCCAAGTGTTGGGGCTAAGAGGCCAGACAGCATCAGTGCAGAGCCCTTGTTACTGCAGAAGCGGAAACTGAGGCTCCAGGAAGCACCTGGCCAAGGTCCTGAGGCCACTTAGCGGCAGAGCTGGGATTCATAGCAGTTTTGTCCTCCAGGCTCTGTCGGCCTCACACCAGCTCCCAGAAAGAGTGAGGGCCCGCACTGGTCACTATCTCAAATGAGAAGACTGACCCCCACCCCAGGCCAGGTTTCTTTAAGGCTCGACAACAATTTTGAGTAACTAATCCAGCTGGTAGCATTCCAGCAAAATGTCCCCAGTGGCATGAAGAAGCTCCCCAGACCCCAGAGCCTCTAGCTCAGGCTCCCTGTGGGGAGTGAGTGTGTGCTCGGAAGGCACTGGCTCTGACCTCGGCCTCTGCTGCCCCCTGATTCAGCGGAGGAGGTGAGGAAGCTGAAAGCGCGTGTGGACGAGCTGGAGCAAATCAGGAGCAGGATGGTGGATTATGAGAGGATGCAGAAGAGCAACAAAGAGCAGCTACAGGGGATGGCGCCCAGGGTGGACAAGTCTCAGCGGGACTCCTACAGTCAGGAGGCGCTCTGGCTGTTCATAAGGGAAAAGCTGATGACGGAGCAAGAAAACGGTGAGCGCATCACAGGGCGAGGGGCCGGCCTGCTCCCACTCACTGCTCCTTTGCCTGTGCGCAGAGTGGGGCCTCTCGGGGGACTCCCACACTCCCTTCGCACCCAGGACCAATATTGTGGATCCATTTTACTTTTGGGAAAACTGAGACCTGGAGAAAATTGCCCAAGATCACACAACTAACACATTTCAGAATCTGATTGCTAGTCCTAACCTCGGTTTCTTCCCACTGTACCACAAAGATCCCTTTCATGTGTGGGTATGTCACACAGAAGATGTGTAACTAACTCAGGGTTTACTTTCTCTTGTAGGCAATCTCCGAGGAAACCCTGGCCCTAAAGGTATTGTGGGGCATTTAGTCCGTTCTTTCTCATTTCCTGAACTTGGAGCCATGTTTTCTGGCTGGAGTGGAAAACTTATTTCCAAATTGAAGGAAGAGCAGTAGACAAGTCTTATGGTGTCTGTTAAGAGGGTTGAGAATTGGCTTTACAGAATATCTCGGAACAGAAAGGGACCTAATGCATCCTCCAGGAGAGGCCAGTGCTGTGCCAAGTGACACAGGTGGAGACTGAGGAATCCATGCCCCATGAGAACTCGCCTTGAAATGCTGTTCACCTACTGTCAGCTGGTCTGAAATACTATGAGAGAAAGGCCCTTGGGTTCTCGGCCAATTCACAATTTTCTTATCTTTCTTATTTTAGGTGACATGGGAAGTCAAGGCCCTAAAGGTAATTTTTACCTGAAGTATTGGTAGGGGTTGATGGTTTAAAGCAATCAGAAAGAACCCGCCTCACACTCACCTGGCCATCTCCCCTCTGTGGTAGGACTGTGAATTGCAGAACAGCCTGCAGACCTTTGGGCTTCGGTGAGGCAGGGGACTCCAAGACGGAGCCGTGCTCCACAGCGCTGTCCTTTGCCCCTTCTCAGGGCTCCAGGGAATCCCAGCACGAGGACTCTCAGGCAGCCGGTGTCAGGGGCCTACCTCTTCCCCCAGCTCCAAAGGGCAGCCTGAGGACCTTCTACTACACTACCCTCCCGACCCCCTGGAGATTTCTAGAAATACAGATCCCTGGGCCCTGCTGAGAATCAGATGTTCCTGAAGGAAACACTCTGGGGCTAGGCCCACCCTCCCCCCGGCTTTTAATTTTGATGAACCAGGCCAGGAACTACCATTCTAAGTGAGCAACCTGCTCGCAGGGGTCTTAGCCGAGGGAGGTTGAGGATAAAACCCAGCAGTAAGGGACTGAGCTCCTGTGAGCCATCTAGTAGGAGCAACACCGCCTGCCTTCAGGGGCGGTGTGGCCCGTAATCACAGGAACAGGTGCCCACAGTGTTAGTCAGTTGGGGGATAATGTCATGCTAACTTGTATGTCACACACTTATGTGCTGTAAGAAATTGATGTATTTCCTCAGAGAAGTGATTTGGCAATCAATGGGACAGGCCCATGGGTGGGAGGAAGAGGTTTCCAACCCCAGGGGCCACAGCAGTACCCCTCAATCTAGCCAAGTGGAATTCACACGCTCCAGTGTGCACGAGAAGTGACAGAAGATTCTGGGCCCTACTCCCAGAGCCTCTGATGCAGATGCAGTGGGTGTAGGCAGATGGGGCCGAGTCTTCGGTCCTGATCACCGCAGGTGGTTCTGAGGCCAGGGGTGCAGAGTTTATTCTGAGAATCGCTGTTTAAAGTGACAGGGTCACCTCTGTGAGTCCCAGCTCTGTTCCCAAAGATCCCTGTGCGGGAATTGGGGTTCCTCCACTTGGTGGTCTTCATCTTCTCTTTGGGATTCCCTGCCCCCAAACACAAAACCCTGGGTCCCTGCCGCAGTCCACCTTCCCCAGGACTCCAGTGTGCAGACCACAACACCCTGACCGTGCTGGGGATGGGGACTGCGAGTCCTGGAGCCCCCGAGTCTGCGGTTGCCATAAAATGCAGGCTGCCCAGTTAAATCAAGTTACAGATACACAACCAATAATTTCTCATTGTAAGTATGTCCCAAATATTACATGAAACATACTCACACTAAAAATGTATTAGATGTTTATCTGCAACTCTGACTTAACTGAACACCTGGGTTTCTGCTGCTGCATTTGGCAATTCTGCCTGAATTCCACCTGGTGGCTCCTTCAGGTAATGGCTCAAGTCTTCCAGCTGACTTCTCTCTCTCATCTCTGCCCCACAGGAGATCGAGGACTCCCTGGGACTCCAGGTGTGTAATCTCTGATGGTGTGGCTGGTAGGGTGGGCTGCTCAGGCCTGGCTCCCAGGTTCCAGGAGAATAGGACTGAGGTATTTTCCCGTGTCCACAGGTATCCCTGGGCTCTTGGGACACCCAGGTCCAGAAGGACCAAAGGGACAAAAGGGCAACATAGGTAAGAACTGCTTCTCTATCCACTGCTTCCTTTCTCCCCCCCCACCTCCCTCCTTTAATAAACATTTATTAAGCGCCTGCTATGCGTCAGGCCTTTTTAGGTGCTGAGGATACATCAGTGAACAAAACAGAGAAACCCCTGCTTACATTTGGGTGGGGAAGAAAGACAAGAGACATGATAAATACATGAAGTTCGAAGCAGGATAGGAAGTGGTTCAGAAATGGGAAAGACAGCCCTGGCCGGTTTGGCTCAGCGGTTGGAGCGTCGGCCCGCGGACCAGAGTCCCGGGTTCGGTTCCTACTAGGGGCACGTACCATAAAAAAAAAAAGAAGTGGGAAAGACAGGGGCTAGTGGGACATTGGGAGTCCTGGGGGCGCCCTCAGGAAAGGCCTCACTGAGACGGTGCCCTTTGAGTAAAGGCTCGAAGCGAGTGAGGGAGCCGAGCATGAGGAGATCTTGGGGAAACAAGCCACAGGCCCAGGTCAAGGGTGTGCCCACTGGTCAAGGAGCAGTGAGGAGGGGGAGGGGTCCTGGAAGCCTCGGCTGGAACCCAGTAGGAAGACCTAGAGTTCAGAGGGAGGGCAGTGAGCGAGGCCGCCTATGTGGGGACCTGGAGGCCCTTGTAAAGGCTTTTCCTCCCAGGGAGGCAGGAGGCCACTTGCAGGCTTGGCGCAGGGATGGGACATGATAACTCTTGCATTTCCTCATTGGGTCTGGCTTCTGAGTCGAGCCTGGGCTGTAGGGGGCAAGGGGAGGCGCAGGGGACCAGTGCAGAGACTCCAGTCAGATGTCCTGCCAGCGAGATGCTGCCTGTGGAGCCTTCAGCCGGGCTCAGGGTCCTACTCTGACGTGTCCATTTCTGTTTCTAGGAGAGCCTGGCATGGAGGGACCTGTGGGCCTGAGAGGGCAGGTGGGCCCCGTGGGACCTCGTGGTGAACCAGGGCCACCTGGATTTGGAGAGAAAGGGGACAGAGGTAAGAGGTGATTCCTTCCCCAGGAGGGTTAGCTACGACCATGCTTCCTTCTTCCCTCTCTTCCCACTCCCCCCTCCTTCCTTTTACTGGCATTTGCTGGGTACCTTGAGCCAGGGTCTGTGCCAGGCCCGGAGGAGACAGGTCTAGTGAGAGCGTGGGCCCGGCTGCAGCTCCAGGCCTCGGGTTAAGAAGCCTGCAGTCTCAGAAGGCATGGAGAACATGGTCCCAGGGAGAAAGGGGCTCTCCGCGTTGGGTGGGCAGGACCCAGGGCTGAGGTGAAGAGCGGGGCAGGACTGAAGGAAGGAGGAATGGAGTGCAGGCCCTCGACCCTTTCCTGGCTGGAACTCCCGGGAGAGGGCATGGAAAGCCCTAGACACAGGCCCAGCCCTGGAAGGGCCTGGGAGGGTTTGCAAGTAAATTCTTAACCATGACTCTGTTTTTATCAAGAAAAACCAAACACAGAGCCCAGAAATCCTCTCAGTGCCAACAAATCATGAGCAAGAAGCTTTATTTTTAGCTTCCCTTTCTCTTAAAAATATTGCTCAAGAAGGCAACAAATGCGTATTGAGCCCTTGGGTGCCAGACCTCATGGAGCATGAAGGCTGTGAGGGTAGAAACTGAAGGTGTTCTGCTGGTTCGTGGCCTCGGGGAGGCACCAGATGGATCGGGACCGCTGGCAGGGTGGGAACCATCCTCCAAATGACACCACCAGGCTGGGTGGCAACTAAACTGGGGGGACTCTTTCAGAATATTTGTTTCTCCCCAGGGCCTGCTGGTGGACCAGGTATTCCGGGCCCACCTGGTGTCCCAGGTTCTGTGGGTCCCAAAGGTAAGTCAGGTGCCCAAGTTTGCCATGTTCAGGATGGATCACAGAGGTCCAGGTCCTGGAGTCCCAGACAGCCCTAACCCCATGCCTGAGGCCTGTGCAGAGACTATGGCCCAGAGAGGGTCCCCCACAAAGGAGTCAGGGGTCAGGATGGGGCTAGGTTTGGCTGCATGGTGGATTTGGGGCCACATTTCCATCTATTTTCAATGGCTCCTTTATGTGGTCCCTAAGTGGGTGGATAGATCAGGAAAACAGAATCAGACAATTTCCTCACCGGACTGGGGCCCAGATGCACACATTCAAAAGCAACATATCTGACAATGCGGGAGAAAGGGCTTCTCAAGCTGATGCCCACTGGTCACTTCTCCTCCTTCCCCTGCCCCAGTCCAAATGTTTTACTCTGACTGGGAAGGAGCAGAGGCCTCTCGATCCCACCAGCTTTAGCTTCCTTCCTGAGGATGACTTTGCACAGGACTTGGGTCATCTTGGACTCACTGACTCTGGGGTCCTGGCAAGAACCCATATAATGTGTGAGTTACACACATACATACAGCCCTCACCTGGAAGTGAGTCCCACCCCTCCACCTGACCTTCACCGTGGGGTCAGATGTCCCTTGCCTGTGCCTGACCCTTCTGATAATTGTTGTTTTGTCATCCATCCCAGGTGCCAACGGTTCTCCTGGCCCACAGGGTCCCCCAGGTTAGTGTACTCCTTCTCATAGTAGATGCTATTTCTGGGGCAAAGACAGGGATACCAGAAGGAAAAACAAACATTGTTTAAGCAAAAGAAGCAATTATTAAGAGCAACTGGAGGCATAGAACTCAGGTCCACACTACACTGTGACCCCTGCAGCTGGGGTCAAGTACTGCTGGGCCCTGTGAGAGGCACCCTGACCTGGTTTGGAGCCTGCGGCCCCGGCAGGTTCGGCAGCAGGCAGCTCCCATCCCTCCCTCATCTGAGCAAGCTCCTGCCTCTACCTCATTCCTACCGGCCAGAGCTCGTCCTGCTCTCTGGGGAATCTCAAGTTACAGCCCACATTGTGATGCAGGCCAATGTCTCTGCCAGGGTCCCACGAGGTGCCCTTACGACCAGGGCCTGGTAATCACTGGGGCAAAGAACCTGGACCAGGATGATGTAGATGGGAAATGGGGAGGAGCATGCAGAGAGAAGCCCTTGGTTTTTACTCCAGAGTTTGTACATGCCTGGGTGGGTGTGTGGGCATGCATTTGCACATGAGTAGGTGCATGTCTGAGTGCATGGGTGTTGCTGTGTGTGTGCATGTCCATCCATTCCCGAGCTCATGGTTTTCTCTGCTTGCAGGCCCTGTAGGTCTCCAAGGGTCCCGAGGCGAAGTGGGACTCCCTGGTGTCAAAGGTAAGCTGGTGGGGAGAAGCTGGGGGGAGACAACACCCTGGAGGTGTCAATCACTCAGGAAGAAGGTCTTGTGGGGACAGAGAGAGTCAGATGGATATGACCAAAGCCTGTGGAGGCTGACAGACACATGAGGAGAAGAGGAAGTCAGAATGGTGGGACGGGGTGCCTGTCTTCAGAAATAGACACTGCCCTTCTCGGTCTTCCTTGCCAAGGCTCTTTATATTAAGTTGTCCATTACTTTTTCAGGTGACAGAGGACCTATTGGACCACAAGGACTCAAAGGTATGTTGCCCCTACTGCTGCTCAGACATCACCAGAGCCTGCCTGACTCCTAGGAAACCAAATGTGACCTGTGCCCCAGCGTCCAAGAACACAGATGTCTCTGGCTCCTAGACCCTGAGGCTGGGAGGATTGTGCCTCTCAGACAGGGAAACTGAGGCACAAAGAGGTGCCCCAGAGCACCGACATCACAGTACTGTGATTGAGTGGCCCTTGGGTGGCAAGGATGTGCTATTGAGGTCCTCCTGCTCTGATCATCCTGTGCCCAGAACGCCCATTGCATGACAACCAAGGCTAGGGTCAGTTTGTGGGTGGAATCAGATGTGCCCCTTTGGCTTCATAAATGGCGAGTTCTTGCCAAGATTCTGCTGACAAGAGCTTCCAGGTACACCGAGAACTATTCTGCAGAAGCGGTTCCTCTGACTGGGTGAGAACGTTTTCCTTGCTCCTGACTAATGCTCCCTGCCCCACGTTTGTTTTAGGTGACCAGGGTGAGAAAGGATCTCGAGGCCTCACAGGTCAGTTATACATGGGAATCCACTTTGATCATTTAAAGACTTTTTGTAAATTAATCGGGCACTGAAGATGGAAAAAAATACAGAAGTATGGGACAGAATCTCTGTCGACTTCAGGGAATTGGCCATTTAATAAGACAAGATGAAATGAAGCCCTGCCTGGAGAGAAGCCAGCATCAAGATGAAGAGCCAGGACAGTAAATGTCTGGGGCAGAAAAGGGAGTTATGATTGTCGCGGAGTCTTTTGTGGAATCCATTTGAGAAAATTAAGCTCTTCCCAAAATAGCAGAAAGTTGACACTACTTGTCCCCGCTCATCCACTTACCTCCTGCCAACTTGCATGATTAAAAAGGAAAGTAATAGTAATGACACTTTAGCTACAAGGGGCAGCTCTCTGTTGCCAAGGAAATAAGACCCACACACGCAGCTTCAGACCAGGTGTGGCTCTGGGCCAGTTTACGCCGCTGCCTGGGTGGCCCTGACCATAGAATCTAGGCAGACATTGTGTCCCCAGCTTCTAGGTGGTACCCCAAGCTCGTCTGGTTGGGGAGGTGGCAGGCAGGGAGGGTGTAGCATTCTACCGCTGTCAAGGATGCGAAGTTTGAAAGCCTCCAGCCAACTAGCCCGTTTCCTTTGCAGGGGAGCCGGGCTCAAGAGGCCTACCTGGTGCTGTGGGTGAGCCTGGAGCTAAAGGAGCAATGGGTAGGTGACACATGCAGTGGCTCTGTCCCATTCGGTCATCAGAGCTCTGGAGTTGAGATCCTTCTAGAGCCATCTCTCCTGCCCTCTGACCTTTCCACTCCCCGGTAGAGGTTCTTTTTATAGGCTGTTTCTGGGCGCACATTGCGCCTGGGGCTCAGAAAGTAGCGGCCATCTCTGTGTGTTCCTCACTGCTGGGGGCGGGGAGGACTGGCCAGGCATGGTCTCCACCCTGATCCCCGCCCCAAGCCCCTTGGGCCCCAGGGGAGGACGGGCGATGTTGAGGTCCTTTGGAACCTGCTATTCTCCAGACATAGCCCTGGCATCCCAAGGCTGGTCTCGCGGCCAGGTCCAGGGTTCAACCTTTTGCTGACCCTTACCAAGGGGCCTGCCAGCAGGACATGAAGCTGGCCAAGGACCCTCAGAGGACCAGGTGTTTAGCACAAAATCCCAGAAGGGATTAAGCCCCACCAATGGTGGATGTGATTTATTTATTTTCTCATTCATTCAACAACTTGTTAGGAAGTGCTGACTCTGCAGGATTCCTTGCTGGGCAAGTAGGATGATTTACTTCCCTCAAGGGGAATAGATTCTGTATGAGGTGACAAGTGACATGAGAGAGACAGAATGTAAGGAGGACACAGTAAAGAGAGAGAATGTTTCCACCCAGAAAGGTGGAGGCAGCAGCATTTCAAATTATCCTTAAAAGTAAGGAAGATTTTGATCATGATCAATTTGGAAAATTACATGCAGAAAAAACAACATAAGTAGAAAAAGACTGAGATGGGAAAAGCAAGACATGGTCACAGAAGGACGTCAGAGAGGTTGGGATCATTGGAGCAGAGGGGACAAGAACTTGGAGGACCTTGACTTCCAGGACCTTAAGTAAATGAGGCTGGCATTTATTGAGCATCTGGTATGTGCTGAGTCCTGCCAAGGGCACTAGAGATGCAATAAAGTCACTGAACGGTTCTTTGCAGGAAGACAGTTACTGGTTTGGGAGGAGAGGGCGGGGAGGAAGCTGCACCCAGAGGATGTGACAGAGCCTGGGCTTTCTTTGCATTTGACGGCCACGGGAAGGGCCCAAGAGCTCCCCACCTGGGAGACAACTTGATGTGAGCCTGATGGGCGGGAGAGGGATGGAGTCCCAGAAACTCCTAGAGTCACTGATGACTATGGTTCTGCTTTCCTAGGACCCGCTGGCCCTGATGGACACCAAGGCCCAAGAGGTTGGTCACTTCCCGGTTTCCCTCACTTTCACTGCCTCTCCTGCCTACCGCTCCTTGCCCTGCCCATGTCCTCTAATCATAATGCCAGGGTGACGCATGTCGTACAGAAACAGGCAGCCAGGTCTGATCTGCCTGCTTTTCCCCACCTGTCTGCAAGTTAGTTACTCAGTAAAACCCCAAGAAAGCATCCACTCAGATGTGTTGTCTGGTTCAGCTTCCCCAAAAGGAAAACAGCATGTTGATCATACTCTCTCCAGGTGAACAAGGTCTCACAGGGATGCCTGGAACCAGAGGCCCACCAGGACCTTCTGGAGACCCAGGAAAGCCAGGTAATAGAGCGGGAAGAGGGAGCCACGGCCCTGCTCTGTGTGCGTGTGCACGTGGACACGCACATGCCCATGTGCCTGCATGCCTGCCTTGTCCCTTCTCCCTCCAGCAGATAACTGGCACAACTGCTCACTTGGCTAAGCACAGTGGCTATGTGTCCTGACACCTCTGAGTCAGCAAGTCTGGCAACTGGGAAGAGAGAGGTTAATGGTTGAAAGCAAGGAGCTCTAGAAAGGGGCAAGGAGTCTTGTTTAAAATTGCAGACTTTAACACCACCTCAGTACCTTGCTCATCTGAGCTTTCCACCTGGTCCACCTCCCCTCGGGCCGTACCTGAACCCTCACTAACTCCCACCAGTCTGATGAGAGAAACTCTCCACTGAAGGCCCAGTGGGAGCAAGATCCTCAGGCTGCAAGAGAAACCAATCAAAACACATCAAGAAAGTTGTGAGGGACAAGGCATTCATCAGTGGGCTGGGGTGGGGGCGGGGGCTCCTGTTTCCTTTGTTGGGTATGCAGATGGTGAGCACCTAGAAGGGAGCCTGGGGGCAGCATGAGGGTGTCAATGAGTATGTGAGTTTTCTGAGTTCATGAGCCCAAACAGGCGAAGAACCGTAGTCCAATGCGGCAGTGGGTCCCCTCACTGCACAGTCCAGTGCTAGGAGGACCCTTAGTCTGGCTGCCCCAGACTTGGGGTTTGTCCTCATGCCCTACCATCCCACCTGCTCCTGAATTCAAGGGTGTGGCTCCTCAACCCTTCAACTCCTCCCTCGTATGTTTAATTTTCTGTAGGTCTCACAGGACCCCAAGGACCTCAGGGTGAGTCATCGGGTCACTCCCGCCTCCAAACACCACCCCCAACAAGCCTCCCACCAGCCTTCCAGCGTTTGGCAAACGCCTCTCCTCTAGTCACCTTGACTTTCCTCTCCTCCCCTCACTATCCCAGTGAAAATGGGTCAGGTCCTTTTACTGTGAGTCTTGAGAAGCACCTTAGGAAGGAAAAATATGCATAGAACAATCTAGAAAGCCAATCTGGTAGAAAAGAAGTTAGCTCGTGTGCAAATTCTGCCTGCCTGTGCCCTGTTCCCTTCAGCTTAGGGCCCAGGCATTGCACTGGCCCCACGCAGCCCCCAAGCCGTCGCAGTGGTGGAGTGGGAGCTCACCTCGTGCACAGGGGCCCAGTTTCTCTGGGAAGCCCAGGCATCCAAGTCTGTCCTGTGGTTGAACCCATGTGTACTGTCACCACAACCAGCCCCGACTCCTACAGGGAATTAGGCAAAGATGTAAAATGAAATCAAGCAGCAGTTCTCCCAAAAATTGAGTGCACAGGGACATCCTTCAGACACTCCCTGGTGGAGTTCAGCAGCCAAAGCCAGGAGGAGGTGTGACATCAACTGTAGAAGCCTAGCCCCTACTTCCTGACTCCAGGGACAGGTGGGGGGACAGCAGCTGCTTTGCAGGCCGCAGGGGGACTGGGATTCCCCAAAGCTGAGTCCACGAGCCTCTGCCTTCCCGAATCCCAGTTCTTACCCCATTCTCCAGAGAAGAAAGGGGGCTCAGGGCAACAGGCTCCCTGAGGGGCCACCTAGGCTGGGGCAGAAAGCAGAGAGAGGCAGGGCTGCGGGTTGTGATCAGTCATTGTAGCTACACTGAGTAACGGAGCACCAGTCACTACCAGAGGGTGTTGGGATTGCTGGGCCTTCATTACCCTGACTGACTTGTTTTCAATCACCTCAGGTCTTCCTGGAACCCCTGGCCGACAAGGTCCTAGAGGTAAATGATTTCCCAAACCAGATGTTCTTTCTTTGCACTAGTCATTTTTGTGGGAGGGAAGGGATTGGCAGGAGGGAAGCCCCTGTCTGGGCAGTACCTGGATCAACAGTGGCATCTAGTGGCTTCAGCAGAGGCTGGGAGGCTGGGGAGCCAGGGATCTGTGCTGATCAACGAAGCCCTGAACCCAGCCTGCTCACACACCTCCCGCCCCACAAGCGGGAGCCTCACCGTGGTACCTGGATGTCTCCAGGCCATTGTTGGAGGAGGGTCTGGAGCCGCTGCTCCTATCCCCACAAGCTGGTCCACCCCCTGACTTGTCTCTGAAATGCCCCCACTAGTGTTCAATCCCTCCCTTAGGCTTGGTCCCTGTAACATGTCTCTCCTGAGCCAGGAGCAACCTTAGTTTTATCAGTCACAGGACTTTAATGCAGGCAGGGAGGAGCATCTAAGATGCTGCTAGGAGGGGAAGTCGTTCTTGGGGATTGACCAGGGCCAGCATAGTGACCTCTGTGCATAGAGCGGAACTCTTGTCCTGTTCTGTTCCTCTGCCATTGTCCAGTTCTGCACCATTAGACCCCAACCCTGAGCCAGTCCAGAGCTAAGTGGTGCTCAGGGATGGTCTTCCTCCTCCTGTCCGGGTGACCTCACATCCCTGAGCCCTGACGTTCTGTGCTGCTGTGCTCTGTCTTGAGCAGTCACTGTCACCTTGTGGGGACCTGAGGAATAAAATACCTACTTTCCAAAAACTATTTCCAATGACTGGTTAGGCCCAGGAGTTTTTTTAGGACAAATAAATATAATTCAAAATAGTAACACCCAGGGGGTATAGCTCAGTGGTAGAGCATTTGACTGCAAAATAGTAACACCTGAGTTCACACATCCCCCACAGATCTCAGGGTTCACAAATATACTCATGAATTGATGGCACCTTTAGTAAGACACGAGGTTTGGGGATTCCCAAGGAGACCAGGCACCCTGCCCTTCCAAGGCCTGGGAATTCCTGTCCATAGGGGACTTCAGACCCTCCCTGGACAATGTGCACAAAAGATGGACATTCACATATTATTGGACTAGGCTCCAATGAAACCAAACCAAGCACTTTCTCCTCTTTTGGCCTTGACCCCCAGGGCTGGCAGAGGGCAAACAGAGACCAGCTCCCGGCCCCTCCCCAAGAGGGACATCAATAGCAGCTTCATGAGTGGGTGATTGAATTGCTCACTGACCATGGGAAGTGACAAAAGAGACCCCTGAAAATCCCCAGTGGAGGGCTTTTCTGTCCTCTGCTTCACTCACTCGGTTCCCCGGACTCCGTGCAGATTTCCAATCCCAAGAGATGCGTCATTCAGATGGCATCTGCTGGTAGATAATGTTTGGGAAAGTGTGAACTTGACATCCCCTTCTTGGGGGTCCCCTATACACATGTGCATTTTCAACCCTCCAAGACACCACAGGAAAGAGATCTGTTAACTTTCCTGACTTACCAGCCACAGAACCCCCTTCTAACTCTGCATAGACCCTACTCCTGTCCCAGGAAGCCAGCATCCTGAGGGGCGCCTGCCTGGACGGCTCACGCCTCCAGCCTTTGACTCCAGTACGTTTCCTCCCCAAGCCCATTCTCAGCAAGATTCCGAGATGTCCACTGTGGGAAAAGAGTGTGGGAGTGGGAATGACTCAAGTCAGCCCCATTCTGGCCTCGCTGAAAGGCAAACTCTTCAACATTCACTAATGAAGCCCCTTCGGGGAGTCCCAGCTTCTTCTAAAAGCTAATGTGGGCCAAGATTGATACTCCAGCCTCTAGGGTGTCTGGTGCAGAGACTGGTGCTTAATGTGCCCTGCGTGCTCTCCTTAGCTCAGGAGAATGCCGCTAGCCTGCAGGTTAGAGGCCCAGGAGTCGGTCTCAAATGCAACCAGAAGCCTTGGAAATGATTGATTGAGCCACTAATTGATCCTGGGAACAACCGCTGTCCTTTCCCTCTCCTCCCAGGTGAACCAGGAGCTCCAGGCAGGATCGTGACTGCAGGTAGGCAGGCCCTGTACTGTGTATTCTCAGGCACCGGGCATCTGACCTGGCTCTGCCTAGCACCCTCCAAGAAGCGCCAGTCAGTGGACACAGTGCTGTGGGCAGGATCCTGTGCTGGGCTCTTTACGTCAGCAGCAAGGCGGTGGGTGGAATTTGGAAGTAACGAGAACAAGAGATGCTGGCCCGGCCCGACCGACAGCCCGGTCTGAAGCCCAGCACCTCTGAGCCGGAAGAGTGGAACTCAATGTTTTATGTGTCTTCTGTTTTCAGAGGGGGCATCGACTCTCACTGTCCCAGGTCCCCCAGGACTTCCTGGAGCCATGGGACCCCCAGGACCTCCAGGTGCTCCAGGTCAGTCCATTTTCTTTCTTTGTTCCCAAATCAGCAGCAGGCCTAGGTTGCATTTGTCTATACCAGCATTTGCTCAAATCCTGAAATCCAGTATAGGAACCAAGGGAGGAGAGGGAAGAGGAACTAGAAAGCCCACTCCCAGACAGCCAAGCGAGCCCTCATCACATACGAGCAAGTATTCCGAGCGCCACACAGGCCTTGCTTCACCAGACCCCACAGCACCGGTGGAGGCCCCAGCTTGTAAATGACCTGCCCAAGGTCACTCGGCTAAGAAGTAACAGAGTCAGGATTTGGCCCCGGTCCTTCTGTCTCCAGAGCCATATTAGAGCAGTTGGACTCGGTCCTCAAATTGTTTCCCCTTCTAAACCAGTTTGATAATGTGCATCAAGGGCAGCAAACATGCTAGGAATCTATTTAGAGAAAATATTCCCAAATTGTCCAACATTCATGAAATAGCTACAAAAATGTGAAGACTTAAAAGAAAATTGTTAGGACCTGGCCAGTTTGGCTCGGTGGTTGGAGTGTCGGCCCATGGACCAATGAGTCTCGGTTCGATTCCGGTCAAGGGCACGTACCAACGCAAGTATGGACCAGCCTTCCCTCCTGATGAGCTCCAGTGAGAGAAGGGACACTGGGGCAGTGAGACGCCCCTCATCATTGAAGGACAGTGTCCGAGGGGGCAGTCCTGCCCATCCTAGGGGCTCAGTCCCTGGCAGATGGACCAGAGGGCTGCTCTCCAGTAGGCAAGCTGACCTCGTTGGGCTACTCTTCATGCCTTGTGAGGAAGCTAAGTGTGCACCCAGGACCTGCCTTTTCCTCAGCTCTTAGCATTATGACCCTGGAGGTGTGACAAAACCTTTTCTTCCCCAAACCCGTTTCCAGGTCCCGTTGGCCCGGCCGGTCTCCCAGGACAGCAAGGTATGTCGCGCCTGAAAGAGCACATGGCCTGTCAGGAAGGCTTCCTTCCCGGACTGGACTTGGGCCCCGGTCTGTAAATGAAGCGAGACATGCATCTGGGGAAGGGACTTGAGGGGGTGACATGGTTCTTCACCAAGGGCCCTGTGAACCCCTTTCTGTATCTCTGAGGGGGCAGGTCCGCCAAGCGGGATTGAAGCTCTGTGGCCACTTGGTCAGGGTCAAGCTCAGCTATGTTCATGGTCCTTGGGCCTCTTGTGACCAGACCCTAAAAATCGTGCCACTGTCCAAAGATTTCTCCAAATACCAAAACACTGTTAGGCTTAGAGAAGGCCAATCTGCTTCCCCGGGCTATGTCTTGACTGACAGCCGAGTTCACAGTCAGCCCTCTGGCCTGCCCTGCCCCAGGCACCTGGGCTGCTGCAGCCATCTCCGGCCCCCCTGACTCTGCGTCTCCCCACAGGCCCTCGAGGGGAGATAGGACTCACTGGTAAGTCACTCCTGAGCACCAGCGCTCCATCTCCGATATCGGCTCCCTCCGCTCTCCAGGGCAGGCACTGTGGGGGTGGGGGTGAGAGGTCAGGACCCCGGGCCTGCGGCGGCTGCGCCAGTGAGTCAGCGGAGCCCCGATGGGGGTGAGGATGGCCGTCCCTCTGGAACGCAGTGCCAGCGGAGAAGCAACAGCAGGGGCTTTGTCAGCCGTAGGGGGTGATACGCGGGGGATGGGGCAGCTCGAACTCCAGGAGGACCAGGGTCATGCAGGGCCTCTGAGCGAGCCAGGCGTGGTTGGCGTCACTGGCAGGAGCCCTGCATCCCCCACTCACTGGGACCAATGACAAGGGTCCGTGGGTTCTCAGCATCAGGCCTGACCTGGGAGGGTGGACTCCTGGGTCCTCCTGGGTCCTCCTGTTCCCAAAGTCCTTTAAAGAGCCCAGGCAGAGATGCTGCTGGGCCTCCCCCTCAGCACCTGGGTGGCTGAACAGCAAAGACAACAGCTAACCCTGGCCCAGCAGTCGCATGTGCCAGACATTGTGCCAAAGCACCTCACTGAGTCTTCACGGGGCCCCTGAGACATAGGCCACAGGCTCCTGGTTTACAGAGGAGGAAGCTGTTGCTGAAAAAGGTTGAGAACTTGCCAAAAGTCACCAGCTAGAGGTGGTGGAGCAAGGATTTGGACTCAGGCTCTCGGACACTGAAGCCATGTTCTTGCCCATCATTTGATATTACTTGTATTAGCTATCAGGGAGTTTGACTGCAGCCCCGCCCCGCCCCGCCCCTGAGCAAGGGCACCCCAGCAGAGGGAGTCTAATGTGTGGGGTCTGCATGTGGCCCAGGGTGTCTGGCACTGATGGTTCTGGTGAGAAGCTGGAGGAAAGCAGCCCCGTGTCAGTTTTTGCTCATTTCTGTTTTCTTCTCTCTGCAGATGGTCTTGATTTACGAGGTCCCCCAGGCCCACCTGGGCCACCTGGGCCACCAGGTGAGCATCTTAGGGACCCTTGGAAGGTGGGGAATCATGGGCATAGGGGAATCAAGGCTCAGTAAGGAAGCCAGATCCTGCTCCCAGGGACAGGATCGGCTCTAACTTCAGCACTGCCTCTTCCTCACTTTCTTCAAGACCTCCCATTCCGGGTCCCCTAGGCCCCGAAGGAGACCAAGGTGAGAACAGTGTCTCAGGGAGTTCAGGAGCCTGTATGTGCCCCCGTAGGCCAAACTGGTGGCCAGGGGCGTTTGGATGAGTCTTGATGAGCTGGGGCATTTCTTTATTCTCTTGCCGTGTCCCATTCGGAGCTCAGCATCCTGGAGCTTGGGGTAGGAGGAGGCGTGGTGGTCGGAAGCTCTAACAGAATTCCCGCTTCTGCATTGGCCTGATGGAAGGAGAGGCCAAGGCGCCCTCTACCCTCCCCTCCCGGGAGCCCCTTGAATTCTCAATATCTGATTCACATGTATCTCACAATTCTAAGCCTCCTTCCCTTGGCTCCCCCAGGCCCGAGGACACCAATGCACAGTAGAGCTGCCATCAAACAAAACCTGGGGTGGGGGTGGCAAAAGCTGACCTTCCAAGAGCCTTTGGCGAGAATAGATCCGAGTATGTGTCTGTGAATGATTGAGGATTTACGTGAGCACGTGCGTGAGTGCGTGTGTGTGCACATGTGTACGTTGTACTACTCTAGGTGCTGCTGCCCAGTGGTAGCACAACCCCAGCCCTCCTGGGCCTTGCGGAGCCTCCGGAGGGGAGGTGGTGTCAGCTGGGACCTGGGGCGAGGGGCGAGCACAACGGTGTGCCCCTCAGGCCGGCAAGGCCCCGGGGTTCTCCGCCTCAGGTGCAGTGCCGAGCCCCGCCCCACTGCTGCTCTGGCTAAAGTTGCTTCCGGCCCTGGCTGACCGCACTGTGTATGGTGTTGGCTTCCAGGAGCACAACGGTGTGCCCCACTGTGCCCCTCAGGCGGGCAAGGCCCCGGGGTTCTCCGCCTCAGGTGCAGTGCCGAGCCCCGCCCCACTGCTGCTCTGGCTAAAGTTGCTTCCGGCCCTGGCTGACCGCACTGTGTATGGTGTTGGCTTCCAGGTTCCAGTTCTCTGGGATTCGACCTGCAGGGGCCACCAGGCCCACCTGGCCCTCAGGGACCCAAAGGTGACAAAGGTCAGTGAGGGAGCAGCCAAGAAGGCAGCGAGGAGTAGGAGTAAGGCTGGCTCCCAGAGCCCCAATAGGGAACAGCATGTGCTTGTTGGTGCTAAAGCCTTGGGGGGAAGAAGGGGATAAAAGGAGAGGCTGGAGGGAGGGAGGGTATAAGGATGCGGGGACACACACATTCTCTGTCCAAAGGGAGCTTGCAGAAACAGACATGGAACAACTGTTGGGCCATATGCTGATGGGTGTGGTTGGGCTTAACCAGGGAAGGCTTCCTGGAGGAGGTGATGCAAACAAAGCTGCTTATTTTGAATTCCAGGTGATCCCGGATTCCCAGGGACTCCTGGCATTCCTGGCGGTCCCTCTCATGGTAAGAACCAAAGGTGACCAAAGTTCCTCTCCCCTTCTTAAAGCAAGGCTGATCATGCCAGTGAGGACATGGGTTCATCCATTCATTCATTGTCCATGATTCGGTGTTGATTAGAAACTTTCTCCACTTGCTAGGATCTCTGAGCTGCCTTAAGGTTACATGCTAGTGGGGGCAGCAGGGAAGAACCCCTACATGTAAAGGTGACTAACAATGCCAGTGACAAAAGATGCAGACAGAACAGGCTCTGGGAGCTGGGAGTGTTCAGAGATGGGTGAGACTGTGGTGTGGTGAGCAGTTTGCCCAGAGAGATGAGGGTTTGGCCTGGAGCGCTCCTAGCTCTGTGCCCCGTGCAGTGGCTGCCGCAGGCACTCCTTTGCTCTCCTTTTTGGGGGACCCTTCTTTTTACCACTCTCCTCTTTATTCCACTGAGAAAGACCCTTCCTCCACAGACGATGGGAGCAGTGCCAGGGCCCCTTTGTCTGACCCCAGGTGGAGAGACCGGCTCAGAAGGCTTTCTTTCTTCCAGGGGGATCATCATCTGACACCATGTTCATGCAGGGCCCGCCAGGCCCACCGGGGCCCCCCGGGCTTCCTGGCTCCTTCAGCAGCTCTGGCCTGGAGATTCAGCAGTACATCTCTGAGTACATGCAGAGTGAGTGCCAGGGTCAGAGTGGGCTGTGTGCATGCGTGCGTACCTCTGTTGGAGGTCAGCAGTCTCTATGGCCAGGCCCAGGGCTTCCATCCCTGCAGCCGAGACAGCAGGCCCATGCCCCTGCCTGCTAGCTGTCCACACACGACCTCAGCCTCGCCCCAGTAGAGACTTGCACACCCACACGCTTGTCCACATGCATACACAGCTACACACTTTCACGTGTGTGCATTCCCCTGACCTGTGGATGTGTGTGATTTCCACAGATGTGGGTGCCAGAGCTTTGCCAAGGAGTGGCTGACTAGTCTTGTTGGCACAGTCCTAGAGTAATTCCTGACCCAGCGTAGGCTTCTGCCTCAGTTTCTCCATCTAGGCTCTCTGCTGGCCCTGCCTTGGGCCCATCTGTGGGGTGTGCTAGGCACTTCATCACGTGCTTCAGGTCACCTCCATGGGGAGGAGATGCCCACTTGGGGACAGGCTTGACTCTGCTTTATTTCTTTGTTGGCAGGTGACAGTGTTAGGTCCTATCTATCTGGAGCTCCGGGTCCCCAGGGCCCACCTGGTCCCCCTGGGCCTGTCACCACCATCACGGGTGAGACTTTCAACTACGCAGAGCTGGCCAGCCTCGTCGTGAGCTACTTACAGAGTAAGCCTCTCCCACCCCTGGAATGACCCTTGCCCTCGGGGTCCACTGTTGTTCCTGGAATCTTGTCTCAATTTGCTGTTGGCTTTGCCCTTCTGAACATGACATTCAAACCTGAACTCATGGGAATCAGGCTCCTGGGAGCTGGCTTCAGAAAGGATTTGCTCAGATGAAAAAACACTGCCTCGCCGTGTTCAGTGAGCCTTCTCGTGGTTGACGGTGTGTCCTAAGTATGTGCCATGGGCCCCTTCGGGCTGCTGGCAGCTTGTAGTGCTCCAGCGAGGGCACACTCTCGAAAACAAACTGCATTTCTTGCCAAACCAAACCAAAAATAACTCACTTTTTCATGCTTTAAAAACAGCTTCCTAATGCCGTGCCCCTCCCTTGGTTTATCTCCCCCAAGTGGAAACAGCCAGTTGACCAGTCTTTGTGATTCTAGGGTAATGGGGGCGTTGCTTAAGTGCAGATACACAGGTAACCCCAGGTTTCCTTCCCGACAGCTTCAGGGTACATTATCAGCTCATCGTCGTCTGCCTCCATCACTTCCGAAGACATGCTGGCTGCCCTACAGCGTGAGTTTCTTGCAGTGGGCTGGAGTGGGAGCCCTCTGCCTCTTGCCTGCGCCCGCCCGCAGGCACGTGTTGTCTCTGAGCTCGGGGGGCGACAGCACAGGGACCACTGCCTCGCTGCCCCAGCCACTGCCGGGAGGGGGCAGCAATCTCCTGACCACCAGTGCCAGGCAGCAGGCAGCTGCCCCTTCAGATACCTGGGAGCTTGCTGATTCTCCACTGTGGGCCTCGGCAGCCAGCCGTGTGGGGAGACCAGGCTGTGGCTGTCCCATGGCCTGGGTGGGTCCATCTAGCACATCTTCTCTTTCCAGGGGATGATGTGCGTCAGTATCTACGCCAGCACCTGATGGGCCCTCCGGGTCCCCCAGGGCCAGCAGGAGCCGGCAGAGATTGGTCCCTCCAGTCTCTGGACTATGCAGAGCTGACCAGGCACATTGTCAGCTACATGTCGAGTGAGTGTCTGTCCTTTGTGGGCAAGGGTAGTCAGGAGTTCACGCTGAACTTCCTGAAACAGCCCACTGACCCGCTCCTGCCAGGCTGCACCAAACCCAGAGGGAATGAGCAGCATTCAGAGCTGTTCAAACCCATGGCCACAGAACGGATCAGAGCCTGCGAGGGAAGCCCAGACGAGTGTCATAAGCAACATCCTGTGTGGAATTTGCACATGACCCCTAGCAAACTTCTCCATATACACCTCTCTCCACACACACTTCTCTCCACACACACCTCTCTCCACACACACTTCTCCACACACACCTCTCTCCACACACACTTCTCCACACACCTCTCTCCACACACACCTCTCCACACACACCTCTCTCCACACACACTTCCCCACACACACCTCTCTCCACACACACCTCTCTCTACACACTTCTCCACACACTCCTCTCCACACACCTCTCTCCACACACACCTCTCCACACACACCTCTCTCCACACACACTTCCCCACACACACCTCTCTCCACACACACCTCTCTCTACACACTTCTCCACACACTCCTCTCCACACACCTCTCTCCACACACACCTCTCCACACACACCTCTCTCCACACACACTTCCCCACACACACCTCTCTCCACACACACCTCTCTCTACACACTTCTCCACACACTCCTCTCTCCACACACACTTCCCCACACACACCTCTCTCCACACACTTCTCCGCACACACCTCTCCACACACACCTCTCTCCACACACACTTCCCCACACACACCTCTCTCCACACACACCTCTCTCCACACACACCTCTCTCCACACACTCTTCTCCACACACACCTCTCTCCTCACACACTTCTCCACACACTCTTCTCCACACACACCTCTCTCCACACACACTTCTCCACACACACCTCTCTCCACACACACTTCTCCACACACACCTCTCTCCACACACACCTCTCTCCACACACACCTCTCTCCACACACACCTCTCTCCACACACTCTTCTCCACACACACCTCTCTCCTCACACACTTCTCCACACACTCTTCTTCACACACACCTCTCTCCACACACACTTCTCCACACACACCTCTCTCCACACACACCTCTCTCCACACACACCTCTCTCCACACACACCTCTCTCCACACACACCTCTCTCCACACACACCTCTCTCCACACACTCTTCTCCACACACACCTCTCTCCTCACACACTTCTCCACACACTCTTCTTCACACACACCTCTCTCCACACACACTTCTCCACACACACCTCTCTCCACACACACTTCTCCACACACACCTCTCTCCACACACACTTCTCCACACACACCTCTCTCCACACACACCTCTCTCCACACACACCTCTCTCCACACACACTTCTCCACACACTCTTCTCCACACACACCTCTCTCCACACACTCTTCTCCACACACACCTCTCTCCACACACACTTCTCCACACACACCTCTCTCCACACACTCTTCTCCACACACACCTCTCTCCACACACACTTCTCCACACACACCTCTCTCCACACACACTTCTCCACACACACCTCTCTCCACACACACCTCTCTCCACACACACCTCTCTCCACACACACTTCTCCACACACTCTTCTCCACACACACCTCTCTCCACACACTCTTCTCCACACACACCTCTCCACACACCTCTCTACACACTTTTTTATACACACCTCTCTCTACACACACTTCTCCATACACACCTCTCTCCACACATACTTCTCCATACACACCTCTCTACACACACACTTCTCCATACACATACATTGCTCTATATACACAAGCACTCCCCCACACCCAGCAGGCTGACGGACAATGGGCCCTTTTGGCCTATGTTCTTCCCAGGACCTGGGGCCTCTCCTCGGTGTCATTACCCAGGATTGTACCTCTGAGTCCCTCTTTCTGCCTGTCCCTTCTTACTGGCCCCCTTTTCCCTTTCTTGCCCCCCACTTCTGTTCACATTGTTTCTGTCTGGCTTCCTCTCTTACAGGGTGTTCCCATCTGCCTTTCCCTATCTGATCTGAATCCATCACAATTTGGGATTTTGTTCCTCAGGTTCTGGAGTCAGTATTGGGCTTCCTGGCCCCCCAGGACCCCCTGGTTTGCCAGGACCATCCTATGAGGAGCTCCTCTCCTTATTCCAAGGTAATGTGGAGCAGGGGACATCTGTCCAAGTGGTCTGGGATGGAAGGCAGAGCCCCTTGGCCCAGATGACCAACTCCTTGCTTTTTCTTGTTATCTCAGGACCTGAATTCAGAGGCATCGTTGGGCCTCCAGGTCCCCCTGGGCCACCAGGGATCCCAGGCAACGCATGGTCCAGCATCAGTGAGGAGAGCCTCTCGACTTACCTGCACAGTAAGGCATGGAGAGCAGGGGTGAGGCGGGCAGAGGGCTGTGGCCAGCCCTGGGGGCTCTGTGGGCAGCTGTGGAGTTAATCCACTTAGAGTTACCCCGTCCTCCGGAAGCATGTCCAGGGCTGGGCACTGAGGCCCTGGAGAGGGATATACAAGCTTCGAGGCGCTTTCGGCCCCGAAGTGGGTGAAGTGGGGAGAAACAGTGCTCCCAGGTGCAGCCCTTAAACAACTCATGAGCCAACGCGTCATCAGCGGTCAGGAGCCCGGCACAGTTCAAGGCTCAGTGGCAGCAGGGCTGAGGGGAAGGGAGTAGGGTCTGGGTTGAATGCAGCTCAGGACTGGGGCTGGGAAGGCCAGCTGGGGGCAGTCATTCCCTGCTCGTGTTCTGGGCGACAGTTGTTCCCTCCTCATCCCCCCTTTCCAAGAGGGGCTCCATGGGCCCCTAAACTGCGAGTTCAGCATTCTCAGCAGGGCAATCTCTGATCTTTCTCTCTTGCCTCCCACTCAGCTGCTGGCTTGTCATCCATCCCAGGCCCCCCGGGCCCCCCAGGCCCCCCCGGCCCTCGAGGGCCTCCAGGTGTCTCAGCAGCGCTGGCAACCTATGCAGCTGAGAACAGCGACAGCTTCCGGAGTGAACTGATTAGCTACCTGACAAGTAGGTGCCCCTGATGCTGCTGGTCCTTCGTATGCCCCGTTCCCATACCTTGTTTCTCCTGTTGGAACCAGAAGGTGAAGGAGCTTGGGAGGCCAGATGCACGAGAGCACTAGTCGGAGAAAGCCATTTCTTCCCAGACAGCACGATCCTGCTCATGTGCAAGTGCCTTGAAGTCCATACCCTGCCTAGGAGTGCAGAGACCCTGAGAGAGCCCTGAACTCCCACTTCTTTCTCTCTACCCAGACCCGAGCTCCCACTAACACAGCTTCCTCCCCACAGGTCCTGATGTGCTCAGCTTCATTGTGGGTCCCCCAGGCCCTCCTGGGCCCCAGGGACCACCTGGAGACAGCCGCCTGGGGTCCATGGATGGCTCCTACAGCCAGGGTGGCAGCTCATCAGTCAGCCGCAGCACCTCCTACAGCTCTTCCATGGGCATAGGAGGGACCAGCGGAGGCTCCCTGGGTGAAGGGGGAGCCTTTGGCTCCGACATTGGCCTGGGCCGAGGCTATGGCGCAGCAGCAGCAGGTGGCACGTATGATGGAGACAGGGAATTGCTCAGGGCTGGCTTGGCTGGAGGTCTAGATTACAACGAGCTGGCTGTCCGGGTGTCCGAGAGCTTGCAGCGTAAGTTGGGGCACTTAGGCCTCAGTGCTGGGGGGGAGGGGGCATGTGAGCATTTCCATACCCAGGCTCCAGAAACTCACCCTCTCGTTTCAGAGAACCCAGGCTGTGAGGCCTGCAGTTCTGGAATCAGATAGACAGGGACTGAAGACGGGGCCCAAACTTAATTCTCAGCCAGCTTAGTTCAAGGGGGTGCAGTCAGGACTTGAACCTCTGCTTCAGGGAAGAAAGAATGTTGGGGTCTTTGTGCTTTGCTCTCCCACTAAGTTGTGTGGGGCAGAGGGAAGCTGTTGGCTAGAAAGCCCTCCCTTGCCACAGCTCATCAGCGCAGTTATGCAGGCCACAGGCCTCTGACGAAAGCCCCTGGCGGAGACCAGTGCCCCTCAATAGGAAAGACACAAAGCCACAGGCTTTTTCCCTCCTGTCACTTAACCTCATCTAATTGTGTTGAGAGCTAGACAATCGGAGGGTGCTGTACCCCGACTGTGAAGACTGTGCCCACACTTCCATGCTTTACAGGTCAGGGCCTGCTGCAAGGCATGGCCTACGCTGCCCAGGGCCCACCAGGCCGGCCCGGGCCTCCGGGGCCTCCCGGCATCAGCAAGGTCTTCTCTGCCTACAGCAACGTGACTGAAGACCTCGTGGACTTCTTCCGAAGTAAGGGCTTCCTCAACTGCTTTCCCAACACGCAACTTGCTGCACAGTCTCACATGGAGCCTATTCCACAGAAACCAAAAAACCCCAACACAGATGCTAAACATCTGACAAATTCTAAACTTTGTTTTCCTCTTACAAGCTCAAACTCTACCACTACCTGTCTGTGGACAAATCACTTTATCTCCCCAGCTTCTTGGTGACTGCTAGTCTAAGGCCAGTTTTCCCCCCTTGCAGCGCACGGAGCCATTCCAGGACCCCCTGGGCAGAAGGGAGAGGTGGGCTTCCCAGGACCCAAAGGTAAGTGGTAGCAGGAACAGCCAACAGGAGCCTGTGTAACAACCTCGTGCTGAAAAGCAGCTCCCTTGCCAGTACTGTGCTGGGTGCTGAGTGCTGGGCTCGGGCTCTGCCCCTCCAGCCACTGTACTTAGCATCTCTCTCTCCTCCTAGGTGAGAGGGGCCCTGCGGGGCCACCTGGCCGACCTGGGACTCCTGGCCCTAGAGGACAAAAGGGAGAAAAGGGAGACAAAGGTAAGCTTCCGCTGCCACAGAGATTTGTTCTCTAGCAAGCCTGGAAAATGAAGGCAAAGATGACTTACTAAAGGCAGACCCTGCCAACAATGCAATTTGCATAACAATCAGGCAGCTGGGGAGAAAGGAAGGAGATGCCAACACAGGGAGGAAAAGGAGAACTGATCTGGTAATGAAAAAGGGTAAACAATTTAAACAAAAGTGATAGTTTTACAAAAGAATTTATCTTTCAAGCCCCGTTTTGCAAGTAGTCACAGTTGCCATACTTGCCCAAGCTGAACTCCCCACAGGCCACAAAGTATTTTTTAACTTCCTACTCATCTTCTAACTTTCAGGTGACCAAGTCTATGTTGGACGGAGAAGGAGAAGTATCGCCACCAAGCCTTGAGCTGCTGTTGGTGGAACAGCCCCCAGACCAGTTCTTGCAATGGCGTATTGTGCTTAGGTCAACGTCTCTCTAAACTTTACAGTCTTAAAGGGTGAAAGCTGGAGTCTCAATGTCCTACTGACACAGTATAGCCAGTCAACTAAAAGCACTTATTTTAGTTTGACACAATATATACATACATAAATGATTCAAAGACACACAACCTGAAACAGCTTCGTTGGGCAGACCTGAGTAGTTGCGGTGCTGTCGTATGAGACTGACTTCTCTGCTATCCAGAGCTGAGCGCCTTGGCTTCTTTAGCACTAGTTCAAACTCTAATCTAGGAAAGCCAGTTACATAGAAGTTGGCTCAGAAGTCCTTGAGCTTTGCCTAAAAGTGAGCCCAGAAAATGGAAGATGGGGATGGATGGCAGGAGCGCCATCCTGGGGGGTGACATCTGCTGGGGGTGTGTTCTGGTTAATGCTATAACGCTGTGCTGTCAACTCCTTCTCCTGTTCACTCTGCATTCTCTAGTCACAGAAAAGAGTTGGCTAAGAAACAACTCTTGCAACTGAAAATTTAAGAAATTCACTTCCCCTGAAGATGGCTACAGAGTTTCTAATAGTTATTTCTCACTACATATATCCCCACTTGCTTAGAAAGTGTGTTTGATTATAGCTATAATCTGTATCCATAGGTCCTCGCTAGAGTTTATAGATACGGTGTACTGAACTGCAGCAAATAGAAAAAGGAAGGGCAAGGGGTAAGGAAGAGAAGAGGGAAAATAGAATAGCTACTACTGGGGCACGATGTCGCCTCTGTTCTGCACTTAGGAAATGGCATGGGTACCGGGTGCAGTTGGTTTTTAAGCACTTTTCAATGTCTAAATGTCTTAAGTGGTCTATTGGATGAAAAATCATTTCAAAAGTAAAATTTCCAATTAAAGGATTTTTTCCCTTTTTTTACTACTATGTAGAATGTGATCCATCTAACCAAAGTTAAGACAAAAGGAAAAGAAAATATTTTGGGTTTGACTCTAACACTATTACAAACACAATATTCTGGGACATAATTTCTGGCATTTTGTTTAATCATCGAGATCGCTAAAGGCAAACCTTTATCTGTAACGGATAACTCAATTTGGGCAATTAGAAAGCATCTGAAGGGTTTCCCTAAGCATAAGTTACTTAAAATAAACAAAATAAACACATATGTAACAGATGAGCAACAAGATTATTTTCAATAAATGGGTGATTTATCCTGGTGCAAAGGAATTGTAATTGCGGAGCAAGTAATATGGAGTACCAAAACACCTGTTAGGGAAACACACAAATACCAAATGCCCCACAAAAATTCATAGTAAAATTAGACATGCAAATTCAGGAGAGGCTACCCTTGGCCAAATTTTGAATTTGTTACAAACTGTGACGCTCAATTGCTAAATAATTTAAAGTAGGATTAAATGAAATCTATTTCTACACCTCTAATCTCCTAAAAGACTGTACTGTTTATTTTTTATGTGGCCTCTCCTGACTATCTCTCACATTATCCTGGGGGGGAAACACAACACTTAATTCCACTATATCAAACAACTGCTGGCAGCAACCACTAGTCAAGCACCAAATTTTTTTTTTTTTTTTTAATCCTCATCCGAGGACATTTTTCCATTTTTTTGTACAGACAGAGTGGGAGGGAGAGAGAGGAAGAGAGAGAGAGGGAAACATCGATGTGAAAGGGACACATCGAGTGGCCGCCACCCGCATAACCAACCAGGGCCGGGGACAAACTGCAACCGAGGTACATGCCCTTAGCGGGAATAGAACCTGGGCCTCTCCAGACCGCAGGTCAACGCTCCAACCGCTGAGCCAAACCGGCCAGGGCAAGCACCAAATATTCTACATGGTCTGTTTGCCTTGTTTTTCTTACCCTGATGGTTACCTGCTCTGAATCAATATAGGAATTCTAAAAAATGAGTTCATAAGGCCTTCAGAATTTCAAACTTTTTACTTCCTAATGAAAACTTGTGTATAATAAATTACTACAATTTGCCCTTTTAATATTTTAATTTTTCTAAGTCCATTTAGTTTTGTAACAGTAGCTTCAAGGATTCACGTATTATATACCCTTTAATGACTCTTATCGTGATTAATCAGATGTCTGAGTTATTTCCCGTTTTGACTAGATTTACCTTTCAAAGCTATCCAAAAGTCTTCACAGAGTTCTAAGACCACGTGAAATAAGTGAAAGTCCAAACCTGTTTACCTTCTTCAGGCAGAACCCAGAAAGAAAACGGGCACATATGTCCTCAGCTGGATGGCAATGACTCTGAGCTTCTTTTATTTCTATTTTTTTAAAAGAAGTTAAGAATGAGCTCAACAGTGTACAACGCTCCTGGATTAGAGAAGGACATGCTTTGCCTCCCTCCAGCCAAACTGAACACTTGCCAAATGATGCTGCCTAGTGTCTACTGAATTTTGCATGAACGTATCAGTGGCAAGAAAAGGTTATTTTTAGCAAAAGTGAGGTCATAGCTTGTGAAATGTTTGGTGAGAAAAATAATCCATCCCAAGGGAAAAAAGGAAATAAGTATGTTGGTGGAAATATTTTAAGCACTTTAAATAGTCTGAGAGGGTCAGAAGACCTGGAGGACTGCAACTGTTAAAATATAACTAGGACCAAAAAAAGCTGCATAATGTTCTCACACATGACAAACCAGTTTCAACAGTTCTCAATAAAAGACTGCTTTATCAGCATAGATTAAGAAATAACTTTATTTTTCATTTGTCAATCCCATGATTGAAAAGACACATTGCTCCCCAGTAGACAAGAGGCATAATCTGAAACAAAATTCTTTCTGAAATGTAGCTTGTGAAGTTGTTATACTGCAAATCAAAGAAGGATCACAAAAAGCTGCAGCCAACATTTAAAACTGGTGTAACATTCTATCCGAAGCTTAGTAGCAGAAATTTTAAAGCTATATCAAAACCATGTCACCCACAGAAAAGCAACAATAGAGGCATTAACTGTTGTGGCTTAAACTTAAGCATTTAAAATATCCCATTTCCTATAAAAGATCATTTCCCAGAAAAGAATTGATTTATTTAATCAGAAGACTATTAGAACTAGAACTAACTCTCCTCTTTCACCTCAGTTCTAGGTTTTCCTTTAATCAACACTATCTCTAGCTAATCATTTGACACAATTTGGCTTCTCAGAAGAGACTTTGTCATTTAAGCACAGTGTGGAATGGGAGAAAGTGTGTAGTTACAAGGGAATTTAGCAGAGTACAAAAGACAGTTGCTTCTGAAACTCGCTGATGCTTGAGAAATCAGAGACCCTCCATTAAAGTGGGTCTCATATGCCTGAGAGCTTTGTGCTTGAGGAAACACTACTTAAGAGGTAGCTCTGGTTCTGGTTTATATTTAATTACAATTAGCTGTATCCTGTCAGAGGAAAGTTCTAATATTTTCAGCAAAGTATAAGCACTCAATTTTCTCCTTACCCACCCTATAGCTTCCCCATAGAAAAGAGTAAGAAAAAGCTTAATTGTGACTCTATATAGAATAGTAGCTAATTTAGCAATTCACTCAACTATGGACTGACAGGACTAGGAAAGGCAACCTGGTGCAATGAGCTCTATGAGCTGGACCTGCAGAAGTGTGGCGGTCTGGTGTATTCACAGCACACAGGGAGAAGAGGAGGGTGAGCATTAGGGTACACATATGAATTCCTTTTATGCATTTCATAGCCCATTCTGCCACAGCAACACCAACTAAATCAGAAATGATTTGACTGTATTCTGATTTCAATGAAGTCTGCACACCTCCCCCACTCCCCACTGACACTTCATGCAAGAGAGAAAGATCACTATTATCAATTTGAATATAGGGTCTAAAAAGAAATAGGCAGAGATGGGTACAAACAGCATATTCTATAACAAAACACTTTGAAAAGATTTATGTAACTTTGAGTATTAAAGTTTCACCTCTATATATGTATCATTTTGTAGCCCTGCGCCCACATCAATATGGTCATATTTGAAAGAAGCCTCAAGCATAAAGACTGAATCCAAATGGCAGTTTTAAGGGAAATGCAACCAGTTGCAAATAAACTTACCAGAGTGTCAACCGTTCTACTCTGAGACTCTTTCCTTTACTCAATACTCTGAACGTCATTGAAAGGAATAAAAAGAATCAAATATTCAGACCAAATGAACTATGTGCCACAAACTATGTAGCACACAGAACAGCATTTAAATGATACTGAAAAAATGTCCACTGCCTGAAGCATTAACTTTTTAAAAGCCTAAATAAACTGAAAATTTCAAAGGAGAAAGTGGTTTGAGAACCTTCCTCCTCTCTCCCTCTTAAAATAAATCATTAAATACATTGAGTAACTTTATACTGTCATTTTTATCATAATATAAACAATTTCCATCATCCTGAATATTACTTCATAAAGATATATATTTTAAAAGACTTTCAAAACATTTTTCAACTCAACATTTGAGAATAAAGGATCAAAGGAGTTTTGTATACAGTAACACATTCATGTGATAAGTGTATGAATTTACAACCATACATAATATATATGTATACATATATTTATATTTAAAAAAAACTTGGCCAGAAGTTAAGGCTACCTACAAAGTTGTCCAAGCAAATTATGCTTGTTAAAATAATTACAAAATGAAAATCATGCATGCATTTAAATCATCTAAACCACTGACAAAATAAGGTTCAGCATTCAAAGTTTTCAAATTAACTGCAAGAAAGTGCTACAGATATTTACATTTTCTTAATATGAATAAGTGTTCCCACAGTAACAAATTTTCACTAGCATCAAATGTAATACAACAAAAACTGAAACTTGTACAATTTGGTACCTAGTACTCTTAAAAGAGAAAGAGGTTGCAGATGGCAGGCAGCAAGCATCACTTAGAAATGTGCTGTCTCACACACCACAGTACAGTTCATAATACTGTTTGACCTGACACGTGACTGAAATTCTAAGCCTCAAGAGGGACTAAGAGTGAGCATTTCATTAATAATTACACATATCAGCAACCACATGACAAAGGTTTCAGGCTTTTCCCACTCAAATCAAAGTAAATAATTTAAACATGGAACAAAATAAAACCAAAATATAAATGACTTTATTTTAAAACAAGTCATGTCCAACATTTGGCTAAATATTTTACTTAATATTTTTTAACGTATTCTAAATAAATGCCTCTTTTAAAATCAATTTCAGAAAATACATTTATAAATATAACTCAGAGCCAGCAGGCCTCTGACAGTTTTCAATGAACAAAATTTGCTAGTCAGTTAACTAACTCATGTATTATTTTAAAAAATAAGCTGGGAGAGCTAAATCTATATATATATTTTTAATTTGGTGAGTTTTACATTTCCAATATGGACATCTAAATGCCTTTTTTTTTTTTTTCATGTTTCTAACTTTGTACAACATGTGTTAGGATGAAAATTTCTATCAAATAATAATAGAAGCAAGATTTAAAAAACAATAATGATTAATGCTATGGATGTTTTAACCCTGTCAAATCAAAAAGAAAATCCTATTTTAGACTTAACTGAAATTTAGTGTTTTAGGCACTGTCTTAATAAAACTAGCACCCTTGATTATTAGGTCATGCCTAAACAGGTAAATTATTTTAGACAGAATACTGATAATTTTTCTCTTTTAGAAGAATTTGTTGATATTTAAAGATAAAATTGATTTATTTAATGAGTCAGTATTACAGTGTGAGCAATTCATAGCTTTTTCATGAGCTGATTCACCAAAAGAAAAGTATTCCAACTCTCTAGCGCAGAGTTTCAACTAGAGATTTCAGGCATCGTTGAAGAAAAAAAGATACTAATACTCAGTGATATAACAGGTTTTTTTTAAAAAAATTACTTTAAACATTATATCTCAAGAATTTTTTAGGTAACAGTGTCTAAAGAACTCAGTTTTTAAGATTAATATACAAAATCACCTTAGGGAATTGCTGCAAGATGCTAATATGCCAACACGGCCCAGCATCTATCTAGTTCCTTTCCCTTCATCTTTGCTAAACAAACAAGACAAACAAACAAACAAACAAAAAACACCTAGAAGGTGAGGCAGGTGATTGTCTTCATGCACTCTCTAATGTAGACTGTGGCAGAAGATGAAGAGAACAAAATGATATATTTTAAAAGCCAAACCAGAATGCTTCCCATTGTTATGATCCAGTGGAATGCAAACTAGGAATAGGATAGAATTTGGAAATTCGACTCTGTGTTGATGGATTAAGGCATTCAGACTCGCCGGTCATTTTAAAGAAAACTTCCTGTTCCTGCAGTTTCCTGGCAAATTCTTCTTCCAGTGTCTTAAAAGGGAAGGGAAAAGGAAATTATGTACTGGCATTACACAAAGAATTTACTCTAGCAGCCAAGATAAAACTATCTGCCCAAAACACGTTCTCTGTAAGTTATTCTGCAGAAGACCAGACTGCTCAATAGTTAGGATCAAAGGCTGTGCACAGCCCTAGGCTCAAATCTTGGCTCAGTTATACTAATGGCTAACTTGGGTCAATTACTTAACTTCTCCATCTTACAGAATCATTTCATTCTTCTGCTATAAATAGGGAAAACACCACCTACCTCACTGGGTTGCTACATGAGGGTTAAATGTGATGACAATGTACTTAACACACACTTGGTACTCAATAGATGGCACCTATTATTAACTATCATCTGTCACTCCTATGTGAATTTACCATCTTCTAATTTTTATTTTGATTATTGACGTGCATGTTTTTTCTCCCACACTGGACTATAAGCTGTTTGAAGGTAAAACCTAAACCAGATTCATCTTTAAGTCTCCACAATACAGAGCAAATATAAGTGCTTGATAAATATCTGAGGTATCGATGACTTTGCAGACAAGTGATTCAGGGATAAAGTGCTGCTACAGAGGTACAAAGTATAGAAGATGAAAGAATATAAGAAGGTTTCTCGGAAGAAATGAAACATGAGCTTAATCTTGAAGGAAAGATAAGAAATTGATAGACAGGATGGGGAAGGCATACCAGACAAAGGAGAGCTGAAACAACGCAGAGGCAGGAAACTCAAAGCCAGTGTAACGGTGATTATACCCAAATACTGGAACAGAACCTGGGAACCAAGTGGTTAGTGGGGGATGAAGCTAGAAAGGTTGACTGTGGCCAATATGTGGCATGATGAAGGCTTAAAAGTCAGACTGAGGCATTTACATGTTTTTTTCTGATAGAACTAAAGACTTATCAATACTGTTATGACAGTATCAGAGATGTTTCTTGAGGATAAATATTCTGGTGATGGTAGACAAGCAAGAAAAAAGGAAAGGGAACTACAGACCAGAAGGCTCGTGAAGACATTACTGAACACTTTTAAGCAAGTAGAAAGATGACAATATGAAAAAAAGAAATATTTTTATTAAATATGGGTATCATGGAAATGAAAAATAATTCAGGTTTCTAGCCTAGATGTCGATTAAGAGAACAGGAACGTGGGAAAAACATCTATTGGTGAATGGGGCTGGAGAGAAAGGGAAAAGGTGAGATGGAGATGAAGAAAAAAGGATGTTGAAATTAGTTTTATCTCCACTGAGTTTACACTCCTTAGCCAACATTCAACAGGTGTGTAATGATCATTTACAACGTGCAGGAATTATGCTAGAAGTTAGGTATATATCAGTGACCAAAGAGATAATGTCCTTACTTTCAAGAAGCCTACATTCTTGTGAGAGGAGACAAACAATAAACAAATGTATCTGGTAGTGACGAATGTTATGGTGAGGGGATAGAGAGTGTTTGAGATAGGCATGGAGTCTATTTTTTACACAGTGATCAAAAAAAGGAACCTCTGATGAGATGATATTGGAACAAAAGCCAAATTGAAATGAGGAATAGAACATCCAGGTGGAAAATGAGAGTTCTGAGAATGAACTAATAATATTAAAATAAATAATAACAACACAACCATTCATTGAACCTTGAATCTGACCATGCTCAAATACTGGGACTACTGCTGTGCACACATCACTTTTTAAAAAAAATATGTTCTGCCCTGGCCAGTTTGGCTCAGCGGTTAGAGCGTCGGCCTGCGGTCCGGAGAGACCCGGGTTCGGTTCCCGCTAAGGGCACGTACTTTGGTTGCAGTTTGTCCCCAGCCCTGGTTGGTCGTGCGGGTGGCAGCCACTCGATGTGTCCCTTCACGTCGATGTTTCTCTCTCTCTCTCCCTTCCTCTCTCTCCCTCCCACTCTATCTGTACAAAAAATGGAAAAATATCCTCGGGTGAGGATAAAAAAATAAATAAAAATAAAAAAAATATGTTCTTATTGATTTCAGAGAGAGGAAGGGAGAGGGAGAGAAACAGACAGAAACATCAATGAGAGAGAAACATGATGGGCTGCCTCCTGCGCGCCCCCTACTGGGGATTGAGCCTGCAACCCTGGCATGTGCCCTGACTGAGACTCGAACCGGAACCTCTCGGTCCATGGGGTGCCTGAGCCACAAAAGCTAGGCAAGAAACTAGATTTTTCATGAGAACAGTTAGATAATGCCATGGGATCTGGTTATTAGCAACTCACTTGTGACTCGTTAAAGTTCAGCTTGGGAGTTTGCGGTGAGAGGCAGACTACAGAGTTAAAAGAGACTAGAGAAAGGGTCTTCTCACTGTTTACTCTTCCATGTCTTTTGAATACTGAACCACATGTATGTATTGCCCATTCAAGAATTTAACAATAAACAAAATTTAAATTAAAAAGCCACACTATCGCTCTGATCAGTTTGGGTCAACAGTTGGAGTGTCGGCCTGTGGACCCAAAGGTAGCAGGTTCGATTCCCAATCAAGGGCTCAAGTCTGAGTTTCAGATTTAATCCCAGGCCCCAGGGCTGTGCAGGAGGCAACCAACTGATGATGACACGTCACTGTTTCTCTCTCTCTCTCCCGTTTCCTCCTTCCCTCCCTCCCTCCCCTTCTACTCTATCTAAAAAAAAAAAATAGATGGAAAAATATCCTTAGGTGAGGATTAACAACAACAACAAAAAGCCCCACTATCAACTGACTTGGTCATTTCACTTCCTCTAAAAACCTTTCACACATAGTTAGATGCTAAATATGTATTTCTGTAATTAATTGATTGGATGACTAGAAGAAAGAAATGGTTGAAATGTACAGTAGGCAAGATGCCCAAGAGAAAAATAAAGGTTTAAGTATGAGAGTTAACAAAGGGAGAGGATCATATAGTGATAGCAAAAACTGAAATGGTTGACCAACTGGACAAGGCTAGCAGGAAGTCAAGTGCAAATAAGGAAGATGGTTGGCTGGTTAAAGGAGGGGAAGCCATTCCTATTTTATTAGACTGTCAATTGGCCTTGCAATCCAGCTCTCATCAATCTGTCTAAACCAAGCTGTCATTACTTCCTTCCTTCCTTCCTTCTTTCCCTTTCTAATGCCTACACACAGGAACACACTGCCCTTCATGCTCCAATGATGGGGAGCTACTTAAAATCATTTTCACTCATTCTCTTCTCTATACTTAAATTGCCTCACCCCATTTATCTACCTAGCAAGCACTTACTTATCCTTCAAGCCTTACTTGGCTTACAAGGCATCCCTACAAGGCATCTCTCTACAGCTTCCCTGACTCCCCAGGCAGATGTAAGCACTCCTCCACCTTTGCTTGCACCTTGTGTCCTCTCCCCCGTATCTTGAACATAATTCCTTCAGAGCAATGATCCTACAGATCTGTAACCGCTTGTCACTACATTCTGAATCTTTAGAGGACAGAGACTTTGTCTCTTCACCTCTGTCTCCTATACCTGACACATACTAGGTAAAGAGCCAATAGCTGGGAGGATGAGTGGGAAGATGAATGAATGGATGGATGGACACAAACATATTTTTAATTAAAGCTTTTAAAATTACCTTTTTCCTAGGTCTCAATTTCTCTCTCCATTCCTTTAACTCCTGGCTGTGTTCCTCATCTAACTCTTTTAGTTTCTGAGTTTCATGCTCAACCAATAGGTGGCATTTTTCATTCTGAAAATAAAGTTTGGATTAAAAAAGTTCAGATCAACAAAATAATTTTTCACAAATACAATTATCTTCCAAAATAATAAATTATTCATCAAACACTATTACTGAGGTTCAAATTCTCCTCTAAAAGCCAAGGGCCAGGAATTATGAAATAATTCATAGCTTCATTTTTTTTCAAATTTAGAAGCTAGGTCTATTACTAAATGAAAAGAACTTAAATAGAAAGAATTAGTTTGATCCTGTTCTTCACTTTCTCAGGTCTGCTCATAAATCTGACACTTCAGCAGGCAGCTGTGTGCACCTGCCCCAGGGGTGCCAGAACGTGGGAGTCAAGACTCCTCCACTCTGGTAAATGAAGCAGAAATGTACAGTATCCATAATGCACACACTACTTTTAAATGTTAAACATTTTAGGCTATAAACTAGATAGGCTGGGTATTCCAGGTAAGGTCCAAAAATAGTCCTCTCTAAATTAACCTTTAAACTTCTCGTATGTTTAGTTTATTACCTTTTTCATAAACCTACAAGAAAATGAACTATTTCTCCCTCAATGAAACTTCAAATTCAGAATCTGATAACAAAACTGCCTATATCATTTTGAAAACTTTGTTAATCTTTTTTGCAAAATATACTAAAAATACTTAATACTACTTTTAAAAGACTCAACTTCTTAGGTTATAATTTAGCTTCATGCTACATTAACCACAGTTATATAAAATCCGAACAAGTGCCTATGATACTAAAGTGATCTTCATTTGGGTCTACATAGGAAACAAATCCCAGCATTTTCATGAGTAAAATGCAGTTCACTTTGGTTAGCTATTCTTTTCCCAAAACCTGTGCTGCCCATCTACTACCAGCTTTGTCCTGGTGCTCCCGTATCTACCTGCAGCTGATGCAGCTCTCGGACATTGGCTTCACACTGCAACTGAAGATCCCGCATTTGATTTTCATGTTTTTGATGCTGAGCCATCCTCTCATTTTTCTGCCGCTTTTCTTCTTGAGCAGCAAACTGTACATAAGAAAAATAAAAGTAAATATGGTTAATAAGCAATGTAATTTCTGCATCTTCCAAAGATATAATTAAGGAATTTACCAAAAATTAAAGTAACAATAAACTACAGCTGCACGTAACAATATATGGTGATGCAAAGCTGGAGTCTATATTATAGAAAGGGAGGACTTCTGATTAAAACCTCGTTCCTCTTATACCTCGGCTGGGAAGGTCCTCCCTGAGGACTGAGGGGTCCCCGTCCCACACCAGGTGCCCTGCTCAGGGTTCCAGTGCCAGGAAGAGAAGTCCCCATAACTTCTGGCTGGAAAAACCAGCGGGAACTGAGGCTCAGGGAGGCTGAGGCGGCTGGAGCCTCAGGCAGCTCCTCTTAAATGGCCCACGCACGGACTTATCGGACTCAGTCCCTCTAAGCTTGGAGGGGAGGCAGCTCGAGGGACACCAGAGACATACAGGAAAGAATTGAGCTGTTTGGCACTGGAGTGAGAGATGGAGAGGGGGCTTTCTCCAGAACTAACGTGCAGTCAGAGGCCTTTGTTCCTTTGGTGAGCCCTTCCCTGGAGCGGCAGAGAGATGCCATATCTGGAACTCCAGCAACTTGGCTCACACTGGTAGCCCCGCCCTGGTGATTCCCTGAGACCCCGCCCCACTCAACTTTCAGGCCCACCCAAGCTGTTGCCAGTTGCTTAACCATAGGATTGGCCTGTCTTGGATCCTGCTTCAGGTTTTCCTGAATTCTCTCAAACAAGCAGCATCTAGTCTCAGCTAGCCCCATACCACTTGTTAAGTAATACATAGAAACAAACACTGGGAGGCAGCCAAAATGAGGAGACAAAGAAACAGGTCCCAAATGAAACAACAGCAAAAAAACCCAGGAAAAGAACTAAGCGAAATGGAGATAAGCAAACTAACAGATGCTGAGTTCAAAATACTGCTTATAAGGATGCTCAATGAACTTAGTGAGAACCTCAGCAAACCTAGTGAGGGCCTCAAGAACATAAAAAAGGACCAGTTAGAAATGAAGGATGTACAGTCAGAAATTAAGGAGGCACTAACTGAAATAAAGAATAATTTACACAGATTCAATAGTAGAGTAGGTAAAGCCAAGAAACAAATCATCGATTTGGAATATAAGGAAGCAAAAAATACCCAATCAGAACAGCAAAAAGAAAAAAGAACCCAAAAAAATGAGGAGAGTGTAAGGAGCCTCTGGGACATCTTCAAGCGTGCCAATATTCGCATCTTATGGGTGCCAGAAGGAGAAGAGAGAGAACAAGAAATTGAAAACCTTTTTGAAACAACAATAGCAGAAAACTTCCCTAACTTGGTGAAGGAAACAGACATACAAGTCCAGGAAGCACAGAGAGTCCCAAACAAGATGAACCCCAAGAGACCCACACCAAGACACATCATCAAAATGCAAAAGGTTCAAGTCAAAGAGAGAATCTTAGAAGCAGCAAGAGAAAGGCAGCTAGTTACCTACAAGGGAGTTCCCATTAGGCTGTCAGCTGATTTCTCAAAAGAAACTTTGCAGGCCAGAAGGGAGTGGCAAGAAATATTCAGAGTGATGAAAAGCAAGAACCTACAACCAAGATTACTCCATCCTGCAAAGCTGTCATTAGAATCGATGGCCATATAAAGAGTTTCCCAGACAAGGAATAGCTAAAGAAATTCATCACCACCAAACCATTATTATATGAAATGTTGAAGGGTCTTCTTGAAGAAAAAGATAAAAAATATGAACAAAATGGCAGTGAACACATATCTATCAACAATTGAATCTACAAACAATGAACAGGCAGAACAGAAGCATTCTCATAGATACAGAGAATATTTTGTTAGTTCCCAGATGGGAAGGGGTTTGGGGGAATGGGTGAAAAAGGTGAAGGGATTAAGAAGTACAAATTCGTTGCTAGACTGTAAACTTCAAAAGGAAAGGGTTTGGGGGGGTGGGAAGAAATAAACCAAAGAACTTATATGCATAACCAATGGATGCAGACAACAGTGTGGGAAAGGGCGGGAGGGGGGTGGACGTGGGGAGGGAGTGGGAAGGAGGGGTTCAATGGGGGAAAAATGAAGAACATCTGTAATACATTCAACAATACAGATTAAAAATAAAATAATAATAATAAAAAATAAAACCTTGTTCCTCCTATCTGCTTAGTGACCTCAGTTAATTTGTGTGTGGGACCTATGATTGTAGAAATATAGTGAGACCCTATGTTTTTACTTAAAAAGCTGTCCAAATCATCTCATTCCCAGGGCTAGTCTTAGGACCAGTAAGTGTATCAGGATCTGGTATGGGGCATGGGAGGGAGGACTCGGCCCTCTGTGGCAAACACCCTAGGAAGACTAAGTTGGTACATGCCATATACCTAGCCCCAACCCACAGAGCCAAAATGAACATCAACAAGCACAAAGTGCTCTAAATGTTTATAACACAATCTTGTGATATTTCTAAAGGTCATTCAAAATTTTTACTTAAATTTGTTTACTTACCTGTTTAATTTTTTCACGGTCCTGATCTGGTGTGGCCGTTGAGTTAATTCTCAAACTTTTCTTAAACATGGCCATTCGAGTCTTGGCTTCACTGCGCTGAATCTTAGGCAGTCTTGCTCTTTCTTGAGTCTGTCTATTTTTCAATTCCTCAATAAGTCGTTGATTATAACGCTGCATTTGTTCTGTTTCCTAAGAAAGTTTTAAACAGAATCCCGTCATGTAGATATAATTTAATACTCAGTACCCACATGAATACTCAAACACAATTGCTATTTTGTTGTTGTTTCCCAAAATTACTCTCCCTGGCTGCATGCAAATCAGCTCATTAGTCCTGGCTGGCATTGGTCAGTGGTTAGAGCATCGGCCTGCAGGCCAAAGGGTCCCAAGGTTTGATTCCAGGTTAAGGGCACATAACCTGGGTTGCAGGTTTGATCCCTCGACCTGTTAAGGGTACGTGTGGGAAGCAACCAATCAATGTGTCTCTCTCTCACATCGATGTTTCTTCCTCCACCTTCCTTCACTCCCTCCCTTCTATACTTTCTGAAAATCAATGGAAAAATATCTATGGGTGAGAATTTAAAAAAAAAAAAAATCAGCAAAATATTAGGCAAAAAATAATTTATAAGAAAAACAAAGCTACTAATAATAAGAGTCTTATGTTGAAGTTCTCTTTTACTAAGTACAGGGAGTCCACATTTTTGAGATACTTGAACCATAAAGGGAGCCACAATAGCTACCTTTGAGAGATCAAGATGAAGATTATCAAGGCCATTAAGCATTATAATTAATTACCCCCCTAGCAATCATAATCAACACATACTTTATTACTCCAACCTCATCAAAGACATTTTAGGATAAAATAAAGAAATTTGAAATGCATTCTCTAAGAAATATAAGTTTCAAAAATTAAATCCTCACTCTGCAAACTTTAAAATGAACAAAAAAGTAAATAAATTTTCCTTTCATTAACCTTCTCATGGCGCTTAAGTAACTGATGTCTTTGCATGAAATACTGATCTTTAAGCTGCTGTTTGAGCAACTGGTGTTTTTCTTGTAAGTGTCGTTCTTCAAGCTCCCAAATTGCAGCTTCTCGAGCTAAAAGAAGAAAGCAATTTTCAAAATGTCATTTTGATCTTTTTACTAATGTACTTTTTTCTTCATTTTAATATTTACATAAATTTACATAAAAGTGTTCTAGATACACTACCTTATACACACACTGACAGTCTGAGCTATAAACAAAATGTTACCAATGTAAAGAGAATATCTATGACCACTTTCAGTTCTGTTTCAATGCCCTATAACAGAGAATGCCCCACACCCAGTACCAAAATTCCATCTAATCATCTTCATGAGAAATGTTTTTTTAATCTAAGCTATTTCTTAGGGGAAATAAGTGCTTAAAATCCCATTCTATAATGTAGTCATTAAGTATACCAACAATTATGAGACATAATGAGTATATAAAATTATTCAGGTATATTTCTAGCATCATCTGGACAAAAAGATGTTTTAAGGATTATATATGTTTATGGTCCCTTCTACTGTCATAAAAAAAATGCTGTATCTCAAAATGTTTCTTAATTTTATAATTTTTTCCTCTTATTTACCTCAAATTTATTTTTCCCTTTGCCACTCTAGCAAAGAAAAGCATTTAAATAATTTTTAAGGGATTGAGATATAACTTTATGTATACACATATGCTGCATAGTTTCATATACCTCTCATGAGTTGTTGTTTGTTATTCAGGCACTCTCTTTCAATATTGGCTAACTCTGCCTTCTGCTGTTGGATGATCTTTTTCAGTGAGCCATCTAATTCTTGTTGTTGCTTCTGAACAAACTCTTGTTCCTATTAGATATAGTTAACCATCAGTTAATAAGTATTTACTGAGCAAGACATCTATTTATGTATATGACTGCATATATTAGTGGTTATCAAAATGTCTAAACCAAGTTTCTAAAGTTAGTGAAATGTTTAAATACCAATATTATATAGAGTGTGAGCATATATATATATATATATATATATCATCCAATTTAAGGCCATTAATAAAGTACTAGACTACATATTATTCTAAACTCATTATTAAGAATAATACAAACAAAAGAAGTCTATTCTCCACTCATAATTAAAATGCCCTCTTATAATGACATCTTTGAGAAAATAATAAATTTACATCTTCTAAAACTGACTATCCATTGCAATATGGTGTGGATAAAACAAGAACAAACAAGAAAGACCTTTTAGAAGAAAAGGCAGTAAAGAGCAAATAAGTAAAACAAGTGTCAGAATTTTAAACTCTATTTTCCTAACAAATAGAGTTAAGAAGAATACCATGCCTACACTAACAGAGAAAGACAGTTTCTATATTGACAGCCTCTGCTTAAAAAGAATAGTTTGAGGACTTAAACAGTGCATTGCTAGAGAAATGTGAACTAGGAAAGTGAGCTACAAATATTTTATAAATCTATAAACAAAATTCCTTATAATCTGAGAATTCTACTTACATGTTTGGGATTCACTTACTCATTCAACAATTATTTATTGAGTACATACTATTTGCCTAAATGCTAAACTTATGCTTTAAAAATATCCTTTGGTTACTGTGCAAAAAAGGAAATGTTAAAGTGACTTATGATCTTTATGCTAGAACATACATTTACAAAAGAGAAGGAACAACATACAAACTGAAGAATGTCAATTTTGCCAGGAAGTGTCTGGATCTCTATTCCTCTCTTGGCAGTTACTGCAGTTTGGGATTAGCTCAAGGGGTATTCTGATAAATTTGAGTGTGGATTTAAAAACTTAGTGTTGAAGTGCCACTTCACCTATAATCCCTTCTCTCACACATCCTAGAGAAGATAAAATCCCAAGATCCTTTTTGGAACTACTTTTTAGGCCTCAGTCTCATAAATAAATCTAGATCACAACCAGCCTGGCATTCCACGCACAAAGAATAAGTCTAGCCGTATTCCTCAAGATGTTTGCCTTACTACCGTTTCTGGAGGTGAGGATCAGGTCTTATCATTCATGTCGTCCTGTTAAAGTAATTCAGAGTCACAAATACTCTTGTCTCGGTTGCATTTTAATTTGTAGTTTAGCATAAATACAATCCTACAGTAGCAAAAAGACTAATGAACTGCCTTTATAAAATATAATTTCCAATTACTACAGACACCTATATAAATTTATCACAGCAAAAAAATAAATAAGACTAAATGAATATTTAAAATCAACTATATAGGAGAATAAGGCCTTTTTTTTAAATTAATTTATTTTTGTTACAGATGTTTCTCCTTATTTAAAGAGATACAAAATGTCCATGTCTATCTTTTAAGCAGTTACAACTAAGAAAGTCATTCAAGCTTCTCCTTGTCCTACAGTAAATATCACTTGTAATAAAATTGTTTCTTTAATTTTATTATAAAATTTCTATAAAACTCATTAAATAAACTTACTATAACCTGCAGACATATCAAAGGTTTTTCTTCTGTTCAATTTTGCCATTGGTTTGCATAAAAAACTTTTTTCAAAAAGTATGTGTGTATATACAGAACCAATGGGTCCAAAGTAACTATCATAAATATAAATATTACATTTAGACGCAAAAAAAGAAATGAAGTGCAAAAGTACAAGATGGGGCAAATAAATATTTATGAGAAAATTAAAAAGGTAATTATAAACCAGTGCCACTTAAATGTAATTTCTTGCCAATGCAATTTTGGTCTCATTACTATACTATATTCATGTCTAGATAAACAATATAAAATTCAATTAAAAGAAAACCTTTATTAAGCAAGTATCGGGCCCCTTCCCTTAATATTGCACTTTCAAAAGTTCAAAAGTAAACCACACAAAACTCAAAGTTGGGAATAAAAGGTCCAGAAACCATGCTATATAATGAATGACTGTAAGAGCTACAGAAGCATGCTGGGAAGCAGCTAATAATAAATGAGTGGGGGAAAGAGCTAAGACTGTCTATAGAAGAGGCAAAAGTAGCATTGCTCTGCTCTGGAAAGTAAAATAAGAATCAGTAGTTAAGAGTCAAGGTAAGACAACATAAGGAAGTGCTTCCTAACGACCAGAGTTAGCAAAACAAGCTGCCTTACAGAGCTATGGACTTGAATAATTAATGAAAGTCTGGATGATTACACAGTCAAGGATAATGCACAAATAATTTTTTTATATTAAAGCTAAAAATTCCTTAAAAAGCCCCATACATACTAATTAATATATTTTATTACCTCCAAAGAAATAAAAATTTAACATTATTGCGCTTTCATTACATTTTCTAACTTCAAAAGCCAAGTACAACATGTTCACAATGAAATTTTAATTAGAAATTACTCTTAGGCTCTAAATGAAAAGTGATGTTGCATTCCCAAAAGATTATACAAATTACATTCATCCTATAAAAAACTAAGAGATGAATCTGATCACTAGTAACAAATAATCTTAAAGTGGACACATAAATTGTAAAATGAATGCCCTTTAAATGTATAATTTTGAATTTTGATAAGTAATTTTATCATATTAATCAGATAACTATGAACATGAAAAATACAACTTTGAGTTCTAGAAAACTGTAAGAAAGGATTATGATATATTGGGCTATTTGTACAGAATTTGATCATTTTAACTCAAAAGAAAAGCTAAAAATGGTAATGATCAGAAAAGTGATCGTAATGCATAATTTCTCCCTCTCAAAAAAAATTATTTTGCTTCCTCTTTTATACTTTATAGAGTCCCACAGCTGCCAGTAATAAAAAAAAATAATAATAATAAGTCTAATTTCAGGAGAGGGGAAAGAAGGGGTTGAAATCAAGCTGTATTCTATCTACTCAGTTGTGTAATATCAAACATCACAAACAAAAATTATAGTGTTAAATGAGCTAGTTGCTTCCCTATAGAAACTGTGAGAAAGAATACAGCCTGGAATTCCAGACTTAATTTAAAACTACAAGGAAAACAGCGACTCACTATTCATTATGGACAATTTGAATAGTGAAAACTAGAGTTAAATGGAACTAAAATCACCACTTTTAATATGGCTTTTCTGACCATATCCATAATTAAAATATCTACATAAACATATATGCAACCAAAATGTCACTTCACACAAAGATAAAAATCTAATCACAGCATTCAATTTCTCACATGTGCAAAGTTCATAAAATACTATTGTGAAGTTATTTCTTGAAAAATATGAAAATCTCAAATTAAAATTTGCGGTAGGGTAGATAGAAAAAGAACACTGTATTGGAAGTGTTCGAGTTCCAGCTCTACCGTTAATCTTTTTGTGACTAAGGCCGATCACTTAGACTTCTGTGCCTTGATTTATTTCTTCCTTTGTAAAATGAATACACTCCATCCCTACATTAGGGTGGTGGTGGTGAGAATCAAATGTGAAAACTCTGAAGAATACTGTACTATCAAGGTCATGTCAGGTTATTACTGTTATTGTCATTACTGACTTTATCATCTATCAATCTTCTAAGATTTGAACAAATTAAGCTAACAATGAAAAGGCACATGTGAGCCAAAGAAAAAGCAGGTAAAACAGGAGAAGGCATCCTCCTACAGGCACGCGGGACTTACGTCCTGCATTTGGGCGTTGAAGACTGCACAAGATGACAACTGAAAAGACTGAATCATGACCTGAGCAACACCCTGTGGATCAGAATACAATGCACCTCTCAGGTGAGAATATAGCTGAATGACTTTTTGTAAACGGAAAAAATAATTATACAAATGCTGAGTCTCTTGAGACCTGGAACAGAGGGGCTTCTTTCTCCTCTGTAAAATGAAGGATTTGAACTAGATCAATGGTTTCCAAATTCTAGTTTGCTGGCATTGTTTCATATATTAGTCAAACCCCCTTTTAAAAAAACTCACCAAAAATACATAAAATTTATAAAACAGATAAAAAGTGGTGCTGCATAAGTTACAGTGGAAGCAGGGGCCCAAAGCCCCACAGTCCTCTTTCTGAAGAATTCTCGAAGTGCTTCTTCCAAACTCAAGAGCTCCTGGAAGCACAATTTTAAAACCACTGGACCAGATGATCAAATACATTCTAGCTCCATGACTATATGGCTATTATTTATAAATACTCAAAAAAGTTTAAAGTAGACTCTGTAATCAAGTTTTAGCACTTTCATTAAAAGTAGTAGCTAAAGAGAAATACTTATAAATTTGTTAAAACTACTAAATTCTTCATTAAATTTACAAAAAGAAAATTATTATTGCTTTTAGCTTTTGTTGGAAAACACAGGCTAGCACCCAAAATTATATGAATAATCACCAATAAAGTTTTACTAAAGCATAGGATCACCTAATTCATTCAATACTAAATTCTCAATTTCAACTCTATAGTCTGATATATTACCTTTTGGAATTTAAAAAGTCTATATACCATATTACTGTTATCTGGTTTGAAATCCAAATTATCCAAAAATATGTGTACAACCAGCAAGGACTTCCTTTTCACCTTGTGACAAGACATGGCCAAACACCAACTAAGCTAGGCTGGTAAGAGTTTAGATTTGGCACAGAAAGGGTAGCTAAATAAGAGAGGCAGCATGGTACAGTGGTTCAGTGTATGAAATGTGGAACCAAACTTGCCTGGACAAGAATTCTGGTTCTACCACTAACCAAATGTGTGACCTTGGAAAAGTCACTCAACCTTCCTGTGCTTTAGTTCCTTCACTGTAGGATGGAGGTAATAAGAGTAACTACCTTATATGTTGTGAGGTTAAATAAGTTTACACAGGCAAAGCATTCAGAGCAGTGCCTGACACATATAGTGAATAGTGTATTTGCTATTTAGTGATCTCCACACCGACCAAGACAAAACTTTCTATTATTAAAATGTTTAATTCTGAGATGTTTTTCTTATTTTTCATGGTGTTAAAACAGTTTCTACTTTGAAATGATGGTGACAAGTAAATGGAAGTTTTAAAATATCCTTACTTGGCAAAAATAAAAACTGTAACGGTAACCCATCTGTCATGGTCCCCAATGTTTTTGGTTATTTTTTATGTTTCTTTTCATGGGTCTGTAAAATTTAAAAGTCTGACAACCACTTTTGAAACTACATAAAACCACATTAAAAAAACAATATAAAGCACCAATTAATATATAATCCCTGTCTCTTCTTTTCATTGACATATGTACAAATTAAACTCACTTTTCTTTGCCTCCAGGCTGAGTGCAAACTTAATTAAAAGATTATTCCTAGTATAAAAAACCTTGAAAAGTCATGTGAAATACTTCTATAAGAATATGTTGAAAATACAAATTTATCTAATTTAATAAATAATTCACTCATCTTAATTGGCTCAGCCTCATAACCTAGAATCAAATTTATATGGGTAAAAAAAATAGTCTACATTTTTTAACTGCTACATCTCAAGTTAAAAAGAAAAACAACAGACTTAATATTTAAAATTCGGTCTAAAATTGTGGCTCAGTGGTTGGAAGCATCAGCCAGCTCACAGAAGGATGACAGGTTTGATTCCCAGTCAAGAGCGAGTACCTGGTGGTGTGGCTTCAATGATACCCTGCCCAGTCAGGGTGTATTTGGAAGGCAACCAATCTATGTCTCTCTCTCAAGAAGATGTTTCTTTCTTTCTCTCTCTTTCTCTCTCTCTCCCTCCCATCCTCCTTTCCTTCTTTCCTTCCTTCCTTCCTTCCTTCCTTCCTTCCTTCCTTCCTTCCTTCCTTCCTTCCTTCCTTCCTTCCACTCTCTCTAAAAATCAATGGAAAAAACTGTTAATCCTCAGGTGAGGATTAACAAAAAAAAAAAATGGGGTCTTAAATTGCTTTTGTTGTTGAGTCTAACAGTAATAAATGTTTGATCTACCATTTAACATTACCATTGACCATTTTTCTTTTAACTTTAATTTTTTTAGAAATAATGGCCTTTTAATAGGCATTCTTTTCATACTCACCCTCCATATTTTCCTGTCCTGAAAGTCTTTTATCAAGCATTGACATTAGTACTTAAAAATGTAAACTTCCATCATGATTAAAATAAGAATACAGTGGATTATACATTAACATACTTGTTTATTTCATTTTGGAGTCACCTTTCCAAACATTCCACGTAACTTCATATTAGCAACTAAACCATCACCATTAGTGTGCATTTAGTACTACATACAGAATGCCCTGGGTACCTTTATATGAGGAAAAGTCTATATCATATAAGAATTACAGTCAGAAATTACCCTTTCAATCATGTTTTATTGATTGAGCTGTGAGAATAATGCTGCTTTCTGTTTTTAGTAGCATTAAGCTGCTGCTGTTACCTGAGCATGCTGGCTTTGTGCAAGCTCCTCTTTCCTGCGTTTCATGAGCTCTTTTCTCAGCTCTTTGGGTGCTTTCTCCACTTCATTAATAACCTACAGTGTATAAGCATGCAGGAGGTGGGGAAATAATACTTTCTCCACAGCAAGCATTTATGTGAGCAGACAAGGTACAAGTCAAATATTAAAGCTGTTAAAAAGTTTAACATGCATTAGCATAGGTGTTAGTTTGGTGAAAAAGAATGAAAGGACAGAACATGCTTAATCTCAGCGCAGAAAAGGGACATTACACCATATAGAAGTTAATTAGTTGCTTAATTATCCCTATATATCATTCCCTCTTGAAGATCCAAAAACAATCAGTAAAGGATTACTTACAGCACTGATGCTGAACTAAAGGTAATAAACTCAATTGACCTTTTTGAAAGATCATAAAATTATGAACATATCTATTGACACTGTTTAAAATATTGAACATAAGGAAAGTTAATGCCACTTATAAAAGTGAAACATTTCATAATTGGCTTGAATAGACCAAAGAAATAATTTTAAATAAAATCCACGAAATGAGACCAAAAGAAAAACAAAAGGGAAAGTAAGCCTTAGAATACACAAAGGAGAAATAAATGGATTCTACATTTTCTTTTTTCATAAAACACACCATTTTATATACAGTGTGCTAAAAATGAACATATCTGATGACTTTGTTTTGGATTAGAATAATAGTCTCCTTTGCTAACAATTTAAGCCAAACATAATTGTCAAGTTTAAAATCAGTAATATAAGCAGTCATAACAGTTTAATATGCTATGATTTATTATACCCGATAAAGCATATTATAAAGCGAAATATATTTTAGAGCTCATTCTTTTAAATCATTTCAAAATTCTACATGTATTCCACCTAAAAACAGACCTGTGATTCGATTATGAAAAATGACCATGTGTTTACAAAAGTAGAAGCACCAAAAGCAACCAGATTCCAAATCACCACATGCTATTGATGGTCCATGAAAGAGACTGATTTTGATTTAACATAGTGTATTTAAAATTTCCCATCAGTAACTGCTCATGAAACCAAATCACCATTAAAAGGAAGAGACTCCCCAAATGCAAGAAGTTTAGTGATAAGAAAAAAAATACACAATTATTTAAAATATGCATTATCATAATCTCAAACATATTCACTGGCTAAAACTCTCCTATTCAAAACAGTAACAATAACTAGATATTTTTAGGTTTTATATGTTTAGGATTATATCATATATTTACCTGTAAAATTTGATTTATTTAATCTGATATTTAAAATAACCTCTCTATGAAAACTATCCATGGTTTCAAGAGAATTAAAGTGTAGCCTCAGTAAAAGTCATATATCATGATATACAGAGCCATTCTATGTAAAATATGTGACAAAATAGTAATTTTTAGAAATGGTAGCCACATGAAATAAAATTATATACCATTTCATTCACCTTTACCTAAAGAAATCATAGAACATACTATATTTATTAATGTTTGATTCTATCCTTTTTAAAGTAGATCCTCAAGTTCAGCAATATGATGTTCAATTTTCTGCATAATTTAAATGTTAAAGTCAATGAAGCTGGGTATTTGAAACATACAAAAGTGAAAATGCATTTACTAGTTTGGTTGAGATATTTTGGCTCCAATCTAATAGAAATTATCATAATTATTGTTCTTGGGGTCTTTTATAATTATGAAAAGGTGAATTCTCCTTCTACCTTAAAGGTACAGAATAAATCATAAAATTATCTCTGAAAATTGCTAATATATAAAACTCTCTTAGTTTTATTTAACTTGGGGAGAAAAAGACACACTAATACAATATGTAAATCTCCTTTCTCAATCAATGACAATTTTTCACACCACAAACAGATTCTACTACAATATCAAACAGTTAGTTTCAGGGAAAATGAAAAAATTCATTCTACTCAAATGACTTTACAGATATTTTCTACCTTTTAAATCATTTCAAAATTCTTGATGTATTCCACCTAAAAACAGACCTGTAATCCAACTATGAAAAATGAACATGTGTTTATACAAGTAGAAGTACCAAAAGCAACCAGATAATGAGATATTTCAAAATATCTCACAATTTGATGAATTTATAGATACTATGTCAAATTTCAGGTTACTTACTTTTATTTTGGCTCAATGTCCAAGAAAGGCAATTAAGTTAATAAAAAAATTTTTATTAAATATTAAAAATAATAAGGTAAATTATTTCTACCTGCAAACACAACACTAAGTTTTCTTTAAAAAAATACTTTTGTAAAAGATCTTACATGCTGTATTAATAAAAGAGAAATGATAGTTTAGAAGAAAAATGAAGACTTGGTTCAATGTTTAGCTGGACATTTTGAACATTTAATGGTAGTTTGTGAACTTAAACAGGCCATTATAACCCCTTCTACACCCGCCTCCTAAGCAGTAAAATGGGATAACACCTGACCTTACTACTACTCCATATGACTGTTGAGAAGACCAAAAAAATAAGTGCTCCTTAACTAGTAAAAATTGCTTTCATAATTAAAAACAGTAATTATACTTACCTCCTTTTTGCGGTTCTTCAATATATTCTGAAATTTAGACAACTCTTTCTCTTGTTCTGCTTTAATGCGTTTGGCTTCATCTCGCAAGCGATTTGTGTGTTCTTGTTCTAGACGTTCAATAGTCTGTTTCTGCTGTTTTTCTAGATTCTCAATTTCTTGGTCATATTGTCGTTTTTTGCTCTGTAAAACAATGTAGCTCAAGATCATTTAACTTTTCTATCACTCATATTAACTCATCATAATGAATATATTTACTAAGAGGACATAACTAGCATTTTAATTTAGTTATGTAATATACATAACCTTTGTAGTACTGATCAACTGAACTAAAATATGAAAATTTTCAAAAAGATGAGCATTTTTTTCTTCTAACATAGAAAATAAATACAGTTGACTCCTGAATGGGTTTGAACTGCACAGGTCCACTTATATACAGATTTTTTTTTTTCAATAAATATACAGTTGGCCCTCTGTATCCCCAGGTTTCACATGTGCAGATTCAACCACCAAAAACTGAAAATAGTATTCTCAATTCACATTGGGAATCTGTGGATGCAGAGGCCCTATTACATGCATTGTTCTATGCCATTTTATATAACGGTCTTGAACATCTGCAGATTTTGCTGGTTTGATTGCCGGTCAGGGCACATGCCCAGGTTGTGGGCCTGACCCCTAGTGGGACACACAGGAGGCAGCCAATGGATGTTCCCTCTCATCAATGTTTCCATCTCTCTCTCCCTCTCCCTTCCTGTCTCTCTATCAATAAAGAAAAAAAAAGCTAGTTTAGTTTCTTCTTAAGGCACCAAATTTCATAATTAACCAATGGTACAAATATTTAAAACTTTACCATCATTTCTTGTTCAAAGCGCCGGAAAATCTGTTCTCGTTGCTGCTGCAATTTGCTATTGAGCTGTTGTTGGGCTCTTTGCTCTTCTTTTTGAAGAAATCTTAATTCCCGAAGTTCCTGACGTCTGATAAAATGCAATAGCAATGATAGAGGAAGATAAAAAAATTACAACTTTGAAATGCTTTTTGAAAAAAAAAACTTTAAAAATAAAAAACAGTCCAAAATTAGCCAAGTTTTTATTCATTTCTCTAGTCTTCAGACTTTGCAGAGACTAAAAAGAAGTCACAAAACTAGTTTTAATTATGTTATTTCTCTACTCACCTAAGAAACCTCAATTCTTCAGTTTTGGAATCACTATCTGTAACTATCTTTGATGTTGTTACACTCACTTCTACACCATCAACAACAAATTTGCGTGTTTTCTTCAGTGTTTTCTTTTGTCTTCTTGTTTCCTGAGTAAGATTTTATTTTAGTTAGGCTTTATATGGGAAATACTAGAGATAGAAAGCATTTTCTTCTTTAAAAAAAATGAAGAGCCATCAAGACTACAGGTAAGACTATAAGGTAAGAATATAAAACAATAAGACTCACCTGTGGAACCAGTTATATCATCTTATACCTCATTTACCTTTCACATGACTTTACAAATGAAATTTAATTTTTTTCAAGTGAAATTGTGACTTTTCATGATGTGCATGTATAATTTTTATGAAATCACATCATAACAGGCACAGTGGTAAGGATCAATTCACATAAATGACTAGTTAGTGTAACTTTAACATGTTAACCAATTTTTTCTTCCTCTTTTCACCTTGTAGGTTTTTCAGATACCTCTGCTTCTCAGTTTTAGAACCACTGACAAAACAAAATTGAATTCCTGGGGCTTATCCCTTAAAGACTCTAAATCAACAGGGCTGAGTTGCTTGGAATTTGTATTTTGAAAAGGCTCCCTAAGTAATTTTTAGAGGACTGGGATTCAAAATCTGTTTCATTAGTATCAATTGCTTTCCTCCATCTCAGGGCTGGAGATGAATGTGATGTTCGAGTTAGTAGAAAGACAGCATTTCTATTGCACCTCAAAAGAATTATATTTGCCTGTTAGCTATTGCTTATCAATCTTTTTCAAATTATAAGAGAAAATTTATTTAGAAAGTTACAAAGGTAGTAGAAGTGAGCCAGTTGGGCTGTGCAAGCTCAGGAAACAAGCTACAAAGGCAGAAGGAGGGCCCTTAGAGGTTAGGAGAGGGAAAGGCAAAGGTAACATGCCTGGGGGAAAGGAGCTTCCCAGGGAAAGTGGCCTGCCATTCTTTCTTAAGACTAAACTCTTCATTCCTCAACTGGCATCCAAATGCTTTTCAAATGTAGATAGAAACAAAAGATGTATAACATTCCCACAAATAAATCTGGTAAACATGTAAGTATTGAGAGCAGAGAGCAGATAACTACTTGGGGGCGGGGGTGTGTGTGTGTGTGTGTGTGTGTGTGTGTGTGTGTGTGTGTTTTAAATCCTCACTCAAGGATGTTTTTCATTTAATTTCAAACAGAGTGGGGGCGGGGAGAGAGAGAAACATGTGAGAGACATATTAACGGTTGCCTCCCGCATGACCCCAACCAGGGCTGGGGACTGAACAGCAACCAAGGTACATGCCCTTGGCCAGAATCAAACCCACAACTCCGAGGGCCAATGCTCTAACTGTTGAGCCAAACCAGCCAGGACAATTACTTGATTTTGATATGGGGGGAAAGGTTAGAAAGCAGAGGAGTTGAAGTGGAATGTGAAGATTTTAAATGCATTAGAATTAGCCCAGCTGGTGTGCCTCAGTGGTTGAGTGTTGACCCATGGACCAAGAGGTCGCTGGTTCGATTCCCAGTCAGGGAACATGCCCAATAGGAGCTGTGCAGGAGGCAGCCAATCAATGATTCTCTCATCGATGTGTCTGTCTCTCTCTTTCCCTCTCCTTTCCTTTCTCTCTAAAAATATCAATAAAACATATATTTTTTAAATGCATTAAAATTTTAAACTTTGTCTTTGGCACTTTCCAGTCATTTTTTGCAATGTCTTATTGTTCTATTCTCCAGGCTTCCAGTATCCTCACATTCCTCTCCCTAAGCCCTGGACTATGGCATCCTCGCCAGGTTTCCTCTAAAATCTAAAGTGGGCTTGCCCCCAAAATAGATCTACCTCCCTATAACCTCCAAACTTTCAATTTCTTTGGTTCCCACTAAAATATCCATAATTAACATGACCTTAATTCTCATAGAAGTATCTGCACTTTTTAAAAATATTATATATCTTGCACTGGCCAGTTTGGCTCAGCGGTTAGAGCGTTGGCCTATGGACCAGAGAGGCCCAGGTTCGGTTCCTGCTAAGGGCACGTACCTCTGTTGCAGTTTGTCCCCGGCCCCGGTTGGGGTCGTGTGGTGGCAGCCACTCAATGTGTGTCTCTCACATCAATGTTTCTCTCTTTCTCTTCCTCCCTCCCTCCCGCTCTATCTAAAGATAAATGCAAAAAAGAAAAAAAAGACCATTCTTTCTTAATTCTCTCATATATTATTGATTCTTGCTAAAATAATATCTACATATATGCAATAAGAGAATCCAAATCACACTAAATAACTATATTATACTGTTTATATCAAGTTGGCAAAAATAATTAGATAGTACCAAAAAATTTAAAGGTCACATCTCTCTTTGGTTCTTTTCAATTGATTGCCTTCGTAGGCCTTAATAATTGTATAGGAGTAATACTACTGATTTAGTGCTGTCTTATTTTTAAGACATTAGTTTCACATAAATTCTAAAATGACAAAGAAAAACTGAAACAAGGACAAAGAAAAACCAAAACAAGGATCCATGTATACTTACTTGTAAAGATATTGATCCACTGTCTTTAGTTTTACTTAAGAAGCTAGAGATGGATAAATTCAAGTCAATGCTGCTATTATCAGCAGTGGAACCAGTGCCTGAATCAGTATCATTTTCCTTTTGCGTCTCAGATTCTGGTAGCAACGTGGTTTCAGTTTTTGATAAAGTACCTATTTCCCCTTTATTTTCTGCATCTTCAGAGTTGATATTAATGCTAGGTATTGGAACAGGCTGAGGTTCACTGGGCTGTGAAGTGGCAGTAACTTCAGGTTCTGTTTTAACTGGCACTTCACAAGGAATCTCTTTTTGCTCTGTATCTGTCTGAGTAGTGGCTTCATGGGCATCCTGTGTTTCACTTCCTGAAGCATTCTGGTCAGTATGAATCACTTCACTTCTGATCTCTATTTCTTCAGTGCTACTTGATTCAGTAATTTCCTCAGCTTCATTTGTCCTGGGTTCCTCACTAGTCTCCACTATGTCTTCGGAACTGCTGATTAACTGCTTCTCACCTTTACCTTCTAAAGATTTTTTATCTAACTCATTAGTTTCAACTCTTTCTCTAACAGAAACTTCCTCAGTACCACCAACTTCAGGACCCTCTGTGCGTTTACTTGCTAGTTCCTGGCTTGCTTCAACCATTTCTTTTCCGTCATTACTCCGAGCGTCCTTAGCACTGTTTTCAGCCGCCTTCTGTGCAACATCTAAGGCTTCATTTGTTCCTATCACATTACTTATATCACTAACCACATCTTTTTTAGTTTTCTCTTCTTTGGCCAAATTCTCTTGGGTGTCTTCCTTTGTAAGCTCAACTTCATTGTCAACTGCCTGAATATCTGCCTCATTTTCACCAGTCTCTTGAGAAACTAAATCCATTGTTTGAATAGCAGTATCTTTAATTTCTTCTTCAGATTTTATAACCTTATTTTCAAGTATCTGTTGCTTTTCCTGATCCCTTTCTTCCTCAGGTTTCAGATTCTGTTCAATATTTGTTTCTAAAACTATCATATTATTCTCTTTTCCTTCATTGACTGAATTCATGTCTGCTGCTTCTTGGTCAGGCAGATTTTCAAGCTTGGGTCTCTTCTCCTCTCTCCCATTTTCCTTGATTATTGTTCTCTTATGGAGTTCAGCCATAGCTTCTAAGTGAGTATCATTAATATGTTCATCAATACCCTCCACAGCTTTTTCAGGCTCACCAGTAGTGGGTTTTTCATCAAGAACTCTGCTGTTAAATTTATCTTCAGGAGTATTGCGTTCTGTTTTTTCTGAGACAGATTCCAAAATGCAAGCATTTTGTGAAAGTTTATCTTCTTCAGAGCTGGCAATACTAAGGTCAGAGGAGGCACGCTTACTTGCAGGTATTGGCTAAAAAAAGATTTTATACATTTTTAGTGTTAAAACAAGATGGTAGCCAAAGCAATGTTTTATTTATTTATATTTTTAAAATATCTAATTTATATATAATGATTTAATATCTTTATTCAGTAAATCTGATGAAGTTATAAAAATAATTTAAAGAACTGACAAATCTTCACATAATAAGTATGACAAAAATGGATAGCAAGAGTAAATTGGCTATTAATCTTTACCTCTAAAATTAAAGATTTTGTACTGCTACCCATTAATTAATCCTTAGATACAGGTGCAAACCTCAAAACCCAACTCTAAAAATTACCTAAATAAAATGTCCTTTCTATTATACTGACCAGAGAATTTTCTGTTTCTTCATCATCTTCCTCCTCTTTGCCATCTTCAACTTCTTCTGTTACTTCAGCCTTTGCCTCTGCAATCAACTCTCGGATTGGTTTATTGGAATCCACAGTAACAAAGGGATGCTGTTTGATCATTAAAAAGAGCATGCTCAATAACACCTCAAATGCTTACTTATAAAGTAAGTTTCAAAAACATAAAGTGTATTATTATGTGGTAAAAATATGAATACATAGGTAGAAAAAATACAAACCACGTCAAATAATGTTACATCTGGGGAAGGAAGAAGTTAAAGGGGACTGAACCGAAATAGGGGCTGCCTGCAACCCCTACTGTACCTTTTCTAAAGAATCTGAAGGAAATATGTGAGAAATAACAACACATTGTATCTGGATAGTAGGTACATGTTCTTAGGTATGTTTGAAAATTTCATAATCTAAAATTTAAAGTTAAAGTTTCAAGTTAACTGTGTAATACTAGTTCTTAAAAAGTAATAATACATGTAAATCCAGTAAAAAGCCTCAATAAGTTACAAAAAGCTTTAAAGTTCTGTTAAAAGTGTCTACAAACACCTGCTTTTTTGACATGGTTCTAATATTCTTAACAGTAAGAAGACACTTTATTCATCTCTGTATACTCAGCACTTAACAGTGTCTGTCACAGAGTAAAGCCTTCAAATGTGTAGGTAGTAAAATAATAAAAGTAAGTGTGTCCCAGGGATATACATGTTGCACAGAACAAGGCAATTTTTCCTGCTTTCCCCCCCCCCCACATAAATACATCAACCTAAAACACTATCAAGTAGGAATCACACAGTAACTCAACTAACAGTAAGTGCCTCAAGATCTGCCATTCTTTTTGTTTACTTGTAATATTAATTACCTGACAAAGTTTTATTTCAAATAGCATAAACAGATCCTCCTATAAATCAATATTATCCAATCACTTTAATGCCATTTGTTAAAATGAACAACATTTACTGGACATTTATCCTCAAGAGTAAAAAAATTCATTAGCAAGCTGGCCAGTTTGGCTCAGCGGTTAGAGCGTCAGCCCACAGACCAGAGAGACCCAGGTTTGGTTCCCGCTAAGGGCATGTACCTCGATTGCAGTTTGTCCCTGGCCCCGGTTAGGGTTCTGTGGGTGGCAACCACTCGATGTGTCTCTCTCACATCAATGTTTCTCTCTCTCTCTTCCTCCTTTTCTCCCTCCCACTCTTCCTCAAGGTAAATGCAAAAATGTCCTCTGGTTGCCCTGGCCAGTTTGGCTCAACAGTTAGAGTGTCAGCCGGCGGACCGGAGAGTCCCAGGTTCAGTTCCCGCTAAAAGCACGTACCTCGGTTGCGGTTTGTTCCCGGCCCTGGTTGGGGGTTGTGTGGGTGGCAGCCACTCAATGTGTCTCTCTCACATCTATGTTTCTCTCTCTCTTCCTCCTCTCTTCTTCCCGCTCTATCTAAAGATAAATGCAAAAAAATATCCTCGGGTGAAGTAAAAAAAAAAAAAAAAAAAAGTCCTCTGGTGAGGAGAAAAAAAAAAAATGCATTAGCTTGTGCCCCTGTCCCCAAGGTGCTTGCTTTTACTAGAAAAACAAAATGGAAGCAACAAACACAGTGGAAATAACTAACAAAATGAATCAAAAAAGCACGGGAGGAATGACTTATAAGTTAAATGCTTTTTAGCAATGGTAGCATATATGTTTGTAAAGCAAATGTTTACTACTACATGTGTTTGAATTTCCACAGGGAAACTCAAGTGGAAAGACAGCACAATGAATGAATCTGAAATTACATTCTTAAAAGGATGTTAAAACAATTATATGGTTTCTTTTGTCATACTACTCTTATCTTACCTGCAGTAGCTGAGACGTTGTCCACCTGGAATCTACATTTTTTTCCAAGCATTTCTTTAGAAAGTCCTTAAAATTTGAAGACCTTCAAAATAAAAGTTTAACAATGACATTCTAATTTACTCTCTTGTTATTAAAATCAAACAAAACTCTAATAAATTATGCTTAAGTTTCATTATATATGCAATAATATTAATTCAACATAAAAAAGTTAATGAGAATATTAAGATTTTATAAGTTATTCATTTATAAATACAATTTAGACATATATCTAAGTAGGTTCAAAGTTTTAACCACTGAGATATAACCATATATTCACAAGTATGCCAAAAGTTCACATACATAGATCAAATGAATATATGCCTCACTTTCTCATAGTACAGAAAATACTTTTTTCATGTAAAACAGAAGTCACTGGTATTTTCAAATTTATGGGAAAAGCCCTGGCTGGTGTGGCTCCACGGGTTGGAGCATAGTCCCATGCACCTGAAGGTTACGGGTTCAATTCTCAGTCAGGGGCACATGCCTAGGTTGTGGTTTGATCCCCCGTCGGGGCACATGCAAGAGGCAACTAATGAATGTGTGTGTTATCTGTCTCTCCTCCCCCCCCCCATCTTCTTCCCTAACATAATTTTTTTTTTAATTATGGGAAAAGTTAGTTATAAGAGTTTAAATGGTCCATAAGTCTTAAAACTATACCAAAAATCAGTTTTCATGTAGTCTTTGTACCATAGATTTAAATACCCTTGGAGAGCTGGAAGAATAAACATCAAGTCTTACTTCTTAAAAAGCTTTGTTTAGAATATTTTACCATTTTGATGGCTGTGCTAATGTAGGGGGCTCAGATTTTGCTATTTTTAGCAGCACTCGCATTGGATTTAACTCATGATGAGGTGGTTCTATCTCAGCCATTTCTATTAAAGTTATACCCAGGGACCAAACATCAGCTTTGTAGTCGTAAGGTCTGTCCTTCGATGTTTCACACATGACTACCTCAGGAGCCATCCTACGAAAACAGAAAATTAAAAGTTAAGACATTTAACTTAAGAACAGTGATTTCAACCCACATAAAAGATAGACAGTATCACCAATTATGTGGAAAGATTAATGAGTATAGTAACTGCTGACCTAACTAACACTGTAAATCCATAAAAATGAATACATACCAATATGGTGTGCCAATAAAGGAATCTCTTCTTTGAATTGTCCTTGTGTTTTTAGCTGATACTCCAAAATCCGCTTGAAATAAATAATCATACAAAAGTGTTAATTATAGTTTTTAAGCAAAGTTCAATGTAGTCAACAAAGTTTAGGAAAGCATATCAAGTCTTTCATAAAGCCATTATTAGTAAAGGATAAGAAAAATATCTTCTCTACCAACCTAATCTGACCACCCTATTTCTACCACACCCACACCCAAAAATTGCCACAGAAAAGACTCCATCATTAATATACTTAATACCACCATCTTTATACATCCTCAGATCACAAATTCTCCAGAACTGAAGAAAAAAATAGTAACTTTAAAATAGACCAGCCAACCCAGCCGGTGTGACTCAGTGGCTGAATGTCGACCCATGCACCAAGAGGTTGCCAGTGACAAAAGGCATCTTTATTTTCTGTACAAAGGGGAAAATTAAGTTTGTATGTGCTTTGTATTTCTACTGATAATGATGTGGCAGGTACACAATGGTCTGTTAAAATATCATTTTACCTACTAATTTCCATTTCCAAAGACGTGATCCAATAAAATCATAAAAATTTGGGTACTGTAATGTGGTTCTTGAGGATAGTATGGTTCTATACTTCTGTATACATTTAACAAGGTATGAAACAAATGGAAAGTTCTCTGTATTTACAAATTAATAAAACAGAAATTGAAACTTTTTTTAATCCTCATCCGAGGATATTTTTCCATTTATCTTCAGATAGAGAGGGAGGGAGGGAGGAAAAAAGGGAGGGAAGAAAGGAGAGAGAAAGAGAGTAAAACATTGATGAGAGAGACACATGGACTGGTTTCCTCCCATACGGCCCTGGTCACTGGGGACCGACGCAACCAAGGTATGTGCCCTTGACTGGAATCGAACCTCCAATTCTTTGGTCCACAGGTCAATGCTCTAACCACTGAGCCAAAGTGGCCAGGGCAGAAATTGAAACTTTTAAATGTCAACCAACTCAAAACTATTTGGCATTCCTAAATCTTCAAAATATACTTATTCTTTAAAGTACACATTATTTTACACAAAAGTATGTTCTTGTATTCAAATAAGACTTTAATACAGTTACAGAAAAACATTCACCAAAAATGGATCAAAATTATAACATAACTATTTCAAAACAAGCTATGAGACTTCAAAAAATGATGTAAGACAGTCCTGGCTGGTGACACAGTTGGTTGGAACACTGTCGCATACACCAAAAGTCTGCAGGTTCAATTCCCAATCAGGGCACATACCTAGGCTGTAGATTCCATACCCAGTCAGGGTGTGCACGGGAGGCAATCACCAGTGTTTCTCTCTTGTATCGATGTTTCTTTCTCTCTCTCTCTTTCTTTCTCCTTTCCTCAGAGTAACATGTCAGAATTATAAAAACTCAGAAATGAGGTGGCAGAACTTGAGAAAATTAGAAATAAAAATCATGTTAAATAAAAAGACTAGCCCTGGCTGGTTTGTCTCAGCAGTTAGAGCTTCAGCCTGCAGACCAGAAAGTCTTGGGTTCGGCTCCTGCTAAGGGCACGTATCTCGGTTGCAGTTTGTCCCTGGCCCCAGTTGGGGTTGTGTGGGTGGCAACTAGTAGATGTGTCTCTCACATTGATGTTCCTCTCTCTCTCTCTCTCTGTCTCTCTCTCTCTCTCTCTCTCTCTCTAGCTTCTCCCTCTCTCCCTCCCGCTCTATCTGAAGATAAATACAAAAATGTCCTCAGGTGAGGATTAAAAAAAAAAGACTAAATAAGAAGAATGCAATAGCAGATAAACACAACAACTTTATACCCATTACTACTCCACACTATTAGGATAGCTAGCATAAAAAATACAGAAAATAGCCCAGTGGGTGTGGTTCAGTGGTTGAACATTGACCCATGCACCATGAAGTCACCAGTTCAATTCTCAGTTAGGGCACATGCCCAGGTTGTGGGCCAGATCCTCAGTGGGGGTCATGCAGGAGGCGGCTAATGTATGTTCTCTCTCATTGATGTTTTTATTTCTCACTCCCTTTCCCTTCCTCTCTCTCTAAAATAAATAAAGAAAAAAAAATTTTTTTTAGATATAGAAAATAGCAAGTATTGGCAAGGATGTGGAATGTACTGGCAAGGATGCTGGCATGAACATGAAATGGTGCAGCTGCTATGGAAAATAATATGATGGTTCCTCAAAAAAATTAACACAGAATCACCATATGATCCAGCAAATTCACTTCTAGAATACCCAAAAGAATTTAAAGCAAGAACTCAAACAGGTAATTTGTACACCCATGTCCATAGCAGCATTATTAACAAGAGCCAAAAGGTAGAAGCAACCCAAGTGTCCATCAATGGATGAAAGGATAAACAAAATATATATACATATAACAAAGTATTATTCAGCCTAAAAAGAAAGGAAATTGGCACATGCTACAAAATGGATGGACACTGAAGACATGCTAAGTAAAATAAGCCAGACACAAAAGGATAAATATTGTATAATTCCACTTATATGAGGCACCTAGAGATGTTAAATTCATAGAAGCAGAAAGTTAACAGTCCTTGCCAGAGATTGGGGAAAGGAGGGATTGGGCAGTTAGTGTCTAAGAGAACAAAGTTTCGATTGGGGAAGATGAAAAAGTTTTGGATTGTGGTGATGGTTGTACAATAATGTGAGCATACTTAAAGGTACAGAATTGTACACTTAAAAATGGTTAAACGGTAAATTCTGTTTAGTATATTACACCATGATTTTTTTAAAAAATGAAGAAAGATAAAAAGAACTTGAGAGAAAGTTATAAATATTGCTAATAGGCAAATCCCACAAGCACATAAAAATCCTTAAAGAAGAAAGTCAATATAAGGGAACAGAATACTCAAATCAGTAATTTCAAAAAATCTTCCTGAAAAAAAAAAACTTGAATATTATAAGAACATATATATTTTTAAAGTCTAGTCAAGTTAAAGAAAAACAACTTCTTGGCATCTAGATAAAAAGAGCACATACATCACTTGTAAGAGAAAGAAAATCGGATTATCACCATAGTTTTCAACACTTTATAACAGAAGAAAACAGGGTAACATATTTCAGATAATCAAGAATAAAAATGTGAGATAAGGATTTTTTACCCAGCAAAGTATAGAGTAGAACTGTTATCATTATACAGAAACTCAGAGAGCCCTTCCAGAAAAATCTACAAGAGAATGAACTTCAGACAACCAACATGACCAAAGAGACATCAACATAAGGACTGATGATGATTAACATTAAATACAGAAAGGAGGACTGAAATGACTAATTATGGTATATTCTAAATCTATCATCAATGTCCTTGAGAACCAGAATAGAAGGAGATACAGATGTAATATGAAAGAGGTTTGTTAAAAAAAAAAAAAGCAAAGAAACAAACAAAATACCTTTATGCTGAATTTGAATAGGAAATATGTAGGAACCCATTGAGAGCCTAACTCTGTCCTTTGAAAAGGCCTAGAACAGCCCAGCAGGTGTGCTCAGTGGTTGAGCATAGACCCATGAACCAAAAGGTCACTGGTTCAATTCCTGGTCAGGGCACATGCCCAGGTTGTAGGCCAAATCCCCAGTAGGAGGAGGGGCATGCTGGAGGCAACCAACTGATATTCTCTCTCAGTGATGTTTCTATCTCTCTCTCTTCCTCTCTCTCTAAAGATTGAAAAAAAATTGTTTTTTAATGAAAAGGACTAGAACAATGGCCAATCCAAAAACTATTAGGCATCTCTAACACTCAAATTGTGGTCTTGAAATACCATAACCTAATAAAAGAAACCAGGGCTTCTTGAAGAAATGGATGAATTACAGGTCTGAGGGAGGAAATACGCAATAAGAGCCTGAATCACCTCAACCTAACAAATAACAAGGAAGCTATCAAAGACTAGACTCATGTCAAAAAAGATTAACAAGCCAACATAAAGAAGCTCCCAGTCATCAAAGATAGTACACTGTGGGCTTCAATAAGGATAAAAATTATAATAGACTTGAAACCTATAATATAAAATTAAATTCATGAATTAATAATATTTTTTAAAATACTGGCCACCAGCTAAGGATCAGAAAGAATCAATTGTCTTAAGCTAAGTTGTTTGTGTGGTTTTCTGTATCTGTTTATTTCAAAATATAAAGGTTAAAATTTAGTATATCAAATTATACCTGCTTAGATGTCATGACAAAGTAAAGTGATTATTATCACTGGTATCAGTATGGTTTTTCTTTTTTTTTTTTTTTTGTTCAGGTAGAGTGGGAGGGAGAGAGAGGAACAGAGAGAGAGAGAGAAACATCGATGTGAAAGGAACACATTGAGTGGCTGCCACCCACACGACCAAGCAGGGCCGGGGACAAACTGCAACCGAGGTACGCGCCCTTAGCGGGAACCGAACCCGGGTCTCTCAGGACCGCAGGCCTACGCTCTAACCGCTGAGCCAAACCGGCCAGGGCTCAGTATGGTTTTTCAACATATTTTGTCCTTTAATGTGTATTTTGTCCTTCCAAATACACAAATTTAGACTTCACCACCAGATTCTTTTTATATTAATATCTTGGGTGTACTGAAAGAGGGCTAGATCTTCCATGTGTGTGTGTGTGTGTGTGTATGAAATTAATTAATTTCACTTTTAAACCTACATCTATTTCTTCTTATAAAGTTGTATTTATTCCCTTAGTGAAGAAAAAAAAGTAAAAACTACAGTCCTTATACTTCTTTTAGGCATCCTTTTCAGACCTAAGATTAGGCCCTGGCCAGTTTGGCTCAGGGGTTAAGAGCACCAGCCTGCAGACCAGAGAGTCTCGGGTTCGTACCTCGGGGTCGTGTGGGTGGCAACCACTCAATGTGCCTCTCTCACATCGATGTTTCTCTCTCTCTCTTCCTCAATCTCTCCCTCCCACTCTATCTCAAAATAAAAGAAAAAAAAAACAGACCTAAGATTAGTTACTTTGTTAGTTTAATCAAGATATTATATGTATAGAGTATAAAACTAAACATGGAAAAAGAACTTCATTACACATGAGTTTTAGAATTAAAAATGAAGTTATTATAGAATACTATGGTGCACTCTAAATGTATTATATTAATAAATAATAAGTCTACATACAAAAACTTAGGGGAAAAAAAGAATTAACCAGTTTTTAAAAGCTTGCCTTTGTGAAAATAAACATCCGTTCTTTCTTACTTTCTTTCTAAACCTTACTTTCTTTCTCAACCTTCCTAATGCTGCGACCCTTTAATACAGTTCCTCGTGTTGTGGTGACCCCCAATCATAAAATTACTTTTTGTTGCTACTTCATAACTGTAATTTTGCTACTGTTATGTCTTAGACGACCCTTGTGAAAGGGTCGTTCGACCCCCAAAGGGGTCGCAACCCACAGGTTGAGAACCTCTGTCTAAAGTGTATTTATATTAGATTACTATACTTAGAAGTTCTGAAAGTTAATGAATAATTATTTATCCAAGGAAGTAGTTTTAAAAAGTAATATGGAGTAATTCTCCATGTTTCACATATTTGAGTCACAACAAAACAATATTAAGTCACATACATACAGGAGGAAATCTCAGAGCACATATTTAAATGTTTTATTTAAGGGAATAAACTTACCCAACTTAATATCTCCATCTAGGGTAAAAAGAATGTTGCCAGCCTTTAGATCTCTGTGGATAATTTTATTATCATGTAAGTAGTTCAATGCCTCTAAGGTCTGTTTACAAACTACTTGTATTTGGGACTCAGTTAATGGTCTCTCAAGTTCTGTAAGAAAAAAGTAAACAAATCTGCATTTTACACAGTGAAAACATGTCAATAGACTCTTATTTTTACCATCATTGTTAAAGCTCATATACAGTGAACTTATTTTAGAAGAACTGAATATCTAAAGAATTACTTCCCTCACATATTATACTCAATACTTAATTTTAAAATTGTATTACAATTATCTAAGAATATAAAAATATAATTAAGCTGATTTCTTTCTTGATTGAACTTCACCTAACAATAAGATATATGTATAAATGTTTGAAATCCATCAATTTTTATTAAGTGTAATTTAAGATATAAACATAAAGAAAAAAAGGTATTTACCAAGCATCACAGCATCCACTGCTCCACCTGCACAAAATTCAATAAGGATCTGCAGGCAAATAAAAAAATACGTGTCTAACACAACACTGAGTTAAGAGTATTTTTTTCTTCAATTTAGCAAAAAGGATAAAGAATAGCTATCAAATAACCTAGGCTATGGAAACAATATTATGCTAACCGTAAAGATGTTTTTGTCAAAAGTGTCAGGAGTCTTAATGATACACATTTAAGAAAGCACAAAGAGAACATATTCTAGAAGTATGTGCTGTTTTGTTAATCATCATTTTCAGTGTCCCAGTTTCTCTCTAATAACCAGGCACAAAATTTTTCTTCAAGGCAGTATTTCTTTTTTAATTTATTGAATTGAGAGAGAAAAAGAGGAAGGGAGGAAGAAGGGAGAGAAGGAGAGAGGTAGAGAAAAGAGAAACATCAATCCGCTGTTCTACTCATTTAGGCATTCACCGGATGCCTCTTATGTGTGCCTTGACCAGGGATCGAACCGGAAACCTTGGCATACAGGGCCAACACTCTAACCAACTAAGCTACCCAGCCAGGACCAAGACAGTGTTGTATATTAATTTCATCTCTACTGAATAATTTTAATACTATCATTTTTAAGGTAACTATTGTGATGAAATGTAGTATTTTTTAGCTTTACTAATAGGAATAATTCCTGAAAATATACAGACTTCTTTGAGTTGTCCAATTTTTTTTTTAATCCTCACTCGAGGATATTTTTCTATTTATCTTCAGATAGAGTGGGAGGGAGAAAGAGTGAGAGAAAGGGAGAGAGAGAGAAACATTGACATGAGAGGGACACATCAACCGGTTGCCTCCTGCACTGGGGACAAACTGCAACCAAGGTACGTGCCTTTGACCAGAATTGAACCCGAGACTCAAGGGTCTGCAGGCCGAAGCTCTACCGTTGAGCCAATATCTTACTTATTAATTTGTCTAAGAGTTAATTTCATTATAATCTCTGAAAACATTTTGCTAGAGACCTGAACAACCATATTAGAAGATAATACACTAATAATAACTATAACTTTCAAAAATTACGTATCTTAAAAAATTGTACCACTTCCTGATAAATTTTCCTTCTATATAATAACACTTTACTTTTACAGATGCTTGCCAATTACAAATTGTTTTCAAATGCATTATATAATTTAAAAAATAATTTGCGAGGCAAATCATTACTCAGCCTATATAAGTGAGTACACAGACTCATAAAGGTTAATTTATTTAAGCTCCTACCTAGCAACACCAGGATAAAAAAATATAAGCCCTCTGATTCGTAGTCAGGTATTACTTGTACTACCTATTCTCTCAAAACACTTTGCTTCTTCCTTCAAGGAGAAAAACAAAAACTCCATTTCAAAAAGCCCTCTTGATTAAATTAGTGTTGGTGCAGAGCAAGGTACTGGTTATCATAATGAGTATTAATATTTTATTTATATACCTATTTGTGTCTAATATTTTCTAAAAATGAACATAATTCATACATAAAGACTGGGCCACTTATATCATGTATTAAAGCTGGGCCTGATTATATAAGTATTTAACATTTCTAGCAAGCATTTTATAAGTTATTATATGATTGTGAAAAGGTTTGGGTAATAAAACTATAAACACTTTCTAGGAAAAGAAACTTTATAAAAATTTTTAAGTAAATGCTTAAATTTCAATTACAAATAAGAGAAAGCCATCTAATTTCATAGTTTAGGAAATACAATATTCGTAACCAAATTTCTCCATTTGGGTCCAATGTCAAACAATCATGAAATATGGTACAATCTGAAATACAGGGGTAGGCAAAAGCAGGTTTACAGTTGTGAGCAGTGAAACAGTTAATAAAGCCACTGTAATAACCATAAACTGCATGTCTTTCCCATACAAATAACTGTAGATCTGCTTTTGATCATCCCTGTATCTGTTGAAGCTAAGAATAAATATGTTATTAATGACCATCTCATCAGCAGATCAACTCTCAACACAAGTATCTAAACAAAAGAGGTTATACATAAAAGAAGCTTTTGCAACTTATAAACTTCTTTAAGACAATTAACACATTTTGACTACTCCTATAGATCAACAGAAAATACTTACCCAAAGATTGTTCTCATAATAGAAGGCATCTAGAAGCTTGACTATATTTGGGTGATCACAAGATGCTAAAATATCAATTTCAACCATGTAATCTTCAAGTTCTTCTTCAGATTTGGTGTCAATCACTTTTGCAGCAGCTAAAACATTGGTCTCTTTATTCTGGGCCTAAAAATGTAAATATCAAAAATGCCCTAATGCATACTTGTTTTTTTTTTATTTTATTTTCTATTTTTTAATAAACTTTATTTTTTAGAATAGTTTTAGGTTCACAGCAAAGTTGAGCAGAAAATACAGAAAGTTCCCATATATTCCCTGCTTCTACACATGCACAGCCTCCCCAGAATGGTACATTTGTTACAATTAATATTCTATACTGACATATCATTATCACCCACAGCCCAGTGTTTACATTTGGATTCACTCTTGGTGTACATTCTGTGAGTTTTGACAAATGTGTGACATGTATCTACCATTATATTATACAAAAGAGTTTCACTAACTTAAAATCCTCTATGCTCTACCTATTCATCCCTCCCTTCTTCCTAACCCCTGGCAATGACTGATTTTTTTTTTGGATACTTGCCCCTAGCGGAAACCGAACCCAGGACTCTCTGGACCGCAGGCCGACACTCCAACCGCTGAGCCAAACTGGCCAGGGCACGACTGGTCTTTATTCCATAGTTTTGCTTTTCCAGAATGTCATACAGTAGGAATTATATAGTATGTAGACTTTCAGATTGGCTTCTTTCACTTAGTAAAATGCATTTAAGGTTCCTCCATCTCTGCCCTGGCCGATTTGGCTCAGTAGTTAGAGCTTGGACCCGCGGACCAGAGAGTCCCGGGTTCGGTTTCCGCTAAGGGCACGTACCTCGGTTGCAGTTTGTCCACAGCCCGGTTGGGGTCATGTGGGTGGCAACCAGTCGATGTGTCTCTCTCACATCGATGTTTCTCTCTTTCTCCCTCTCTCCCTCCCACTCTACCTGAAGATAAATGCAAAAATGTCCTCGGGTGAGGATTAAAAAAAAAAAAAAGGTTCCTCCATTTCTTTTTATCATCTAACAGCTCATTTCTTTTTAGCACTGAATAACAGTTCATTATATAGATGTGCCAGTTTATCCATTCACCTACTGAAGGCATCTTATTATTGGGTTGTTTTCAGCAATTGTGAATAAACTGCTATAAACATACATGTGCAGGTTCTTCTGTGGACATAAGTTTACAACTCCTTTGGGTACATAGCAAGGAGTATAATTACTAGATCATATGGTAAGAACATGTTTAGTTTTATAAGAAACTGCCAAACTGTCTCCCAAAGTGGCCAAATCATTTTACATTCCCACCAGCAATGAATGAGAGTTCCTGTTGCGCCACACCCTTGACAGCATTTGGTGTTGTCAGTGCTTTAGATTTTCACCATTCTAACATAGGTGTATAGTGGCATCTCCTTGTTTTAATTTGCAATTTCCTTAATGACATACGATGTTGAACATCTTTTCATATACTCACTGACCATCTGTAAATCTTTGGTTAGGTGTCTGTCCAGATCTTTTTTTTTAATCCTCACCAAAAGACATTTTTCCATTTTTTGTTCAGATAGAGTGGGAAGGGGAGAGAGAGATAGAGAAACATCAGCATGAAAGGGGCACATCAAGTGTTTGCCACCCACACGAACCAACCAGGGGCTGGGACAAACTGCAACCAAGGTACATGCCCTTAGCGGGAACCGAACCCGGGTCTCTCTGGACTGCAGGCCAATGATCTAATCGCTGAGCAAAACTGGCCAGGGCTGTCCAGATCTTTTGCCCATTTTTAATCAGACTGCTGGTTTTCTAATAGTTAAGTTTTAAGAATTCTTTCTGTATTTTGAATAACAGTCCTTTATCAGATACCTCTTGCAAATATTTTCTCCTAGTTAGTGACTTGTCTTCTCATTATTTTGACATGCTTATTTTGAAAGATAGCCTAAACATAAATATTAATTAAAGCATGCTATGCACCATGCTAAATGTATATCTTAATCAGATCTTAAAATACTAATTAGGTTTTTTAAGACATTTCAATATTATATACGTTATCACTCCGGCAAAACTGAATCTATTACTTTAAAAGAACAAAAAACAGAAAAAAAAATCAAACTTTTAAAAGCTACGAATAAGGGTTTCAATAAATAAATAAATAAATAACGGTCCAAATCCTATTTTTAAGAAATTATCATGAGGTAATTTTACAAAATAAAAAACATGCATATATGCCCTGGCCGGTTTGGCTCAGCAGTTAGAGCATCGGCCCAGGGACGAATGAGATGGGTTCAATTCCGGCCAAGGGCATGTACCTTGGTTGCAATGCGGTGTGTCCTCGGCCCTGGTTGGGGTTGCGTGGGAGGCAACTAATTGATATGTCTCTCTCACATCAATGTTTCTCTCTCTCTCTCTCCATCTCTCCCTCCCTCCTAATGTGTCTAAAGATAAATAGAAAAATGTCCTCAGGTGAGGGTAAAAAAAAAGAAAAAAACATGCATATATAAAAATATTCATCAAAGTACTATTTACAGTAAGGAACACTGAATCAGCCTAAATGCCCATTCACAAGAACCTGCTTAAATCATTCAATATAATTCTACAATGAAACATTATGCAGCCAAAATTAACTGACTAGTCAATGATTATTTCTTAAGATAGAATAGTACCCATAAAACATCAGTGAATGGGAAAAAAAAACAACTTACTAAACATGAGAGATATGTAATTTTACAGACACTACACATCCATTTTCACATATGGATAGCTACATAAGAAGTATCTAGAAACACATCATTAGTGAACACGGTAGAATTTCAGGGGCTTTTGACTTTTTTTGTATTTTGTATCATATTGTTTGAACTTTTAAAAATACACATGTATTATTTTTACAGAAGCAATAAAGAATTTCTGTTTTTTTGCTAATCCTTACCAGAGGATATTTTTTCCATTGATTTTTAGAGAGAGTGGAAGGGAATGGGGGGGGTGGGGAGAAGGAAGAGAGGGGGTGAGATGGGGGGGAGAGGGAGAGGGAGAGAGAGGGAGAGAGAGAGAGAGAGAGAGAGAGAGAGAGAGAGAGAGAGAGAGAGAGAAACATCGATGTGAGAGAGACGCATGGATTGGTTGTCTCCTACACAAGAACCAACTGGGGCCAAGGATCAAACCAGTAACCCAGGTACAAGCCCTTGACCGGGAACCTTCAGTGTACAGGCCAACACTCTATCCACTGAGCCATACTGGCCAGGGCTACAATAAAGTATTTTTAAAAATCAGTATATGGGAGATTTCTTAGTGATCTATTAACTAACCTTGGCAATGATAAAGAAAAGAATAAACAAAGCAGGAATCAGCCTGTATATGGGAATTTTTCGTCAAAAGAAAAATTCTGTATATCCTAAATTAAATTCCAATGGATAGGAGAGAGCAAAGACTGGAACAATTAGTTAATAGCTGTGAGCCAACTAACAAAAGACAGCACACACTCCTGAATGTACTATGTTGGAACTTTGAATCAACCTCCGCAGTCTACTAGACAACTATGCATGAACTTTCAGGACTGCTGCCTCTAACTAATCAAAACTAGTAAATATTTCTTCCTTATATGTTGTGCAACTATAACAATACTGCCCCCACTTCACCTTTTCCTACCCCTCCTTATCTGTAGCCAATGTAAATTCTTTCAAAGCAACCTACATCTTTCTTCCCCAAAACAGAATGTATAAAAACGCTTATCAATGACAGCATGCACATGCTAGTCATTCCCATCGAGCCATGCTACTGGTGGTTTATATTTCATGCCCCAGGACCTGGTCCTTTCCTGGCTAGCACTTGGCTCAATAAAACCTTTCTTTCAATAAACTTCTGATTGTGAAGTTTTTTGTTAAACATTTTCTAAGTACATTATTGTAATATGTTTTACTTCCTTAGGAAAAAACAGGCAAAAATACTGATTACTAATTAAGTAACCCTAATGTTTAGGGTTCAAAGAATATGTTTTGCACAAAAGAGAACTTCAGCCCTGGCCGGTTTGGCTCAGCAGTTAGAGCATCATCCCATGTACCAGAGTCGCAGGTTCGATTCCAGTCAAGGACACATACCTCAGCTGCAGGTTGATCCCCAGCCCCAGTTGGGGTTGTGCAGGAGACAACCAATTGATGTGTCTCTCTTACATCGAATCGATGTTTGTTTCTCTCTCTCCCTCCCACTCTATCTAAAATTTAAAAATCAATGAAAAAATATCCTCAGGTGAGGATTAACAACAACAACAAAAATCCCTCTGTCCTTGTGACACTTATAATTGTGGGGAGAGGACAGTCAATAGGCAAATAAAAAAACTGAGAGTGCCCAGCCAATGTGGCTCAGTGGCTGAACATCAACCCATGCACCAAAAGGTCACCAGTTCTATTCCAGGTCAGGACACATGTCCAGGTTGTGGGCCCAAACCCCATGGGGGGAATTGAAGGAGGTGGCAGGAGGATTGGGGGGCATGTAGGAGGCGGCCAATCAATGTTCTCTCTCATCGATGTTTCTCTCTCTCCCTCTCTCTCTAAAATCAAGGGGGAAAAAGGTTTAAATAAATGGAGAGTATATTACTGATTAGTACTGTGGGGAAAAAAATAAAGTTAAGAAATAAAGATGAGGAAATGAACAGGGGTACACAGAGAAGAAGTTACAATTTAAATAGGGTAGTTAAGTTAGACTTCACTGAGAGGGTGATATTTGAGCGTATCAGTATCAGTAAAGTTCAAGGATTATCTTTATATTGTTTTTATTAAGTCTGTGATTAAATTGGAAATTTTAGTATTTTTCAAAGAAATGGGGTATAAAAATCTCAAATTTCAAGTATGCTATTCTACATAATAGTATCCATTATGCTATTAGATATTATTCATTGAACAATTACCTTGTGCCAAGCACTGTTCTCTACACTCTCCATTTATTAGCTTATTTAATATTTGTACCAATCAGGGTCCAGCCAGGAGAAAGAAATCATATTGATTATTTTAATAGAGAGAATTTAATATAAATAATTATTGACTCTGTTGTTAACTAGGTAATTAAAACCATAGAGAGAAGGTGAAGAGTCTGGGAGGTGAAGCTAACAATTGCGGGGAAAAGCTACTACCCTAGGACCAGGGAAGCCAAGGC